ACGAGGTTCTCGGCTAAAGCCACTTAAAAGGCAGTTTCAAGGTGATCCATGGGAACATGGTGCAAGATACACATTATCTTTTACCCAATCGGGGAATTCTCTGCAAGTCTCTCCCCAATTTGACGAATTTGACGACTTTGACCAATTCAACTTTGGTTATGGATTCCACTTGATTCCACTTGATCCAGATGTCCCAGTAAACATGTCAGTTTATGGTTTTCTGTTTACTCGATACCGGGGGGCCCCCAAGCAATTCCACGGTCACTTCCGAAGCCCTAATCGACCATACAAAGCTTGAGATAACGTGCACGTGTGGATGACCCGAACCAGGTTCTCGGTCACTCAAGTGCTGTGAGTGTCCAAGTTGCTCCAACATTGAGAACTCCAGATTAAACACAAGTCGATCAAACTTTCTTTCCCAAAGGATCCAAAGGTCCTTGTACTGGCTCTTGCACCCGACACTATGCCTAGTTTGGATTTTAGTCCCTGGACTTTTGGTACAAAGAGAGCTATGATCACCCTGCTATCCTGGAACTATCGCTTGGGAGTTGCACTTTCTGGAGGATTCCCCGTGAGTCAATTGGTACGTGCTCTCTTGTTTCTCTCTCTCTCCGGAAGCCACCGCATTATTGCCGGAGAAAAAAAAGTTACTTGCACTTGGACCTCCTCCCCGGCGCCCATTGTGGCGGACAAGGAACGTGGGCAATGGTAAGCATTCTTCCGGTAAGATCTGCTGTCTATCGCAACCAAACATTTCCTTTCCGCACGGGGAACCGGTGGATTGCAGTCCTTAGGTTCCTCGGCATTAATCCCTGCTAGCCAATCGAACTTTCTCGACTGTACTGTATTTTCCCACTATTTCTAACTAGTTTATTACTCCCCGCAATAAACCACAATCTTCACGCTTGAACTGAGTTTTTTTTTTCTTTTCCAAATCCTTGTTTTCGTTCATTTTCATCTAGGTTCCTTTCAATGGTAGAATGGGTTATTTGTTTATCTTTTTCTTTTCTTTTTTTTTTTTTGGCTTTTTACGCGAATGAAAGCTTTGTGGATCCAATTGAGGAATGAAATGCTGTCGGCTTATCTCTCTCCCCACTGGTTCCAGTTATGAGATCCGCGGTGGACCGCAAATCACCAAGAAACTCTTTACCACACAGAGTTAAGTTTGCAATTATTGAATAGCTATCCGTAACATAAAAAATTAAGAAAATTAAGAAAATTAAGAAAATTAAGAAAAACTCAGAAGGGTTCCTCAAAAATGCGGAGAATACGGAGAATACGGAGAATACGGAGAATACGGAGCATCAAGTTACAGAGTTGAGCCCGTGGCAAAAAAAGACAAAAGTAAGCAGTTGTTCCTGGACCTGAAAAATGGTGCATTAGTGTTCCCGATCCCATGCAGGCCCCGATCCAACAGCAGTACAGAGTGCAGTTGGTCTCCAAAATTCGCTCATGATGGGGCAACTTGCAGCACTTGAGTGTTGCCGTCTCCGCAAAACTTGCAATAAACCCGAAACATGGTACCTAGCATCTGTTCCTGGCCCGAACCACATGAACCATCGTTATCCATACCGATTCCTTGGGTTTGACATTATTTCTTTTGACTCAGGTACAGCCCGTACGCAACTTGTCTTTCCAAATGTCTCCACCTCCCACGGAAATCCGTATCGTGCTCCGTCCGTTTTCACCTCAAATCCTGGGTCAACCACTTGAAGCCCACACACTATATGCAAGTCCCCAGCGCAATGATGCGATTCCCGCTTCCCAGCCGAAACCCTATCGGCCTCTCCCCAGGCCACGGTGTCGCATGAAGTCATGGCGTATTTTCCCACGTACTGTCTTGTGTATCTTGTAACTTGCTCTATCTCTGCAAAGTTCCTTGGGTGGCTTTGACTGGTTATGGCGTGTCCGGAGCACCTCCCAATTTCGGTCACTGGTCCCCTTCCTTTTCCATCACCAAACCACAGTAGATCATTACTCGATATCAGTATCTCCTCCGCTCCCCATTTTTTTTCCTTCTTCCCACTGTGAATCTCCCGGCCACAGTGGAAACTCCAAGACACGAGCCCTTGCTCATCGCCGAATCAAAGCGTCAAACACGCTGAGCTGATGATTTTTCCGAAGGGTGCAACCCACAGTAAGAGATTCCCGATTGTTTCTTCGGCCTTGCGCGATCGCGATCGACGAAGCTCCGACTCCATTCCTTATCAGATAGTTGTATTCCCACACGGCTCACAACCAAGGAAGTGGGCTCCTGCAACCTGTATTGTCTGGACCTACCGGAATTCCCAGACGATCCTCCGGTTACTTATCCTGCGGGCAACTTTCTTTTTTTTTCCCTTTTTTGGCCGTGTACGTAATGATAAGAGATGGATTTGGGGGTTTGGGGGTCCTCTCTTTCCCACTTGGATACCACGTCGACCCCAAAAGGCACAGCGAATGGGGGAAAACCCACTCCGCAATCCAGCCTGGCGATTCATCTGGATCGTGGCATCCACCCTTCACGGCTGAAACGAAAAATTTAGTTATTGATGAAACTTGGCAGCGAAAACCTTCGTGGCTAGCGCTTGTTCTTTACTTACACTTTCCACCGGATAACGCTAGATGGAGGTCAAGGAACAGCTACTGTAGCTAGCGCTGAAGAGTTTTTTTCTTCCTTTTCCTTCTGGAAGGTCACTACGTTGTGTACTAAACGCTTAGTGTTAACTGTGGCTACTTCGTGCGTAACTACAATATAACCCTCTCCACCCTTCTTCACCTGCAGGGCTCATGCTTGTCTGAAGAACGAATGGACGAATGCACATTTCTACACGTGTTACGGGCGGTGGGTACAGCTCCAGGCAGCGTGTGCTGGAACCAAGAGGACACTGGTCGGATTTCCCTCTTCTCGTGTCGAGGCGGATACAAGCGGGTCCTCCCTGCTTACTACGAACTGATAGAGCAAGCCAAGAGATCCATCCTCATTTCAACAGCCACCAACGTCGCTAAACCAAGATTGTCATTCAAGTTAGCCAATTGTTTCGTCGAGCACGGCATGCATGATCGACTGGCACGATCCCGTCGATGAAGACGTACGCTACCATAGGGCAGTCGACATTAACCTACCTTGGCAGAACGACACTACTGCCTGCTTATTTGTTTCACAGCCTCTCTCACCCGTGGATCAGCCGTCCTAAAGAACGGGTTCACAGATTTGTTTTGCCATGAAGGAATCCATATCCGTAACAGAGAAAAAAAACACACACACACACACACACCATCCACACCGTCCACACTACATCCCCATTCTTCAGTCCAGCCGTCTCCATTCTGTCCCCGCTGACAATGATACAGCAGGGCACCGGCAAAGCTACAGTGGAGTCGTCGCGCCACCGTTGTGTATGCCTTGCCCATCCAGCTCTAGCTCTTACTACATGCGGTGATCAAGACAACCGGTTACCCGCAGGTCTCATTACGAAGACACATACGGAGCAGTATGGATCGCCTTGAAGCTCCGTATATACCATACCTCTACTTATGCCGAAGCCGTATACATACTCCGTGCATATTTACGGAGTACATCCGGGCATCAAATTGCCCACGCCGGGCCGAATTTGGGGTCGATGTTTCGGCCCGCGATATCAAGCGGATCCATCAGACCCAGGGATTCGTCTCTTTGCCGGCGAATTTCTTTCATCATACCGCGTACGTTGCCTTTCTTGCTTCGTCAAAAACGACGACGCTCTCACCGGGATGATCTCAACACCGTCCCACCCACTTTTCCGCGGGGAACGGGTGTTGGGTGCAAATTTTCAAACATCTTCTGGCTTCGGCCGAGTTTTACCGCATCTTGTGGGATAGCTTAGCGGCCAGGGTCCTCGTAGATGGGTCCTCGTCGCTTGGCTTAGCTCGCTTGCAAGATTTTTTCATGGCGGTGGTTTGGTTTGGCCTTGGCGGATGGGACGGGATACGAGATACGGGCGATATTTGCGCGTCAATTAAGGTGAGCTTAGGTGAGGTGAAGTGGGAGCTTTGGAAGGGAAAACAGTAGGTCGCATGCAGGGTTTTTATGCTTATTTGCGTGAGAGTACTTTTGCGATGCAAGTCCAGGCTAGCTTTGAGCTTGTTCGATAAATGGTGTTTGATTTTTTTTTCCAGGCCTGGTCTGGTGCCGTCTAGCACGTCGACATAACCTAAAAGCTAATTTGAATGACAAAATCCAGCAGCTAACAACTTGAGATAACAAGTAACAATTATTCAAAAAGGCCTCAGGGATGGTTCTGTTAAGATCAAGCTCCCATAAGGGAGTCAGTCTCTTCCTATCATATTGATTCCATTATCCTCATCATCAGCCAAATAATTTTTATGAAGAAAAAAAGAAAAAGAGAAATCAAAACAGAAAAAAAATTGTTCCAGTCCTTGTCTGCTTATGTAATACGGTCGGTTATCTGAGAGTGCAGAAGGAAGAACAGTTATTCCGGAGCTCCACTGGCCAGGGTATAAATTTTCTTTCGCAGCGGCGACATTTCCTCTTTTCTCTTTTCTTCTTCGTGCGGCGGCGCAACTCTCACTTACCCGTGTTGCTTGGACATCGTTTCTTCGGAGACTCTTAGTGATGTTACCAGGTGTCAGTTGCGTCACAGACGAATGGAATTGCACCCTTATCCTTACCAAACGGGTCTGCCTTCTCAATCTACAGGATTGTGACCTTCAGTCGTATGGGATCGGACATCACACTTTTTTAGCATATTGTTGTTGTTTTGGACTTGGCTATAGACAACTGAAAAAAAGATATTCAAAATGAAAAGATTATTTCAACAGATACGATTATATTTTTTCCCTCCGTATTGTAGTTCATGCTATTTCGTCTCTTTGATGGTTGCTGTTAAAATAGACTCATCACCCAGTCTAGCCTTTGCGGTATCATAATGGACATTAGTAGGAATTTTGGAACAATTCCGACCCTCAGGTCCAACTCTCTACAGAGTGCAATGAAAGGACTGCCATTTGACTGTGACACTTTACTCCCCAGGCTCATCGCCAATCTTCTCCAGCTTGCCCATCGACCGCTTCTCACCCGAATCACCAATAATGCGAACTCGGTCAACACGTAACTTCTCACTATCTCCGTCACCATCCACAAAGAAAAGCACCAACGACGTAACGTTCTGGAACTTAACAAATCGCAAATCAATCCGCGCAGTTCCCGTCTTCGCATCCCAGTCCTCCTCCTTGATCTCCACCGTCTGCACAGCCGGAATGTCATCCGCCTCGTCAAATCCAAGCACATGCGAACGGTTGACATAAAGCTTGATAGTCTTCGGCCGCATGGGCGCCTCATCATCGTCCTCATCAGCGACCGCAAACGAGGTAACATGCAACGAGTGCACCTTCAGTGTCGACTGGAACGGCACGTAAAGCATAAGCTGCTCGTCCGTGTCGCTCTCCACCCAGTCAGCTTTGCCCTCGGCCTTTGCCTTGCCCTTGCCCGCAATACCAGACGGCTTGTTGCCCGCGAAGAGCACGCGCGCCTCGCCCCGCTCGCTGTCCCGGTTTAGAAGCTCCAGTCCCTTCACCTCGACTTGGTCGGTCACGTCCGCGTAGCCCTTGGCGACGGTGGTGCCAACCCAGCCAGTGCCGCTGGATTCGGCATCGCCAGATGCTGCGCCGTCGGACTTTGTGGCTTCGGTGGCGAGTTTCTGGATGACTTCGTTTAGGCGGCGGGGGTCTGCGCCGGCGACGGTTTGAGTCTTGCGGCCGTTCTCGAAGACGATGAAGGTGGGGTAACTGGATTGCAGAAGTTAGGGAGAGGATTCTTTTTTTCGTTTCGTCTTGTCTCGTAGACGGTTTCTTTTTGTAGATGGTCGTAGCTAGGGAGGGTAGGAGGTAGTTCACATACGATCGGACGCTATACGCCTGCGCCAGGTCCTTCTGCTGATCACCGTTGATCTTGGTGAATGTTATTTGGTTCGGGCGGGATAGCTGGCGAGCCAGGGAGTCATAAACGGGGGCGATGGCTTTGCATGGTCCACACCAGTCGGCATAGACTATGAGGTAGCGGATGAAAGTCAGTGAAGGGTTCTGGTGGTGATTTGCTTGGGGCTGGCGGGGGTAGGAAGGGATTCTCGTGCGGGATGGTGGTGAAGCTTACAATCGGCGACGACAACTCGAGAAGAGGTTAGGAGCGAGCTAAATTGCTCATTTGAGGATATGTTGATGACCGACATGGTGGGGGGTGTTTTTGGGGATTAAAGAGTGAAGGTGGTGGGGAAGAGGTTCGAGGTTGTTTTGCCCGGATCCTTTCAATATGTCATCAATCTTCCGGTCAACGGAGCTAATGAGCAGCACCTGTGATTCACCTGGGACAACCACGCTCTATCTCTTTGACTTGAGTAAAGTGGTGTAAGCTCCGACCATATCTTCTTTTCTTTCTGTTGGGTTTTAATCGTGTTTGGCTTCGTGATCACCCGAGGTCATTCTCAAATCGTGGGCATTGTCAAGACATATATTTGTCCGCGAATGTTCAAGGAGGTGATGGTCAACATAATTGTAAACATTGGATAGCGTCTGGATGTAGCTGTCCCACAATTCCAAGAATTTGGATCAAATTGCAAAGAGAATTTAAAAAAGGTATGTGACAGCCACCAAAAATGTCCAGGCACTGTCCAGGTGAGACTGAGCGTTGATGTACTTACGACCTAGTAGGTAGTCCTACCGCAGGTCAATCTCACTCGTCAGACACAACATTTGAACGCAAGACATGTCACATGAATCCAATCAAAGCTACGCCCCAAAATTGAAGGTTAAACTTTGATTCAAGACCACTTGGACAACAAGGCAGCAGCAGCCCAGAACCAAATTCTACAGCAATAAGTGCTTTGCAAAACGACCCCGACACCCGCTGCCCGACCTACCCGATCGGGAAAACCACCGCGCATGGGGATCCACATGAACGTCAGAGCTCGTCCAGCGTTCAAGTATAAGACAGTACATGTGCAGTGCAAATCCCCTCTCAACATTCTCAGTAGCTCTTCATTTCAATTGCACACCCAAGTTTCACACAGCACCGACACGATCAAAATGACCACATCGAAAGAATGGGCGAAAATGCTACGAGGCGAGCTGTACATGCCCTGGGATGAAGACCTTCAGGCAAACCGGACACGCTGCAAGCAGGCATGCGATGAGTTTAATGCAGCAGGAAATGTCTCAAGACGCAGAAAGGTAGAATTATGGAGAAAGTAAGACCCGATCGATCAGCGAAAACGAGGCTCCGAGATGAATGAATCTCAAGGGGACACCAACGGCAGTTCTAAGGGCTGTTCAATCCTGGAGGAATCACTGCTGACTCCTGCCAGTATAACCGGAGACACTCGTCCCCTTCCACCAGTGAACACAGACCCTAAAATAGATGAAGAACTCTTCGATGAAACGGATCCTGTCGTTGATGGCCCCATCTCCGTGGATCATGGTCTTAATTTCAAAGTGGGAGCTGGCACATTCCTCAACTTTAATCTGCTTGTCCTGGATACTTGCTTGATAACTATCGGCGAAAGGGTTCTCTTTGGACCGAATGTTTCGCTCTATGGGGCCATCCACCCGCTTGATCCTGCTGTTCGACAGGGGATGAAGGGGCCCGAGGCTGGCAAGGAGATACACATTGAGGATGACGTATGGATTGGGGGCAGTGTGATGGTTCTCGCGGGGGTGAGAATTGGAAGAGGGTCTACGATTGGGGCGGGATCGGTAGTTACGAGAGTAAGTTCCTTTTGTTTGAGCTGCTTTGATGTGGTATACTGATTTTTTTTAGGATGTTCCTCCTTTTCATTTTGCGGCAGGAAATCCGGCTCGTGTTATCAGGCGGATTGAGAGCAAGATGGATCCCGAACAGTGTTAGACTCGATAGATATGATACCATCCATTAGAAAGACAATATTTACATATAAAACATCCAGTGATCTGAGGCTCACGATTGCCAAGGCGCTTTAAATCCATTCGTAGAAAGCCGAAGCGCTGTATTGGGGGTTCGCTTGCCAGCTACTTCCGGCAACACAAAGTGAAGAAAAAGCAAGGGAGCCTCCGATTCAAAAACGATGGGTAGAGTGTATGGGGATGGTGGTGTCGTAAGACTACCAGATCCTCATCCACTGCCTGGATACCTGCCGGAAACATACCCCCACGCTATAGATATGGTGGGGTAGAGACAAAGCAGGCAGCCTTTGATGTAATGGCCCTGGACAAAGACGGAATGTATACTGGCCTTGACCTGGTAAGGCCATGTATTGGGGGCCAGCTGTTTGCGACGAGGTCTGCGAGTCTCTCATGGACTTTACACGACACTTTGGTCGTAGCGTTTGGAATGACTGAGCACCTGGGGCTCATGGAAACCAACTGTAGACCATTGACAGACCCGATGAGTCCAGCCCGTCCGGCAGCGCCAGGCTTCTGGTAAGACAGTGGTTTGGATTGGGTATGCTTCAAGAGAAGACATCAAAAAAGCCTGACCATTCAGCCATCATCGGCAGCAAAGAGAATCTTTAAGTAAAGACTACACCCTACGCAGCCAATGACGACCTCTCCATGATCCATACCCGACTCCAGATGATTTTCTGTCACCGAGAAACCTCGCTCATCACCGCACCGACAGCCACGATACCAGGTACCATCCTCCTCATCATAGTCCATGTCATCCAGATCCACCGTCTCCAGACCCGTATGGAACACTTCGGATGTATCCTCTGCGAACTTTGCGCGGTTCAGCCGAAGCGAGCGATCATACTCGGCGCGCAACATCGGGTCGGATAGTGTCTTGTATGCTGTTGTAATCTCGTCGATGGTGTAAGATCGCTTATCGGTGTTGGACCCGGAAGAGGGCTTGGAGGGTGCGGAGGTTGAATACGCGACGGTGCTAGCCTTATCCGGGTGGTGTTTGAGAAGTGCTTTATGGTAGGCGAGTTTGATCTGTAGATTCGAGAGGGTGGTAGAGGAGCTCGAAAAGGGAAGTTCGAGAATCCGGTAATAATCATTATAGACTGATGATTCAGTCATTGTGGTATAGGTGCCCGTGTGGGGATGGGCCCTTTCGTAGTAGGTTTGCGTTGCGGGGTTGAAAGTGGTAGGCGGGCAACGAGGGAAAAAATTGCAAGGCGGCGGTTGTAGTCAGCAAGGCACCTCATTATCCTCAAGAATTAGGGAATCGGAACGATAAGAGGTTGCTGGAAGGAAGAATATGGGTGTTGTCGGAGAGACGTTGTGCATGAATGAAATGAAACCCCAAATGGAGAGGAGATCGCACAAAGATACAGAAATACGGATGGGAATGAAGAATTGTAAAACAAAAAAAATCATATATTCATGTTGACTAGGATGTTCGTCGTAAAATAGTCCTGCTGCTCAATGAAGACTGAGCACCAGGGTGGAGTAGACGCAGCCCTGCTAGAAGCTGTTTGGTTTTGATCTGCCACGAACGAACGATATAAAATCACCCAAGAGACGTCGATGCCATTAAATGGCACCTCGCGGGTTATGTGGTTTGCTATAAACGAATTACTGAGTCCTGAGAAGATTTGGGTACAACGATCCTCACATTTCAGGATCGAAGGACTTTTGTTCTTCAAAGGAATCGTAAACTCTTTGATAGAGTGTAGTTGAAGAGAAGAAAAGGAAAAGGGAAAAAGAAAAACGGAAAGAAATAGTCAAAGATAAGCTAGACGGCACGTGATATTAAATCAGTCACGTGGGACCCTCCTATTTCAATGGAAAAATTTCGCAATCGATAGATTTTCTTTTCTTCTTTACACTTTTTCGAACGCATAATCAACCTCCAATTCCTTTTTGTCATAGGATGGCAGGTCATATTGGCGTACTAGATGAAATTCCACTGGGCAACATAAAACTCCTCGACGGCACAGGTTGGCTTCGGCTGGCTAAGTTGCAGTGGGCGATGGTATCTCCTGCTGCCCAGACATCTCCAATCTTTTAACGCCAAATGTTGTAAATGTAGTAGATATCTTTGGTTTTGATTTTTGGAGTTGAGTATTAGTAGTAAACATGAAATTGATTCTTCATGTAGCAAAGACAATTACATGTCAAGCTAGCAAGATTTGCAGATGGATTCTTGGTTGAGTTAAGACCGTCCCAATCTTTGTACCCGTGATACAAGGATCCCAAGTCTTATATTCTTTGATTGTCTATTCTAGAGCGGTTCTAGAAGCAATTTCCATGAAGAAGTAACTAGTGGAGCTATCAATAGCACATCCCTGAACCAGCCGCGCGTAGTAATTAAGCTCGGAATGTTTTGTTTAAAACAGGATGTCCGGGGTTGCAATGCCCCTCGCAGATGATTCGATCTTCCCCTTCTCCGCCTTGAGACTTTTTCCTCTTTCCCCTATTCATCAACTTTCACGTACTGTGTGTACGCTGTCCACTCATTTCCTTCACCATGCCGAATGGCATCAGTAAGCGCCAGCAGCTGCGCAATGAGAAGACCCTCGCCGAGCTGATCCGGACCGTCCCTGGCAATGACCGATGTGCCGATTGCGATGCCTTGACCCCAGGTTCGTCCTTCACCCCGCGAAAGGCTTCATTAGAGACTTTGAATTGACTGGTTTATACAATTGAACAGGATGGGCGAGTTGGAATGTATGCTATTCACTTAATTCCCGAAAATTGCCCCCCTACTCTGGAATTTGGTCGTCTGACTTTCATCTTTTGTATAGATGGGTCTGTTTCTGTGCATGCGGTGCGCCGCAATCCACCGCAAGTTGGGCACACATATCTCCAAGGTCAAGTCTCTGTCAATGGACACCTGGTCGGCAGAGCAGGTGGATGTAAGTCAATGTTCAAACCCCCAAGAAAGAAAGCCCGGAAACTAACGCCACGGCTCCTTGGCTAGAATATGAAATCCCATGGCAACCTCCTCATGAACAAGATCTATAATCCCAAGAATATCAAGCCGCCAGTCCCGACCGACGTTGACGAGGCCGACTCGTGCATGGAAAGATTCATTCGGCAGAAATACCAGTACCGATCCTTGGAGGATGGAAAGCCCAAGCCTCCTAGTCGGGAAGACTCTAGCTACACTAGACGCCACGAATCTAACCGAGACGACTCCGGATATAGCAGACGCCCCGAATCGAGACGCGATGAATCACCGAACAGATCGCCCGATGGTTCACCTCCTCCGCTGCCGCCAAAGTCAGGCAAGTTCTTCGGGTTTGGACTTAGGTCATCCTCCTCCACCTCCAACCTCCGTCGATTTGGAACCAAGAAGGCGTCGCCAGGATTTGACCAACGGCCTTGGTCTCCACCGCCTTCAGGCAGGACAACTGGAATGGGAGCACCGGTTGCTGATGTGACGACTGCATCATTGGAAGCGAAGATGGCAGCGCTGCAGGAGATGGGTTTCACCAATGTTCGGCGCAACGAGATGGTTCTAAAAGGTCTCAATGAGGACCTAGACCGTTGTGTTGAGACATTGGCGAGACTAGGCGAAGGAGACCCCGAATTGATACGGGCTAGGGCCTCGGCGAGAACACCCACAACCAGGGCAGTATCATCTGCAGTGCCTGTCGGTCTTTCTAGACCAGAAACAGCACACAATCCTTTCGACAGAGCCGTCTCGAATCCAGTTCCCCAACAGTCGCAGCCAACACAGCCAGCGCAGCCAGCGCAACAGACTCCTTATAACCCATTCGATCAGTTTACCCAGCCACCGCAACAATCTTTGCACACCCCCCAATCGGCTCAACCTTTGGAGAACTCCTTCCAAAACCTACAGGTGTCCCAGCCCTTGTTCCCGCACTCCACTGGAGGATATCCGAGCCAAGCCAACCCTATGCAGCAGCCTGCATACCAGCAACCGTATACTCCCCCGGTTACAGCAACATTCTCTCAGGGTGCTTATGTTTCCTCGCCTCAGCCCGTGGACAACAATTATAATCCATTTTTCCAGACAGCGCCCCAGCCGCAAGGCAACATGGCCAATCAAACTTATCCCAATCCGAGTGCTGCACAGAACAATCCATTCTATAACAATGTTGCTCAGAACCAACCACAACAGCAACCAGTCCCATCAATTTCAGTGCCTCGACCGCCCCAACATGCAAACACCATGCCGGCGATATCATCCACTTCACCATTCGGAACATCTCCATTTGGTCCGACACCTTCTTTCCAACCGCAGCAGCAGCAACAGCAGCAATATCAGCAGCAGCAGCAGCAGCAGCAGCAGCAGCAGCAGCAAGCTCAGAATACAGGCTCCTTTAACCCATATCAGCAGTCAATGGGTCCCTCAACTCCACAAAGTGCAATCGGCTACCCGAACGGCTTGCCGAATCAATACCAACCACAGCAACACCAGCAACACCAGCAATTGGCACCTCAAGCTACGGGCCAAATGGATAAAAATAGTATCCTTTCTCTGTACAACCTCGCTCCTTCGCCCACCAACGGAATTCCTCCGATCCCACAACAATCCCAATCTCAATTCCAGCCCAGTGCAGGAACCAATCCTTTCCCAACATCTCCTCAGCCCTTCAACTCTGCTCCCCAAGCCCAAGCCGTCCCCAACATCCAGATTCAACAGCAGAGCTTTGCATCCCAAAACCCATATGGCGGGCCTAATACCGGCTCTGGTGCTGGTTCAGGTTTAGCTGCGCAAGCAGGCGTGACATCCTACCAGTCCTCAGGTCTGGGCATCGGAATGGGTGCCAATGGCCCCGTAGCGCCTGCTCCAGCTCCAGCACCAGCACCAGCAATGGGGATGGGGTTGGGGGGTTTAAACCCATATGCTTCCCAGCCCAGTCCTTTCACTTCGGTCAACCCGGCGCTGCCCAGAACTCACATGAGCCAGCCAAGCGTTGATATCAATGGCCTGCAAAACGGTCGGCACAGCCCCGACGCCTTTGCCAGCTTGAGTGCGCGCTATGGTTGATTTGTATGCTGAAGTGATCGACTGGGCGGGGCTTAACCGAACTGGATGACATATGAGCCTTGGTTATTTACACGAGACTAGATGCGGCCATGTACCATTTCCCTTTTGTGTTTATTCTTTTGCGATTATAGATTGTGTTTCTTTTTGTTCGTTCGTCAAAAGCCAAGCTGATACGGGTATAAAATGCTTGAAAATACTCACCTAATGATATGGATACATGTATAGATGGATCAACGAGATGTGGATAATGTACATGTACATGGGTTTGCGTGCATCTTGAGATTTATCTGGTCTGTTCTTGTCACTCTTTGATTTCAAGTTCTTATTTCTTTTTCGTTTTTTTGTGGGTGCATATTTTCTTTCCGGGCTATATATCGATTTCTTTATTCAAATGTACTTCTACTGGTCTCGACTGGTCTAAAAAGAAACTTGAGTAGCTTGGAAAGTAATAGAGTATACCTAGAAGTAAATAGGCAGCACCGGCGACTGATATCCATACATGTACCATAGAGAAGACATCTGGATGCATTTAACTAGACCTCATAACTATCAAAATATGCACATCTGCAAAAAAAATCCCGTAAGATCAGACATAAATCCATACCAACTTGAAGTCATAATAAACATTGAATTCCCTGTTTGATATTCAATCAAACTTTTCATTCCCACAACTCATTATTCCATCGCACAATCGTGTAATCATAAAAGAAAAAACAAAGACAAATAGATCAACAGAAACATAAAAACAACCGCTAATAACACCAAGTCTCGAAGCCGTCCGTCAACGGTCCCTAAACCACATACGCGGGCCTCCGGCTCGAGCTCCGATGCCGATGTCCACTAGAGTGACCGCGTCGCGAACTATGACTCCGTCTCCTTACAGTCGTCTCCTTAACAATGACCTCGCGCTGACCACGCGTATGCAAAAAGAGCGCCAAGAAAGCCGTCCAGGCAAAGAAAACCACCTCCATAATGCCCATGGCAAAGGAAGTCTTGAGCATAGCGCACGTCTTGTTGATCTCCAAATGATATCCGTTGTTGATGCTCTCGCCGTACTCGCCAAATGGACCGAGGGACACCCAGACCGAGCCGCCGTCCCAGTGCGAGCAGCTCTGATTCGCGATGAAGCGCAGCTCGTAGATGCCGGCGATGAAGGCGCCCATGAAGAGGAGGTCGACGAATGAGACGAAGAGCGCCGAGCGCTTGGTTGCTGAGAAGCGGATGAGGGTGTCGATGCACCAGAAGGCGGCGATCACGCTGACGATGAAGATCACGAGGATGTAGGGGGGTGTGAGCATGTTGGCTTTTAGGTAGCCGTGGACGAAGTAGGACTGGTGGTTGTTGCGATGTTAGTATAGTTGTTTTGTTTTGGATTCGGGTCTACTCTAGTGAAAGAGAGGTTTCATGTGATATTTGTTGTCGCTACCTAAAGCGCAACTCGGTTTCAGGACTGGGATATGTGTCTGTGTTTACGTACCATGATGCCGATGATGGGGATCAAGAAGGTGATCTCCACCAAGCGGTTGAAGATGAAGAATATGCTGCCGATCATCTTGTCGGATACCTCGTGAACAAGGGAGAAAGAAGAGATTGAGTTTTGATCTCAGGAATGCGACAAAATAGAGATTGCGAAACGGGCCGCTGTCGCGTCACTTCAGGTATGTTTGTAGAAGTACTTCCCAGAAGCGAAGCTGTTTGTACTAATCGTTTGTATAGGGTGGATCGATCTCACTCTCGAAGCATCATATGCAGCTTAAAAGCAAGCGGGAGTGGATTGCGATCACGACCTGCAGAGATGGGGAGACGCAGGGGAAAGATGTTTAAAAGGAAAAAAAAAAGAATAAGAGGGGTTGGAAGGCAAAGAAATGCAGGAGAAAAACGTGCCGTCACCTCAAGTTGACAGCGGGGGAGAAGAGGCTGGGCGAGTAACCGTCCCTGTTATGGGTGGCTGGGGCAACCAGTGTTAGATTTGCCAAGTTCCCTGAGCAGCTCTATTGGTTGAGATTTAATTTAAAGCCATTTTTGACATGTTCTGCATTTTTTAGAGTCAATATATCCGATCGCTTGGAATTTATGACTTGCAGCTGTTGATTCTATACTCTCCGTATGCGAAGGTTGGAGCGGCAACCAAGATTTCTCGAATCCAAAGTCAATTGGTCAAAAGAAAAGAAAGAAAACAAAAATTTCAAAGAACGACTTCTAACTGTCAAATACAATCAAAATGCGTCTATCATATCCATAGTTCTTACATCAATCACATTGTATCCCGAGTCCATGTCTTAAAAGAGTAGATGAAACAAAAACAACCACTTTGCGCCAAAATCATGACAATAGAACTGCGAGTAGACAAGCTCCCTTTATTTTTTATCTAAATTCGTAACTTTCTTACACCTCCCGACCGGGCACATCGGCTAATGATCGCTCTAGATGATCATGACTGACAACGACACCTGGCGGACTAACAACAACCGGTGCCGTATGTACGACCTGCGGCTGATACGCACCGGGTTGATAAGCAGTATTGGCATCAAAGGAATGACGACTAACACCCGGGTTCTGCGTCGCCGCATACCCAGGCTGCATTTCATATCCATTACCCACGTCATCCTCACTCGAAGACCAATTTCCATCCGGGTCATGATCATGCGCGCGACGAGGATACACCTGCGACGTGTACGGGTTGCCAGGGTTAGCGTAGCCCGATGCACCAGGCCCAGGCTGGGGCGGGGACGTAGATCGCCCGCGCATACTAGCTCTAGCTCCATTTAAGCGTTCCGCCTCTGGATTCCGTAGCGCAGTCGAGCTGTCCCCTAGCGCGCTGAACTTGGCGTCGATTGGGGCGGCGGGCTCGGTGCCCCAGGTGCGGATCGGGAAGGCCCGGCCCTTGCGCCAGGACTCGGTGATCGGCGGGAAGTATTGGCGGTAGGAGAGCATTGCGCAGGCGACGCCGAGAAGGGAGCCGGTGATCACGTCGAATGGGTGGTGGCGTGCGTCCATGATGCGAGACACGGCAACAAGGGTTGCGGCAAGGATCGGGATTGTGACGAGCAATGTCTTCCACGTCTCGCCTCTGTTGTCCATGATATGGAATTTGCCGCCCAGCCACAGGGACGTGTAGAAGAGTCCGGCAAAGGAGGCTATGAGGTCAGTTAGCAGGGGGGGGTTCTTTCTTCTCAGTCGAGTCACTTCATGTGGTTAAGGGTCTGCGATTACGACTCACAGCTGCTATGACCTGTTCATAATTTGTCTTAGTACGTACGTCATCACTGAAAGATCCCAATTCACTATGCAAACGTACCTGATGGCCAAGATCGGAACCCATCCTTGATCAACGCCGCTTCTCCCGTGCAGATGGTCGAATTGGACAGACCGTACGGCAGCAGGTCCGCGCTTCCAGCGCGCGGCTGGCACCGGTCGATCAAGTCCGGGCGGGGTTTCCCACATGCGTTTTTCAGCACCTGTGTGATGAGGAAAGCCAGCGCCTGTGATAGTAAGAGGCCTAAAATCCCACAGTTCATCTCCCATAAGCGATCCTTCCAGCGCCAGGGACCGCGCAGCTTCCGCTTCCCGGACGCCGGGTCCAGGGGTTTATGGTGCGAGAACAAGCCATCGATAAAGAGTGTATAGACGATTATCAAGACGAGGGGGAAAAGGCCAGAGATGCACAGGGCATACTGAATGGGAATGCGCTCGTGGACGGCGTACGGGTATTGAAGGGAGATATTGCGGAGGGAGAAGTGCTGATGATATGGTTCAAGAGAGTCGAGGATCCAGAAGCCGATGACGCAGGCACTGTGAAAGATAGTTCATTTTTAGAGTAACTCTTGAGGTCAAGGGAGCGGAGACGTACATCAAGATCACATAGTCGAAGATGTAGCTGGAAGAAGGTTAGTGAAGGCGCATTCTGCGGGGAAAACGATTGGAACTCACGAGATCACTACGCGTGGCCGAAGCCTCCGCTTGGAGAACGGCAATTTGGCCGGAATCTCCATTTTCTATCTCGAATACCCAAAGACGATACAGAAGAAAAAAAAAAGACAACAAAAAAACAAAAATGTTGTTGATCGCGTGTGCGTGTTCCGCATTAAATAGGACGATCGAAATGTACCCACGCAAAGGCGCATCTTGGCAACCATGTAACTTTCTGGGTATTTTCAGGCACCTCTCAATCGCTGCCAGTGGCTTCGTTACACTTTCAACTAAATTTGGTTCACAACTATTGCTTACCTAGTGGGGGCTTACTTTGACAGCTCTTCCATTCCCTTTGTCGGTCCAGACTCAGTTCCTGAAAGATTCAAAGCAGAATGTCTGCAGATCTTCTTCAACAAAGGCCAGTGCAGATCCACAGAGGAAAGCCAAGAACTCTCCACCATACATGTACCGTGCGGCGTGTCGAATTGCTGTGTCTCGATTTGTTGTAAACGTGGACATAGCCGGCATCCACTGGGGCCCACAACTAGGCAACATGGTTATTAGAAGGGTAGAAGGGTCCAAGACGGGAAATTGCTGCAGCTTCCCACGGAATCGAGGATATCGACATGGTACTACATGGCCATGCCCTTTTTAAGGAGATTTGCACCCAAGTAATGACCTTTCTTTGGGAGAGTCCGTTGGGCCCTTTTACATTTGGGGATTTCAAAACATCGGTACCTTAGTCCCAAAAGGCAATAGAGAAGACCGATCAAGATCATTATTATCTCTGATCCAGATGTCCCCATGTACTTTTTTCCTCTGCATTTATCCACGTTGAAGAGTAGATTGGATTAGATATGTGGCTGTATTTTAGCCCGTTAGGCGTACGCCCCCACGCGACCAGGGTTGCCACTTGATGGCTGAGCTTGGATAGAACCGTCAACTGGTAATCTCTCATAACCTCGACTGATTTTCATTGGGTCTGTCCCAATTTCCTCAATTATACATTGGTCCGGCGACGAATGTTACAAGGCCAGCCCCATGGCATAACCGTGAAGTGATTTGTCCACTCCCATTCTTTCTTCGGATCTGTAAGCTCAAATTCAAAGTCCCTGACCATGGTGGTAATAAGCTTGGTGATCTCGAAGTGAGCGAGATTACGGCCGGGGCATTGGTTATATCCTGCTCCCCACTGCAAAGATGAAAAAAAGGGTTAGTATGTGTGGTCACACAGGGGAGCTGTGTTGTCACTCACATGAATAAGGAAAGAATCCATGCTTTTCGTCTTCGCATCACTTTGAAGCCAGCGCTCTGGGTTGAAGACGTTACAGTCTTCGCCAAACAGCGTCGGGTTTCGGTGGTAGACCCAAGGGTTGACGCTTAGGATGACCTACATTTTTCGTTAATGAACATGTTCCTAGAAGTCTAATGAAATTATTTGCGCCCAACTTACACCTTCAGGGAAGTATCTGTCTCCAATTGTCATTCCACCCTTTGGTACAACCCGCGGAAGGGGGCTGGGAACCGCACTGTGGAGTCGATAGATCTCTTTCATCTGTTCAGATCGTTAATATTCAATTTAAAGAAAGCGAGAGCGATTGAACGGTAAAACATACACAAGCTTGGAGGAAAGGCAATTTCTGCGCCTCGTTATACTGGACAATAGGAGAAAGTTCTCCACCAGCATGAGCAGCATCAATCTCCTCACGGAGGCGCTCTAGATGCTCAGGATTGCGAATGAGACAGTACACAAGCGACTGCATAGTTGCGCTAACGGTGTCCGCACCAGCACCGACGTTAGCCACGGCTGCACCGAAGATCTCACTCTCCGCCATGCGATCCGGGTACTTGGCGCGAGTGTCGAGCCATTGCTGCATCATGTCCTTGCGCTTTTCAGGGTTCTCCTTGCGTACCTTGATAGCTGCAAGACAGGTATCGAAGATGTGCGAGGAAGGTTGAATGCCCAAACGACTAAGGAGCGGGTTACCCAAAGTGAGGTTGTGGAACCAGGTATAGTGGCCCATGACGGCGACATATAAAGCGAGGGCTCGGGTGTTTGAGATGGCATTCCCGATATCAGTACCGGTCTTGACGAAACCAAAGGACTTGGAGAAAGTGACCTCGCCGAGGACGTCAAATGCGTAGAAAGTGAACCAAGTTTCGAATTTGAATGGCTTGCCTGCTTTGGCATATTCGCTCATGGCATTGGTGAAGAGCTCCAAAACGGCATCAACGTAGGGTTCGGACTTGATGATGTTGGAAAGAGCATATCCTGATGCGACGTTGCGACTTTTCTCGATATGTCGTTTGTGGTCCAACTCGGACATCTGGTTCACCATGTGATAGTCTGGAAGACTGAAGATGGCATACCACGGGCCCTATATGAGAGTAAGCCTATGGTGTTCTCGATTGGCAATTTTATCGGTATTTCAGGAAGTCTTTGTACCTTGGCAATATTTGCGTGCAAGAGCTGTCTCACTGCATCGGGATGAGAGACGCTAACTTCATTTTCTCTGATCCGAACAAAGTGTCCTATTGTGTCGCATCAACATCTCTAAGACTCTAACCATTCTCTCCTTGATGATCTGGAGCTTTTTTCCAGGAAACATACCATGCTTCTCATGTAATTTGAGCGTCGCATCCTCCAAATGACCTTTGTACAGCTGGGCGACCACCCAAAGACTGGAAAAGGATGCCCAAAAAGGCCCCGGGATATCTCGAATCGATGTGCAATAACGTCTGATTACGACACGTGCTATAAGCGCCCCGATAAGCACGATTCCCCACGTCAGGCGCGTATTCAACAGGGCTATCACTTCGGGAATTAGAAGTGGGGCCATATTGCCCAAAATTCAGGATGACTTCCGAGACTCAACGTGAATTTCGAAGAGAAAAAAAGCAAGGAAAAGAGGGTCTAGGGGGGTTTGTAGAATGGAAAACGAGGATAGAGAGACTAAGAGTGTATACGGTAAGTCCGAGTCTAGCGCAGGATAACGATGGATAAAGATGCATAACAAAAAACACAACAAAAATACACATGATACTAGTCAATTTCAAAAATCAACATTTGCTTTCAAAAATTGAAATCCCATTTTTCAGGGGAATGAACCAGTTTCCCGATCCTTCTGTGCGTACTATTCTTTAACAAGGTTGGTGAAGCAGCTAAGGCTGTCTAGATCAGTCAGATGTGGATGTTCAGTGGGGACCATTGAGGATCGAGAACCAAACATAATCTTAGCTCTATTAGTGTTATATTAGCGTCGCCTTAGTGTCCTGTACACAATGAATCGACAAATAGACAATACCATTGAGTCTGAAATCGCTTGCATCGATCCACTTTTCCACGGGACGTTTCTGGGAAGAAAGATTACGAGGTCAATGCCATTGTCTTTAATTATTCCGAACATCTGTTCGTCACGATCGATTGACCCCTTCCCCTGTATGCTTCTCTCACCCAACTAGTTATGCGCCCGTCTTGGTGGCTCTACTCGCAACGATGTCCGAAGATCGTGGACGGTCTGCCATACTAGGCATGTACATTGTTACGGCATTGTCGACAGTAGTGGTCCTGATTCGTCTTTATGCCCGCGGAATTCTCATCCGAGAACTGGGATGGGATGATTATATTATCGTGTTTGGGCAGGTACGCTATTGTCTTTTCCCCCTTCCATCAATCATCTACTCGATGCGAATGTGAAACTCATGTCTCTTTTTACCACATGTAGCTGTTCGCCTGGGTCGACATGGCTCTATCGATACAGGTCGTGAATTACGGCGGCGGCGAGCATCTTTTGGCTCTGATCAGTGATCCCGAAAAGATGGTCAAAATGTATAAATGGCTTGTTGCAGCCCAGATGATTTACTTTGCCGCCCTATGGATGTGTCGAGTATCTGGTTTAGCATTCTATGCGCGCTTGAACCCCATGCCCCGCTTCAAATTATACAACCGTTTGGCATTTGCTTTCGTGACTGCTGTTTGGGTATCCCAGACCCTTATCATTGCGCTTCAGTGCATTCCACTCCAGGCTTTATGGGATTCAAGCATCACTGGTAAATGCTTGACCTCAACACAAGTCTTTCTTTCAACCTCCGTCATGACAATCATCTGCGACTCTCTTATTTTAATATTGCCGGTGAACATCGTCTTGAAGCTACAAGTCAACTTTGCGCGAAAGGCTACCCTTTTATTCGTTTTCTGTTTCGGCATCTTGTGAGTAATCTGCATTTCCCTGTCCCCTTCAAACGCCACATTGATCATACCCACTAACTTCATTGGGTCTCTAGTGCAATTGTGTGAGTATAGAAACCCGAAATTTTAGGATTAAGTATCCCCGTCTTTCTATTATTGACTAACATTGAGCTCAAATAGTACGTCCATCCTCCGCATGGTCTCGATGATCGTCGCCCTTGATCACCCGTCTGATGTCACCTGGTACTTCTCCGTCGTCATGGCCTGGAGTACCTCGGAAATATCCGCTATCATAATTGCCTTGTCTTTGCCTTCGTTGAGAGGCCTATTCAGTATTTTGCGAATGAAGACGCGCACCACTGACCAGAGCAAAACCAATGACACCGGTTCTATTGGCCTCACAGCTATTCCACAGTCCAAAAACCGGATCTTCGACGGTTCGAGTCATCAAAATACCGTTGAAATTGATACAAAGAGGGGTTCGAGTCAAGAGGCTCTTTGTTGGGATAATAATGATCCCCATCATATTCGAGTCATGGATTCAGTACATGTGGATTGTGAATAAGCGACGGGACCAGCAGACACTAAATGAAGTTTTAATTATTATATCAGAACAAAAGCAAAGTACGGTTAAAAAATCATTGAATACGGACTGGTTCCAGATTTCCAGACCTCCATCGATTTCAAATGCATGCCCATTTTCTCCAAGAGAGCTGATTGACTAAGCCCTTGAGGCCACATAACTAGGCAGAGGAAACGGTCAACCAGCCGGGGTTGAGTTGATTAGAGGCTTTGCGAGTAAATACTCCCCCGCTCTCTTCGTCCCTTATCTCGTTTCGCCTGCCATCTGAATATGAAAGATATAGTGATAAACAGCAAACTTGCCAGAAGAGAAAGAGCAACGTAAAGCTTTGCACCTATTCGCCAATTGGGAGCTTCAGACGATGGATAGGCCGCAATAGGCAAGAAAGCGCTGAATAGATACGAAAAAAGGGTACCAGTCGCAAAAAGAACCGTTCGAACTTGAGGCTCCTTTTCGAGATGTGCAGCTGCCCAAGCACAGAGAAGCATAGTGGAAACCCTATTTCCGTTAGGCATGAACTAGAATGTGCATGGGGATACTCACGCTCCAATATAGTCCATGTACCACCCGGCCATATAAAGGCTCACGTTATCAGGACGTGCAGACAGAATAGATAGCGCTGTAAGATTGATGACCTAAATAGGACTTAATAAATTGACCATCTGGCTGATATAAGGGGTAGTCTTACTGAGTGAAGAAGTAAGAATGGAAGCCGAGTACCGAAATAATCGCTAAAGCCACTGAATAAGATCTCGGCGACGAGTTGAATTGCTTGACCAGCAATTGGCAAGTAATTTAGCATAGCGACAGAGCTAAAGTGAATCAGTAACCAGGTTTGGAGCTGAACTAGGAAACAAGCTGGAATCTTACTATTTCAATGTGCCATCGGTATTTTTCAACGACTTCAACCAAAGATTGAAGTAGTTTGTCGGTGTCGTACCGGTTCCAAGAGCCCAGGCAACTAGATGGTCAGGTTTCATGCATAATACGGGATTTGAATTTAGCAATTACTCACTTGAGAAAACCCATACATGCCAGAATTTAAAGCATCGTAGAAATGTCTTGGGTGTAATTCCAATTTGAGGATCACGGCCGATTCGATGAATACGTCGCTTGGCAAGTTCTGCATTCATTTCAAGTCAGTGGATATCAACAATTTACTTCAGCAGACCAGATAACACATACCAATGTCTCGTGGCCTGAGATATAAACGAGAAAGAGGGTTGGGGCGATCCGGCTGTATGTATTTCGTCAGCTAACATTGCGGACTCCTGGAGCTGCATATTGATAGATGCATACAAAACCTGGCAAAAGCACATAGGCAACAAGGGCAATGAAAATCGTGCAAACACCCTAAACTGTCAGTTAGAATTTAATAGTCGATGGGATCGGATTTCAAAGAAGCTCACATTGATGATAAATGCCCAGCGCCAACCACTTCGACCGAGAGTACCGTCAAGATGGGTCGAGAGACCACCCTGCATTGCACCGGATAGCATGGCTCCGACGGGCTGTGCGATATTATAGATGCTCATTCTTAGAGCCATTTCACTCGGCAAGTACCATTGGCTGAGGAACATCTGAGTCAATTAGGCTCTTTGCGCTGAGTGGACGATCATAATTACCTGATGATAGTAAAATATCCAGGCCAAGTCGCGCCCTCAAAGAACCCGATTAGGAAACGAAGTCCATATACCTGATCATGTTAGAAATTTCCAGCTTGGAAATGGTGGAATGGCACTTTACCTGCTTGGCACTTGTAGCCGTGGACAAACAACAGGTCAAAATTCCCCACATTATCTACGAAAGAAAGGTTCAGTGGAAATTTTGTTCCATCAAATTGGTTCTCACTCACTTCACATGTGGGTAACCAAATGGACGGTCCAACGTGAGAGATGATGATACATGAGGGGTACAGCATAATCATATACCCAATACTAATGAAAATAATGTCAGCAGTGATCTCACTTTCTACTTGGAAACCTTGATGCGACAAACTTGAAGAAGGTAGTGAAATAGTTGAGCTCGTTCCCATAAAGCTTTAGATCTGTCTCCATTCCCGAGACATACGCATTGCTCTGACGAAACTATTAGCACTCTTTTTTCGAATTTGGAACACCAACCTTACGCACAATATTAGTCTGATCGAGATATTTGAAGGCATAACCCAGAAAACCAATGGTGAGAAAGAAAAGATCCAGTCGCCATACTAGCGCTCTTTCTTCTTTGATGTCGGACTCAGGAACGGAAGAAACCGTGCTGGCAACATTCTTTTCTTCAGTTTGGGAGCCTACCATGATCAAACGATGTTGATTTAGAACATGTACTGAAGTAAGAAGAACATTTGAATACATGTAGTCTATCAACTCCAAAAAGCAGGAAGGGACAGGAACTATTTAACACCAACCTTGGAAGGGTCATAACGGGGGCAGCTCAGATTAGGTCTATGATCTTACATAGCGGGAATCTTCGGGGCTTTGGATATTTCGCCAGTTTGTACCTCCAGATAACTTTTGAAGTAGCAGATATAAAACCTTTTTAGCAGCCAAGCTCGTGATATCAAGCAAAAAATACCATAATAGGAATTTATCGCGGTGTATCTCCGATTTTCGCGTTATTCTTATGGATGTTGAGTCAATTGAACCCCACAATTGTGCCATAGCTAGGGTGCACACACAATAGCGGGGGAATTGTACGACAAGAGACCTTTTTTTTTTTTAGCTCCGGCATATGCTAAATAAACTACTAGTACTAGATTATTGGGTTCTTACAAGCAACTTCATTCATGAGTCAATGGAAATTGATCAATTGATGTTGAAGTAATGGAAATTTGAACAGATAAGGAATGTATTGGGTTAAAAGATACTAATACAACAATGGAGAAAATCGTGCCTCTTATATGCATCAGACATGATAAAGCACTGTACCAAATAGACAGATGTGTCTGCCGAGTAAGTATGTATATGCAATGTCAAGCAATACATGGTCACTTAGTTAAAAGCCATAAATAGACGAAGACATATAAACATGCGGCATTAATAACCGACAAAAGACATTAAACCGCCAATCAAATTCACAGGGGGCGGGTCAACAAAAAGGAGCTATACGTTTAGCACTTGGTGATGTAGAGACCCAGACTAGAAAAGGATGAACGTTAGCTATCGCTCGTTGGCAATATTAAGAAGGACAGAAACTTACGGAGAGGGGTTGTAGTCCTCGAAGAAGTAGAGGTAAGTGCTACCAGCCTCGGACATCTCGTAGGCAACAGTCTCGCCAGCGGGGCAAGTGAAGGTAGAGACAACGTAGGTGTTGCCGGCAGTGATGGTGATATCACCAAGATCCTCGGAGACGGAGGGGGCGTTGTCATAAGAGGTAGAGCTGCTAGCAACCTCAGAAAGCTTGGAGAAGTCAATCTTGCCATCACCAGAGAAGGTGTAGTCGGAGGTCTCGAGGTCAGCCTTCTCGGGGAACATGAAGACCAAGTTGCAAGTGGAACCCTCGTACGAGGACGGGATGTCGAAGTTGAAGATGGTCGAGACGGTCTCGCTCACTGTGCCGAAGTACTGGGTACCGTAGGCAGTAGAGGGAGCGGAAGAGTTAATGGGAACGATAAGGTGGGGGTACTGGTACTCGCCAGAGGTGAGAGTGGTGGCACAGCTGCTGGCAGAGGACGAGGTCGCGGTAGTAGCAGCGGAAGACTGGCTAGCGGAGGAGCTGGGGGAGGGGACAGCCATGGAGCTAGTGGTAGGTGCCATAGACTGAACAGGGCTCGAAGTGGTGGGAGAAGAGCCACCGGCAGGTCCAGAAGTCTCAGCGCCGCCAGAAGGAGATGGAGCAGCAGAGGCACTAGGAGCAGGAGCTCCACCGCTGCTGGGAGCAGGGGAGCCAGGAGTGCCGCTAGCACAGCTGCAGTCAGTCACAGTGACAGTGCTTGTCACGTAGATAGGCGAGCCCGAGAGAGTAGCGGCAGAGGGGGCAGGGGAAGAGCCAGCAGCAGGAGAGCTTTGGACCGGAGCAGGGGAGCTTTCGGCCGGAGCAGGAGAACTCTGAGCAGGGGCAGTGGAGCTAGGAGCCGGGGCAACAGGAGTGCTGCTCGAAGCCATGGACATGCTGCTAGAGGCCATTGGCATGCTAGAAGAGGGAGCAGCAGAAGAGGAAGGAGACGAAGAAGCACCAGCACCAGAGCCAGAGCAAGAATCGGCAGTCAGCTCGACGCTCTTGCACTGGGTAACAGATGTGCTGTTGGTGGTGTAGATGTTGCGGCCACCGTTCTCACCAGTCTCACAAGCAATGAAGTAAGGGCTGTCGTGGTATTCCAGTCCACCGGACGAGGTAATGGAGAAGCCGGTGGTGGCAGTGGCACCAGTGTCACATTGGAACTGAGTAGTCTCGGCTGCAAAATTTTGTTAGATCATATCAATATTAAAAATTGAATCTTATCATTGGCACTTACAGGTGACGATACAGCCACGACCAGCACTGTCAGTGATAGCACCGCTAGAGTTAATGCAGAAGTCTGCGGCAGACAAGCTGTCATCACCAACACGGACCTGACCATCAGTGAGCTGGCCAAGGGATCCAGACACACCACCAGAGGCAGTCAGGTGGAAGCAGCAGCTATCACTGCGGCCGACAAGGGCATTGGTGCCGGCAGCGAAGGCTGCGATAGCGACAAAGCTCTTCATAATGCAAGGCAGAGAGGCTTTCTAAACGAAAGAATATAGCACTCTTTTTTTTTCTTTTTCTTTTTTGGAAAAGACCGTTATACTTTGTCTTTCAAGTAAGTAGCTTTGGGTTTGCCGCTTGTATGAATATGGAGTAACAAAGGGCAAGGGGATTTTTGTCTGGGAGATCTGGATACTTATAACGGACAGTGGATGGGGGCCACAACGTTACGAATCAAGATATGCTCCAATAAAGCATGGACTGCGAAGATCCGGCGTGATTCCCCGAAAGAAATCAAAAAATAGAAATCATTTGATGTCAGCATCTCCAAATCCAGGAACTATGGCCAATGCAATTGACCATGGACGTGGATGTGGATCAGTGCCTGGTCTCGGACAGCAGGTAAAAGAAATTCCGTACCAGCCGGAGAGGCATCCACGGTGACATGGTAGACGTCATTTTTGAAGTGAGGTCCATTGGAATTTGAAATATTGTGTGGAGAAAAAGCCATGCTTCATGCTCCACTAGCGGTGGAGTGACGCCTGTTGTTGGAGGCCGTTATGCGTACAGTGGACCACATTGGCCTATCATGAAAGCCATGTGTAAAATTCCCATTCGGGTCTGGATCACTTGAAGTGGTAAACAATGCTGCCAAGAACAACGTAGGCAGAGTGAATTCAAGTGGCGAATCCTCTGCCTACCACGGAACCCCATGCAAGCTGCGTCTCCCCAGTAACTTCTCACCGATCAACCTTGGAAGTCTCGGATCGAACGGGTCAAAAGTGCCGACATCCATGGTTTGCCGGTAATATTCTTGCATGTCATTGATCCCCATGTATTTGCTTTGCATGGTTGAAATCATAAAGAAAAAGGTACAGATGGGCCTTCATCCCAAAATGCTCTTGTGTAAACATGGGAAGGTTTCTTTTCCCCAGATTACCAAATTTATAGCTCTACTAGATACAAGCAGATGACCAGATTGATTTGGGAAAATCATTCCAATCGCGAAGTGATCAAACTTTTTTTTTAACAAACCCAGATAAGACCCACGAAATCTCGCAAGGCGTGGGAATCCCGGAAGACCCTGCGACCCTGTTAGATGTGGAGAATGTGTATCTTGTTATATCACATTGGACTAAGCGAATGGAGAAAAGTGGGCAGCTGAGATACAAGGTGTCGGATTTGGATATCAATGAAATCTCACGGGAAGAAAAGAAGCAATAAGCCACTGCAAGGCTGCTTGAGGGGCTGAGAAAGCAACAGGATTGGATCGGACGTTGTGAAAGCCGGGACTTAACCTTTCATCCTTGCTCAATACGCAAGTGGGGTCGATCGTGATTCGGTTGACCAACAACAGTGAATGCTATTTATATTCGGTTGGTTGACCCAAGCAGCAGCAACTTGTGGCTACTAGGCACACACAAAAATAGGTGCCTTTTTGTCTTTCATGAATTCGGGGTTTGTTGCCAAAACAGACAAAAAAAAAGCTTCCAGGAGACTGCGATGGAATGTTGCTGCTTTCAAATTATTCGAAGTCACGTCATATAAACAAGTCTCATTGACTTCAAAGTTAGAACATCTGCACAGCGGGGGATTTCGTAATTGTACGTCGTACACGATCAGGGACGCGTGTTCAAGGCCAAATCCATACTCCGTTGAAAATGGCGATCGCAGGAAGATCATTTTCTTTCGCTCTAGGCTTCTAGAACAGCCCAAGTACGGAGTGTAACCCCGAAAAATCAGCAAGGGATTCGCGTTTCAATTCGAAAAGTCCCGTTGGTTTTGCTGATTGAGGCAAGGGACATGGAAGAGTAGGCTTGGTTTCAAATTCTGGGGTCCCAAGTCAGGAACCAGGTAAAAAAATCTTGCAATTTCCCCGAGGAACGATCGATCGCCACAACATCCCCCTCATGATTGAAGAAAACAAAGGGGTTTTTTTTTTCTTTGCTGTTACGCCACCGCAAGCTCCCATCATGCTATCATCGACTCCGGTTTTTCCTGTTGGCCGTTGCGCTAACCTTTGACCCCTCATCGCGCTACTGGTGTCGGGTGCCAAGTTCACCCGCTTTGTGTCGATCGCATCCGGTCTGAGCGGCTCAATGCGACTGTGCGGGCCTAATTTTATATTTACATAATAATGTTCCACGATATGCGTCATAGTGCTTGGTGTACAGCCTCGCTGGTCATGAAATGCACGAACATCGCCAATGAAATGTAATGACATTGAGCATGTCAGGCACGTTAGGTACCTGCGTACCCACCTGTCATTTCTATCGACCCAAAAAGTAAGAGTCTTGGAGGAAAGTCTGTCATTGTAAATTAGGTTGTAGGAAATTAACCGAACTGCTGGTCCTGCAAATTTCGTAATGGTGATGCCATGAAGAAGATGGTGATATCTGATCACATCGAAAGGAATGGTGAGTCCAACTCGGCAAACAGGGAATTCCAGTCGAAAAATGAAGTCGGATCCACATTACTATCAAAAGTCTGCCAGATTTCATCGAATGTCGGAAGGCTCGGATCCAATGGGTTGTTTCCTACTAAATCATCACCAGTCAAAACAGTCGGTAATGTAGACCCAGTACTCAAATCAGAGGGTGGCTGTTGACTCTGAGCATTATTGGCTCTTCGACTGGGCTTGCCATTGCTGTCAGGCAGAGTGACTTTATTTCGCCAGAGAAAAGCGTAAAACGATTCCAGAATTTTTTCCGCAAAGGGCGATTGGTCCTTTGCCTCTTCCAGAATCTGGAAAGCATCGAAAATCTCCGCTCGTCGTTCCCGATCCTGCTCTGGCCGCAGATTCTTGTTGAGGCAAACATCCATCAACAAGACGATGATTGCCACACAAACACAATGCAGAACACCAGAAAACTTCAATCGTGCAAGTACAAAAGGAATCTGCTCTGTTGATAAGAGTCGTTCTGTTTGGATAGTTGTGCGCGCGGCTTGTAAACATGCCTCTCGCGAGAAATTGAGATCGTGTTCCGTGGCTGCCCGGGATAGATATGGAAGATGCAGTCTGCATCTTTGGGTGTGAATTAAAGAATTTATGACATATCGTTGAATGATAATGCCAGGTGATTTCCGTGGATCCGTTACTGGAAGCTCGCCTGCATTGTAATCGAGGGAGAAGAACTTTGGCAACCCATTCGTGATTTCACATATCCTCATATCGATTATCCGTAATTTGTCATAGTCAAATAGCTGATTCCCGATATCAGCAAAGGGAATGCTGTCAGTGATCTCACGGCACAGTTCGCCTAGTCGGATCCGCTGAAGGCAGTATGACATGGATGTCGGTTGATCCATAGGCCTTCCCTCAATCTCAATCAATCCATCGACAAGATCTTCGTCATTTATGTTCAAAGGCTTTTTCGTGACCATGTGTCGAGGATTTATGATATAAGTCCCCTTTTGGGGGCCCGAAAAAAGGGAAAATTGCCTTCGTATTAAGGTTAGACACTGTCAAAGGATTGATAGCAAAGCACATACCAATCTGTTGCAACAAGGTACCACCAGACTCTCCTGCCTATCTCCACTTGAATTGAGTTTTGACGGGATGTATCAGGCCCCGCATTTGGAGGAAGATCAATCCGATGCAGTTGCAGTTGACGGGCTACCGTGATAGCTGTAGAGAAAACATACCATGCCTGCGATGTGATTCCAACGAGATTGGTTACCAAAAAGCCCACAATGACCATAGCCTGAACATCTTCAAGACAGTCTGTGCCCTGAAGGCGCGAGTACTCCAAAACTTCAAAGGCAAGTTTCATCCATGCGGTGGCCTGCTTATTTGCTTCCTTCACGGAGGAGAACAATGGCGCATACATGTCCCGTTCTGTCCAGAAAAATGTAGTGCTCGCTAAAATCGCCAGAAGCAGGGAAACATGTCCCAATTTGATAGGACCTCTGTCATCGAGGCTCTGGTAAAGGTCATTCATAATTTTTCTTACTGAGGGAGTATGGACGACATGATGAATGTAGGTGATGTCGGTCAAATATTTTTCGACCATATGTTTAGACTCTTCGTAGAGTGGAAGCCAAATGCGTTTCGTTGCACAAGGTAACTCAAGGCCATGCTCGGGTAATGTGGCGGCGCCGATGGCCTGTTTGATAGAGCATGTTTTGAACTCTATATCATTTGCAAGGAGAGATTCCTTTGGTGACTGTTATCAGTAACTTTCTTTCATCAACTTCCCCCCGTCTGGAGGGCGTACCGTGGAGATGGGATATGTAACCTCCCCTTCCAGCCACTCCAGGTCAACTACCGGAGTCTTTACGGCACTCAAAGGAGGAGGGCATGCTTTTTGCCAAGGCCGAAGGGGTGATACTGGTGATGCTTCTTTGTCCGCACCCGTTGACTCCTTTTTGTCAATAACTATCTCCTCCAGCCGACGTAATCGAGCTAGGACATCTTTCTGGAAGGAGCTACTAGCCAGTTCTTCGGGTAGCCTATCCGCACTTAAACTGCTGGTAGAGGGTGTTAACGGGCTCTCCAGTTGGCAAGGAAGATCACGGCTTGTGCAATTGGAGCAGGGGAACTGTCGACTACATCTTAGCTTTCGCGATCGGCAGGATAGACAAGAGACCGGACGTGACCGCTGTGGTCGGGTCGAATGCTTTTCAACGCGACTCATCATTAATGTCACTAAAAGGCTGCCGAAACCTTGCGATAATCATCCGTGAATAGATGTCGGAGGGGGTACTACCGTACGCAAGGTGGAGGAGGCTGGAGCCAATCAGGGCGGTGACTCCCCGCGGAATTTCCGCGGGCTCCGCTTCAATCTAAGTATTCTCCTGTGGCCAGCGTCTAATGTATAAAAGACAGGGAATATCCCGAGATGGTATTGGCATGGACAGCATTCAAGCATTCTAATCACTTGGGCTTCTTGCTTTCTCTCTTTTATTCCACTCCTTTCCACATACGCCATACCTCCAAATGGATGCCATCATTGCTCAAATCCATGCCTTGGCCCAATCCACCGATGACGCCGGTCGATTAACCATTCAAAAGGCCCTTCGGGATGCCCAGATGGAAATCCAATCTCCGCAAGATGTCCTTATGGGCTTTGGAAACTCCGTAAGAGTTGGGGTTGCCAAATAGTTTTTTTTCTTAAGCACTGATTGGTTTTGTATTTAGAATCTTCTCATTGCTATGTTCCGCCTCGGCGTGGATTTGGGAATATTCCGCGCTCTCAGTCAGGCCAATGGCCCTTTGACTGTCAAACAATTGGCGAGTGTCCCCGGAGCCTCACCTGCCCTCATGGGTAAGTAGATCGCTCACAATTCAAGATCTCTTTGCCTAACAATCCGTTAATTTATCTTGATCAATAGAAAGGGTTCTTCGTTATTTAGCTTCCAACAACATTATCGCGGAGGCTGGTCTTGATAAATACCGAGCAAACAGGATCACCTATATTGCCGCCGATCCTCGAGGCGAGGGCATGGCTCACCACGGGTAAGTGATCAGAGTGCTTTCTTTAGTTTTCTCGCCAAGTTATCCACCCATGTTAATACATAGTACCCTGTTACAGATTTGATGTCTTTGGACCGATAATCCAAGCTATGCCTGACTTCTTAATGGAGAGAAATTATCAAGACATCACCAGTAACACGGATACGCCATTCCAAAAAGCCTTTGACACCAAATTAGCTTGCTTTGACTGGCTTGTTCAGCACCCCAAGCATTTCGGGTCTCTGCAGAAAATAATGACCGCACTTGAAGGCGCCGAATGGACCGTCGGGTTTGATCTCATCAACACGGAGGCTTCCAAAATCCCGGCAAGTACCCCAAAACCGTCCGACAGGCCATTTCTCGTGGATGTCGGTGGTGGCCAAGGTCATCAGTGTGTTCAGCTAGGGAATATGTACCCCAACCTCCTTGGTCGTCTTATCTTGCAAGACTTACCCCAGGCAGTCAACAAATTGCCACCGATCAAAGGAGTCAGAGTTCAAGCCTACGATTTTTTCCAAAAGCAGCCCATCACAGGTCAGTGCCTAATTCTTCCATTCTGTTTATTCATATGGATCCGTTCACTTCTGAAGATTAAAAGACTGACATCTTCATAGATTCGAAATTTTACTACTTGCGAAGAATTATGCACGACTGGCCTGACAAGGAAGCTGCATCTATCCTTCAGAATATCAGTAGTGTCATGGCATCCGATGCTCGCATTCTGATTGACGAAGTTGTCTTGCCAAATACTGGAGCCCATTGGCAAGCTACCATGGCGGACTTGTCAATGATGTTCGCATTTGGTGGGAAAGAGCGATCTGCAAAGCAATGGGATTCTTTAGCTGAAAGTGCAGGTCTGCGGGTCGAACAGATTCATACTTATGTTATCTCCGCATACACGTCTATCATTGTTCTTGCTCGGAAGTAGCCTTGGAACTTTGGAAGCTTCGCCATCGGAGACCCGCAAAAAACCTTCAAACCCTGATCTATTGTACATGCACATATCCTAACTATGTGAGATTCTTACTTTCATACAGAAATATACCGTACTTCGAAAATATTACAATTGAAATTGCACATGTGCTATCCAGATGTCCTTTGAAACGGGCACTCTCAGAGGCTACAAAGGTAATTACCTAAGACTCAAGGTCACCTAGTTCGATCGTATCGCCGTGCTGGGGGTCCTAGTAGGTATACCTCCAGGCCGTAGAACTCAAGTGCTGTTGAGCAGGTATCAATGCACGTCTGCATTAATTCACAGCCCAGGTGCACTTCAATGTTGTGGACATTCGTTCATCCTTGGAATGTTGCTTAAACCCGTCTGAACATTGCAATCCATGCATGTGGATGCAATTTGAACCTCGAAAGTTGGAACATTTGAAACATTGAAGTTGAGGAGTAGGAATGGATCTGAGGTCGCCAAAATGATAATATATTTAACAAATCCTTTCAAGGATCAAATAGTGCACAAAACGCAAATGCAGTAGCCTCAAATAACTATTGTACATGACATGATAATCTCAATCACAGCTTGCCACCGGTGATTTGCTCACCGAGCTGCTTGACTCGGTCCTGAATCACGTCCCAGCGAGCAGTCTCACTCCTGCGGGTCTGGTTGACGATGCTTTGCACGGTGAGGGGAGTTCCCATATTCCAGATATTTTCGCCTGTCTGGTGGTCGTTCTTCCAGGCTGGGTTCTCGCCATCGGGGAAAACGCGGTCGATTTCAGCCGCGAGCTGCTCTTCGTTGATGATGAAGGTGCGAGCATTCATATACAGTGCTTGCAGGTCATCTTGTTTCTGTGTGTCCTTCTCTTGCTTAGCTGCCTCTACCCGCGCCTTGGAAATGGCCAGACGCTGTTCCCGGTTCGGGTCCGCCAAGACTGCGTGTCCCTTTGACTGCATCGCCTGCACAACCGATGATCGTGTCAGGCGTTCATCTTCTTGCTCAGGTTGTTGGAAAATTCGCTCTCGTCGGATTTGGCTTTCGAGACTTCTGTTGAAAATAATCTCCTCCGCAGATGTCTTACGCTGGTGGAGGGTGCGGAGACTCTCACGAAGGTTTTGTCTCCGTAGAACCGCCATCTTGAGCTTGAAGGCCTGCTTCTCGGGGTCACTGCTCTTGGGGTTCACCTTGCGCTCGGTTTGAGGGAGAGGAGTTGCGGCATCGAGATACGCTTTGCGCGGCTTATCCGCGCGGCGAGCCGGGAAGAGCTCGCGGGGCACGGGGAGAGTACCCTTCACTCTGGGCTTGGCCGGGTTGTTTGGCTGGAGAATTCGGGGAACATCGATGAAATGAGGAGACTCGGGTCCGACTCGAAGATTCGGCGAGGTCGCGAAACCACGGACCTGCACTCTGGCAGTCCGGCTGTTTCGGAGAGCAGACATGCTGCACCAGTCAATTCGGTTTGAATTCGCTTGACGGCGAAGGGTGGTGGGATTTTAAACAAAGGAAGTAATTGAGCGGAAGTAATTGATTCACGATAAGCACCAGGAAGACAGCAACACTGACCGCTTGGAAAGGAGGGTGCTCGGGAGAAGCAAAGTCGGAAGAAACAAGAAGCGATTTTGCCGTGGTCCGTGCACGGGGGAGTTTTTCTTGGCGCCAAAAAAAAATAGTTCTTTCCGCCTTTTTTTTTTCTTCTTCTTCTCTTCGCTCTCAGCCATCCTTTGTGTTTGGTCCAGCCTTCGAAAAATTTTCCGAAGGTCCAACCCCTTTTTTATTACCTTCATACTACAGGTAATCCATCAGCATGGGTACCGGAAAGAAGGAAGCCGCCCGTAAGGTGCGCGAGGGAAAGCCCAGCGATGGCATGGGCAATGTCAAGACCAAGGGTGAAAACTTTTACCGGTATGTTCACTGCAAGAACCTGGCTTGGATTAAGTCAAAGTGCAAAGTTCTAACAAGTTCCTTAGTGATGCCAAGAAGATCAAGACCTTGAACATGTTCAAGGATGGAAAGCCCCAACGTAATGCTCACGGAGAGATCACAAATTCTGCTTCCTACCAGTCTCGTGATGCTCCCGTTGGTCGCATCGAGCCCAACCGGAAATGGTTTGCCAACAGTCGAGTCATCTCACAGGAGGCACTTACCTCGTTCCGTGACGCTGTCGCTGAGCGGGCCAAGGATCCATACCAGGTTCTGCTCAAGACTAACAAGCTCCCCATGAGCTTGCTTCAGACCAATGATACAGTCAACGGTATCAAGCAATACCAGGCCAAGATGGAGATTGAGAACAACCCCTTCAACGATACCTTTGGACCTAAGGCCCAAAGAAAGCGTGTCAAGTTGGGTGTGACTTCTCTGGAAGATCTGGCTGGTGAGACTGCAAAGATTCACGACTCATACCTGGAGAAGAATGACCAAGACACTCACGACGATGGTACTCCTATCGTTACTGCTGATGTCGGTTCATTGGAGGATGCTATCCTCACCACCAACCGCGAGTCTGTCTTCTCCAAGGGACAGAGTAAGCGTATTTGGAACGAGCTTTACAAGGTTATCGATTCTTCCGATGTGGTTATCCACGTTTTGGATGCTCGTGATCCCGTTGGTACTCGCTGCCGGAGCGTTGAGAAATACATCCGCGAAGAGGCACCTCACAAGCATCTTATCTTCGTGCTGAACAAGACCGATCTCATCCCGACCGGTGTCGCTGTAAGTTTCAACTTATTCTTGGATTCCCTTCCCCCTCTTCACGTTTCGTTCTTGTTCTTTTCGTTTGCGATTTCTATTATCGGTCTTTGGACCGTGCCATCGCTAAGTCAAGACTTCTCCTGCGATTTCATGTCGTGTTATTCTCAATGGGAGTCTGTCTGTTACAGCTTTGGTAAATTAAGGCTGTCCCGCACCGAATTTCATTCTGAAGCTAGGTTGACAAGCTTTCGTCTTGAAGGCTTGTCGTAAGGGACAGATGTGTTTTGTTTTTGAGTTGAGCTCTGCTTCTGCCTTTTCTGGTGGCTTCATAGCAGAGCTCTTAGTAACATCCCACACATTTCTTATTTTTCTCGGATTTTTTTTTCTTTTTCTCGTTTTTTTTTTCACAATTTTTTTTTTCATCAATTTTTCAAGTGACTTTTAACTAATGGAATATTTACCAGGCTGCTTGGGTTCGTCACTTGTCCAAGGATTACCCTACTCTTGCTTTCCACGCCAACATCAACAACTCCTTTGGAAAGGGTTCTTTGATTACACTCCTCCGCCAGTTCTCTTCCTTGCACTCTGATCGCAAGCAGATTTCTGTTGGATTTATTGGATACCCCAACACCGGAAAGTCTTCCATTATCAACACTCTTCGAAAGAAGAAGGTCTGCACCGTGGCTCCCATTCCCGGTGAGACCAAGGTGTGGCAGTACATCACCCTCATGAAGAGAATCTACCTCATTGATTGTCCTGGTGTGGTCCCACCCAACCAGAATGATACTGAGACTGACATTCTTCTGCGCGGTGTCTGCCGTGTTGAAAATGTTGATAACCCGGAACAATACATCCCGGCCGTTATGGCTCGTGTGCAGCCTCGCCACCTGGAGCGCACCTATGGTATCAAGGAGCCCACCGATGCCATTGACTTCCTTAGCCGACTTGCCCGCAAGGGTGGTCGTCTCCTCAAGGGAGGTGAGCCTGACTTGGACGGTGTAGCCAAGATGGTCATCAACGATTTCCTTCGCGGAAAGACTCCTTGGTTCACACCCCCTCCCAAGCCAGCTGCTGGCGACGCTGAGAAGGAGACTATGGAAGGTCGTGAAGGCCGTCTGGGTGAGATGGGTCGCAAGCGTAAGCTTGAGGAGACCGAGGTCGCTCCCGAGGCTGCCGACGATGATGAGTCATCTGACTCCAAGCCTGATGAGGAATCTGATGGTCTTGCAGAGGATGACAACGATTCGATTGCCAACCTCGAGATCAGCGACGTGGAGAGTGGAGAGGAGGAGTGAATCAATTGTGTCGCTGCACATCAATTCTCCAAACCTTAACCATCTCAAACCGAGATGGCCTGCGCCGCTCTTGAAACATTAGAGCATACGCGCCCACCCATTTCCCCCCTTCGCAGTCTCACGTCAAGCCTGCTCCCAAGACTTGGCTTCAACTGCTGAAAAGAGAGGATTTGCATTTTCATGCAACGTTGTGCTCAGAGAGACAGCACTGATTCATCAGTGCATAGTCTGATCTCACGAACGCTCATGAAATGTACATGCCAGGATACGGCTCTTGTTGAAGTCTCTCATAACTTCGAGGCGTTCTGTGGCACTTTAGATACCCCTGTCCATACGTGGATCAAATCAAAAATATTTTTCATCTCTCATACTTCTATCCATATCCCGTACATTTAGATGACTGTAGAGTATCATTTGTTTATGTATGAACTCCCTATTTAGTTCATTGAGAAGCTTGGAAGCCTCTGTAGACCTTTTGGGGCGGAAAATGGAAAGTTACTCACAAATCTAGCCCTGGAGGTTAGGTAATACTAAGGCTACCAGGGGCTGCGAATTGGCGGTTGGTTACTTCGCGAATTGCCCTTGCCGCAGCTTGAACTTCCAAGGTTTACAGGATCTAGGTTTGATACATCCAGATGTCAGTTCAGCCGGAGCAACTCCAACATACCTTTTAGCTGGGCAGTGATCGAGATAAAAGGGTAGAACAATGGTGGATAAATTCAAGTCTGATAAGCTCCACCCTGCGGGACTCGGATGTTGTCAGACGGCGTCCTGTTGTTGGCGGAAGGCGCCTCAATCTTGGCCCTCGAGTTTAACTTAACAGAAAGAAGCAAACCACATTAATGAACTCCGGCTGTTTCTTATCCATTCTTGCAAGCCCCGAAAGTACTATTGCCTACTAGTACATCTAGCATCGGAAAGAAACAGCATGTCTTCAAGACGTCCGATCTATCTGAACCCCGCTGCCGCCGCAGAGCGATGCGACCATCCATCATCTACCGGCGCAACTGAATTTCACAAATCACTCCCCAACTATGCGCCAACTCCGTTGGTATCCTTGCCAGAGCTCGCAACGGAACTGGGCGTCAAAGCCGTTTTTGTGAAAGACGAGAGCAACCGATTTGGTCTACCCTCGTTTAAAGTTCTAGGTGCATCATGGGGATGTTTCCGAGCCATCGCGCAGACTCTCGGGCTCGAATCGGACAAGGTCACCTTGGATGAACTTTCGTTGAAGGCGAAGGCAAACTCGATATCTCTGGTTACTGCGTCGGAAGGAAACCATGGACGAGCAGTTGCATACATGGCTCGGCTCCTGGGTATCCAGGCTGAGATATTCGTGCCCCGGTCCATGACCGAGGAGACAAAAAATCGCATTGCGTCAGAGGGAGCTCGAGTCTCTGTTGTCCAGGGAACATATGACCAGGCTGTGAAGTCTGCCTACGAAAAAGGCTTTGGTGAACATGTGCTGTTGGTCCAGGATACTGCTTTTGAAGGGTATGAAGATGTCCCTGCTTGGATTGTGGAGGGGTACTCTACTATGTTGGAAGAGACCGAGGAACAGCTGTCTCAGCTTGGCCTATCTGCTAGCATGATGGTCACACCTGTTGGCGTTGGCAGTCTTGCTCATGCTGTAGCAAAACATTGCAAGTCAAGGCAGATGACCATGGTCGCTGTTGAACCCGACTCAGCTCCCTGTCTGTCTTCTAGCCTCCATGCTGGGAAGTCGATTGCTGTTGAAACATCGGCTACCATTATGGACGGTATGAACTGTGGAACTGTGTCGACTACAGCTTGGCCGAACTTGCAGCGCCTTGTCGATGCCTGTGTAACCGTTTCGTCGTATGAGAGTCACCGCGCGGTTCAGTATCTGACTTCCAACTCGGTCCATGCTGGTCCATGTGGTGGAGCGTCACTGGCAGCAGTACAGCGCCTTGCTCAAGAAGCGTCTTCGTTATTGAACGAACAATCTGTGGTAGTTCTACTCAGCACCGAAGGCGCACGACCCTACCCGATCCCCAAGGATGTATCGGTAGAAGACGCCGTGAGCCTAACGCAGGTGCTCACTCAGATAGACTCTTCTAATCCCACTCTATCCGTGAGCGGAGGAGCAGGCGAAAGCGAGATCGCCGACTACCTATCGGCCTGGTTTGCTCACCGTGATATTGAGTTCCACCGCATAGAGCCCGTCTCAGGTCGACCCTCTGTCGTTGGTGTGCTCCGTGGCAGCGGAGGAGGAAAGTCGCTCATGTTCAATGGGCACGTTGATACAGTTAGTAACTCAAGCTACGAGCAAGGCGTGGATCCCTTATCCGGAGCTATTGGAATGAAAAATGGAGAACAAGCAATCTTTGGACGTGGTTGTCTAGACATGAAAGGTGGCGTAGCGGCCTCTCTCGCGGCGCTAGCTGCAATCAAGGCTAAAGGTCCTGACCATCTGCCTCGAGGAGACATCATCATCGCTGCTGTCTCGGATGAGGAAGATGCCTCCCAGGGAACCCAGGACTTGATAGCTGCTGGATGGCGGGCGGATGCTGCAGTAATCCCCGAGCCAACGATGGAAGTCATTGTGACTGCGCATAAGGGATTCGTATGGGTGGAGGTTGATATTTTGGGTGTTGCTGCGCACGGTTCCATGCCTTCCTTGGGACAAGATTCCATCATTCATGCCGGGTGGTTCCTGCAGGCCCTCGAGGAGCATCAGCTACAGCTACCGGAGGATGATCTTTTGGGCCAAGCATCGTTGCATTGTGGGTTGATTCGAGGAGGTGAAGAGCCATCGTCTTATCCCGGGAAATGCACAATCACTGTTGAATTCCGCACCATTCCTGCCCAATCTGAGGAGTCTATTCTGGAAGATGTGCGTGTGCTTCTCCGCAGTGTGTCGGAGAAAAAGCCCCAATTTCAATATGATGAACCTCGCATCACTATGTCGCGTCCGACAACAAAGCTTTCACGGGATCATCCCTTGGTGCAGAAGGCAGTTGCTTGTTCGACTCCGATTCTGGGACGAGCTCCTTCGCTTGGAATTGTTCCATTCTGGTGTGATGCGGCCTTGTTAGCGGAAGTTGGTATTCCATCAATTGTATTTGGGCCTGCTGGAGAAGGGCTCCATAGCAAAGAAGAATGGGTGAAAGTGGCTAGTCTGAGGCATATGGAAGAGATATTCATCAACTTGGCACAGGACTTTTGCTCCTGAGGGACTGTACAATAGCATAGGTAGCTCACTGTTTGGTTTAGATTTAGAGCCATGTTACTATTTCCAGCATGATATTATGCCATGGCAACCTTGCAATTTTCGTGCCACGCTAATTAATTCATTAGAAATACATGACTAGTACCCTCCCGTAACTTGCCAATCACGAGTGTACCAGCTACCCAAGCCCAATGCAAAAACAACAAGGCTACCATCCCGAACAACATCCTTGCCAATCTTGATGGCCGCGCGCAGCCCTTTCTGCCCACCAACCAACACCCGTCCTCCACACAGGAGCAACTCGCCAGTAACGAAAATCACGAACGGGTTCTGCACCGTCGCAGGCTTTGGCGGCGGGCTTCCAAACAATGCAATAGATGCCCCAATGATAAATAGAAGGTAGAAAGCCACGCCCAGCGCAAAAAGAACGTGGAGCGTCTTCCACGTCCGCACGCTCTTCGGGTCCTCCTCTGTAGTCTGGAAGTATTCGCCGACCAAGTTTGCGACAAAGGGCGGCAAGCCCAGCGAAGAGGCAATGAGTGCTGCTGATGAAAGTCCCGGTCCTGGCGCTCCCTGGCCTGGCATTCCACCTCCGAATCCCGGCGGAGGAGGAGGTGCGTTGGGATCACCGTTGCCGGGCATGGGGGGCATGGGCATGCCGTTTAGAAGGGAGTTGAGGAGTTTGAGAGTTGGGTCCTCGAGGTCATTGGCAGTGGCGTCTTGATTCTCCTCCACTACGGGTGCTGCTTGGCGAAGCATTGCGCGGAAGGCATCTTGTTGTGCCTGGAGAGCCTCGATTGACTGCTGGTCCTGCATGGATGGCTGGTTCTGTTGGAATGGGGGAGGAGAGGGAGAGACTGCGTTTCGGGGGGGTTGAGGAGAGGGTGACCCTTCTTCGCGCTCTGATTATAGACAGTTCTTGTTAGCATCGTATATCTCGGTATTTAGACATGCTGTCTAGGTTCCAGGTCGTACCTGATTGCGGGGTGCGACCGCTTAGACTGGTGATCTTGTCCAGGCGAGCGGAGCCTCCATCCCTGATCTTAGCCTCACGGCGCTCACGTCGCAGGCGAGCTGCTTTCTGAGCAGGCGATTCATCTGGTGTCGACATTTCTGTTTGTGGAAGTTGGAAACGATGAAGGTGGCTTCAATTTCGGAAGTCCACGTTAGTGATCGGTGGCCGGCGGAGGTTGAGGGAGGCGAGCGGTACGTGAGGTCGCGATAAGAAAATCAGTTTGATCAGCTTCTTCAAAGACCACCACTTGGCTCTAAAAATCCACAGTACTTTTCAACAAATTAAACACAATTATTTGAGATGGCCTGTTGAATCAATTTTGTGTCCTATAACGTCTAACTTTTTCGAAATTGCTGCTCGAGGATTTCTTGAGCTTTTAGCACCTACTAGTCACTTGGACTTGAGCGACCGGGTATAATCATGAAATGCACAGCAACAAGCTAAAGATGTATCGCATGATGCGCATCGCACACAAGACGTCACTATCGCGCTTTAAGAGTGTACGCTCATACAGAGAGCGTCTTCAAGAGCTCTGTCAGCCTTGGGGAAGTACTCGTAAGTTCTCAAGGATCATCGATCAGCATCATGTAACTAAGGTTCATGAACCATCATGACATCGTCGCTGCATATGCCTAAAACAATGCCACCTGGGCAGTCTAGGATTCGCTTCATCAGAGATCAGAATTTATGTATTATGATGCATCAATGATAAGGTTGTCATCATAGCTCCTTCTATTATGTATACCAATGTTGGAAAGACCCTGATCTGGTCCAAGGTGTGATCGAATCACTAGTTTTGTCAATCTCTTAACTGATATATCAATTCTCATTTGACAAACCTAAAGCACAGTGTACAACACAATTCACAGCCGCACTCATTTGCGGGGATGGGTGAGTTTTCTAGGATTCAGTGGTTATTCTGGAGAATCTTTCATGGTCAAGCAAGATTTGTGTTGTATGAATATTGGCATTCAAGTCACAGCTGCGTTGGTGACATCATGTCCTGCCCCAACGCCTTGGCGATGGTGATGATCAATTATGGATACAACAATTGAGCTCATATGAGTTATCAGTGCAAAAATCGTATATCTACTAGAGATACCATTAGTGCGAAAATTCATGGCAGGGAGAGGAAGTAGTTAATGTAAAGATTAACATTGAAATCACGATCTATGGAAATCTCCCGCAAAGGCCCGGGGGCAACGAGAAGGGACATCAACTTAACATTCAGGGTCTTTATAAAACACGGCGCAAAAGTGGCATGATCGCCATTTGGCTAGAACGCAAGTGAAACTTGAACATTCAAAGCACGAAAGTGATTTGACCTCGTCATAGGATTTTCCGGGTTGATCCCACTCGATGACGTATTTCTGGGGAAGCTCTCGGCTGCTCCGTCCGCCCAACTCAACATCCTTAATTCTGCTGCTAAAAACTAACTCTTCAAGTATATGCGGTTTGGAGCTTTGCACATATTTCTACGCGTGAATTATTTCTTGGTTTTACTGCCGACGTGGGGGCTGCTGTGAAGAAACATTGCCAATCGCGGTCTATACAGCACACCTATGACAGTCTCCTCGATCTAGTCTATCTTGGAGCGAAACGGACGCTCATTTACCTGTCCTCATGGCTGAACCTTCTGGTGGAGGATTTGGGTCACCCCAACGGCATCATGTCGGAGAACACTGGAGTGGTGCCAACCCTGTTCCGACGGTTCAAAAATTCATCGAACACCTCGATGAGGAGAAGAAGGAGCGGGATTTGAGAATTGATGAAGAGAAACGACGAAAGGCCGAACGATCAAGACAGCAACAATGGGAGGATACTCGTGGGAAGCAACATTCTGTGGGCCAGGGCGATGCGGTTGCTCACAAGGCGCGCGAGGTCTCCCAGGCCAAGGTGCGCACCGTGACTGATCCCACTACTGGTAAAGAGATTGGGGTTGAAGATCAGGATGAGACATCTATGGAGACAGTCAAAAATCCAATGGTATGTTCATGCTCTTCAACGGGTCACACAACATTACCCATCTGACTGATGAACGTCTATAGTTGACCGTGCCCAATGCTAATATTGGAGAGCCGACTGTAAGTTCACCATAATTTGACGGATTGACAATTCAAAGCTGACTTTATGATCTATCAGGAGGTGAAAACCAGTCATGACCAAGAATTCTCAGAATATAAAGAAAAGCAGGACATCACTGCACCCCCCGATCCTATCGCTGAAGGAACAACATCCGATGTGCCCATTCGTGGCGAGAAGACTAATGTGCTATTCCACCCCACACCGACAGTCACTTATGAACCTATGTTCAAGGCATTGGAAAAGCGTGCAGCAGGGCTATGCATTGGTATTTCCGTTGCTATCATTGTCCTCGGTCGAACTTTTGGCGGCTCTCTTTGGGGCCTTATCCCTTTGGCTGCATGCATTGCTAGTGGAGTATGGTTATGGGTAGGAGAGGTCATTCGGAGTGGCAAAGATATGGAATGGAGTAGCGAGCAGCTACGTGGACAGACCGTATGCAACATCCACCTCCCCTCTGACTATCAAGGACCACGCTAAAACAACTATTTCCTAGGCCACCGCAAATCTTCTTCCAGAGTCCGTGGAGTGGATGAACTCCTTCCTCAACGTAGTTTGGGGTCTCATGAATCCCGACATGCTAATTCCAATGGCCGACACAATCGAGGACATCATGCAAGCCTCCGCTCCAAGTGTGGTTGAAAATGTTCGCATCGCCGAAATTGACCAGGGCAACAACCCGTTCCGTATTCTCAGCATGCGTGCCCTCCCAGACGGACACGTTAAGGACCTCAAGGAGAACATTCACCAATCAAACTTGAAAAATAAAGATCCCCAAGAAGCCGCAGCTACCGAGGAAGGAGGTAGCTATTACAACATGGAGGCCTCATTCGCCTACCACGCGAAGCCGAGCGGCGGAACAGCTTCCTCAAAGGCTCGCAACATGCACATGCATCTTGTCTTCTATCTCGGTATCCGTGGTCTATTTGGTATCCCATTCCCCGTCTTTGTCGAACTCACCGAACTAGTCGGTACTGTCCGACTGCGTCTCCAGATGATGCCCGAGCCACCCTTCGCTAAGGACCTCACCTTCAGCTTGGTCGGAATTCCCCACGTTAAAGCGGGTTGTGTACCCATGATCCGTCGCGGAGTCAACATCCTCAACTTGCCTCTTATTTCCAATTTTGTGAATTACGCCATTGGTGCCGCTTGCTCCATGTTTGCAGCGCCAAAGTCCATGACTATGGATCTGAGCATGCTGCTGAAGGGCGACGATATCCACAAGGATACCATCGCGCTAGGTGTTATGTGGATCCGCATTCACCGGGCTATTGGCCTGAGCAAGCAAGACCGTCGCGGTAGCGAAGGCGGTGGTAGTGATCCGTACATCAACCTGTCTTTCTCTAAATACGGGAAGCCAATGTACTGCACCCGTGTGATCACGGATGACCTCAATCCTATCTGGGAGGAAACTGCCGCGCTCCTTGTCACACCGGAGTTGATCAAAGCGAACGAGAATCTTAGCATTGAACTCTGGGACTCTGACAGGAATACCGCGGATGATATTGTGGGTAAAGTCGAGCTGCCTATCCGGGAGATGCTTCAGCATCCGGGCAGAATGTTCCCACAGGTTTCTAAGCTGCAGGGTCTTGATGAGGGCACTGAGATGCCGGGTCAGTTGCATTGGGAGGTTGGATACTTTGGGAAGCCAAAGATACGTCCTGAATTGCGGACAGATGGACAGAAGAAAGATCTTCCTGAGAACTTGAAGGGAAATCCCACCTTCGAGGATGAAAAGGGAACTATCAATAATGACGAAGAGGATGCCGTTGTGCATACACCTCCTGATCCTATCTGGCCCAGCGGCATTGTACATGTTGTCGTGCATCAGATTGTCAATCTCCAGCTTGCCAATATTAAGGGCAGCGATGGAAATCGCAAGGGTAAAGAATATGAGCCTGCGAAGCCTTTTGGTGAGAATACGGAAGAAGAAGGTGGTAATCTGCCTACAAGTTACTGCAAGATTTTGCTCAACGATCAGCTGGTATGTATAATATGCTGCTGCAATTACATGCGATACGAGTTATCGTGAACTTTAAACTAATCATATCCTTTACAGATCTACCGCACCCGACCCAAGGCTGTTAGTTCCAAACCAATCTTCAACGCCGGAACAGAGCGATTCGTCCGTGACTGGCGCTCCGCCGTTGTCACAGTCACCGTTCGCGACCAGCGATACAGAGAACACGACCCAATTCTGGGCGTAGTGCCCATCAAACTATCCGACATCTTCCAAACCAGCTCCCAAGTCACCCGCTGGTACCCTCTCGACGGAGGCATTGGCTTCGGACGTATTCGCATCTCCCTTCTCCTGCGCCACGTCGAGACCAAGCTCCCACCCTCCATGCTAGGCTGGGACGTCGGCACCTTCGAGTTCACCGCCGACAAGGTCGTCGCCAAGGACTACGGGCGTATCGCCAAGATCAAGATGCGCACCGGCGGCAGCACAGGCAAGATCACACGACACAAGGCGCACACAGAAGGCAACGACGTCATCTACGACACCTCGGACGAGAGCTTCCGCGACACACTCCGTCTCCCCGTAAAGCACCGCTACAGATCGCCCGTCGTCTTCGAGTTCCACACCCAAGGCAAGCGCGGCTCGGCCGCCTACGCCATCCTCTGGCTCCAGCATCTAGTCGACAACGAAGACACAGACATCGACATCCCGATCTGGACAACCAAGAGCGGCGCCCGATTGACGCAAAACTACATCACGGAAGAGAACTGGCGTGCAAAGGAAGTGCCCGGCCTGCAGGACCTGACGACCGTCGGCCGCCTGCAATTCAAGTGCCGCTTCTCGCCCGGCATCGACGAGTCGCACGAGCAATTCGTCATCGACAACGACTCCCGCGAGACCTTCGAGACCTGGGAAGCATGCGTCTCGCAGGGCGTGCGAACGCGCAGCGTGTCGATCGAGGTCCCCGAGGAAGTCGAGCAGAAACATGAACAGAGCCTGATCGACTCACGGGACGTGCTTAAGAACGCCCCGCCGGATGAGCGGCGGCAGTGGATTGATCGTGAAGGCCACGATTGGAGCGGTGCGTTTGGGCACGATCCGCGCGCGTACACGGATTCCGTGGGGCGGAAGGTCGCGGAGCCGGGTAAGGATGTGCCGCCTCATGACCCTGTTACGCCGCCTCCGTTGAAGGGGCAGCCGTCTGTTCGGCGGAGCACAGGGGGTGGTGGTGAGAATGGGCACGAGCATGGGGATGACGATCAGGACTCCGTGTCAGATGACTCTGATCAGGATTCTGATCAGGATTCTTACCAGGGTCCGTCTACTGTTAGTGGGAGCTCGGCGACGGCTAGTTCGTCGAGGAGCATGGAACAGACGAATAAGGCGTTCCAGCGCAGTGAGCAGCGTCAGCAGCGTGGGATGATGCAATGGCGGCCGGCTAGAAATGCGGCTTTCGTCAAGGATGAGGCTAAGTTCGCGCTTAGGAAGCTCAAGAAAAAGGTTGGGGCTGGTGGGCTTACGGGACGTGAGCCGGATGTTGAGACGGAGACCTAACGGGCATCTACTAAAATATCTAAAAAAGAGCACCTGTCCGTGTCAGATTGTGCAGGGACTCGTGCCACTTCCAGAAGTGGAAAGCCTGATCTGCCACATATCGTTGTATCTCCTACTTTCCTTTCTGACGTGCCGATCATGCTCTTGTATTTTCTATTCTCGGTATTCGTTCAACGGGGCGTTTGGGGTTATGTTTACCTCGTCTATAGCATAAGATGACGACATGTTTTCTTTTTCAGTTCCATGACATTCCACGCTATTCAAGCTATCCAGCGCTAGAATACTTAGTTCGGAGTTTATAGGTAATTTCTTTTTGGCTTTTGGCTTCCATGGGGGCGGTTTCTTTGTACGGGGCAAGCGACCGTGAGAACCTAACATTGCATGCTTCCAAGGTTGAAGAAGTGGGACTTCCTAACTAGGGAATAAGGAAACCAAAGGAAAGAAATCAAAACACAGTGAGAATCTCTTGGCTGGGGCGCCATCATGCATCCCCACCTAAGCGAAGGTTTATTGCCGCTGCGTGATGACGGAACTAGAGGCTAAATGCTTCAAAGAAAAGTATATTCAGAGAAAATTAAATTATTCTTTCGAAACCTGACGCTTAACCCCGAAGGGAAAAAGTAGAGCATATAAAATTTATCGCTAGTAAAATCAAAAGCCGACCAGCGCCTCTAGATGAAGAATATAGTTTCCGCAATAGGCAATGGTACGTTGAGCAATCACCAATATGCATGCCATAAAATATGATATAGGAGGGGTCATAGCAAGTTCATGAGGTACCCCCCAAACGGGGTTATTGATCCTGTAAGGATTGTGTTTCGGGCTTCGAATCATCGACAGTGGAGGCAGAGGATACAGATGGAGTTTCAGGCGTAGCCGTCGCCGAAGAAACGCTGCCGGAACTGGTAGCAGCCGTGATATCGGTATTAAGGGAGCCCAACGTCCATTTCCACTCTCGGCGACGCTTGACCCGTCCCTGGGGCGTCTGCGGCGTCGAGCAGGCGGTGGAGTACTGATCTGCTTCCAGGCCATCGAGCAGCGCGACAGCGCGCACCTGCCGCTCCGTGCGCATGGTACGTCTCTTCTTGCGTTCCAGTTTGGATAGTGTGGATTTGGGCAGTCCCTCGTCGGCACTAGCCTCGTCCGAGGTACTAGATTCAGACAGGGACTGGTTGGCTTCTGAGTCGTGGGTGGGGCCCGAGTTGGAGATGTGTGGTTGTGTTTCTGGCCCCCGGGCAGCCTCGTGTGTTTGCACTGCCACTGCGGCTGCAGCTGCAGCTGCGGCCATTCTCTGCGCCGAGCGTTCTTCTTCTTCTTCGTGCACGAGATCTAGATGGTGCGCGGTGTAGCGCTCCGTGCGAATCTCTTCCTCGAGTGGGATGCGATAGCTGACTTGCTTCTTGGCGGGAAAGAAGACCCGGCGAGCGCCTGCGCCCCCGGGTCCACTGTTGGTGCCTGCGGAGATGGAGCCTGATCGTCGGCGGGGGGCTGTGTCGAGGGGGGAGTTGCGCAAGATGCTTCGCACGCCTAGGGGGAGTTGGTAAGGGCGGAAGTTGAAAGGGTTGTTGTTATTGTTGGAGTGGTGGACGTATGGTGAGATGGGTTTGTTGGGGAAGCGGAGGCTGGGGCCCTTGGAGGGAGATGTGGTTGCGGAGGCGGGCGTAGCGATGTCATAGGCATTTTTAAAGGTATTTCCGACGGTCGGTGATGCGCCTGGGGCTGCTGTGCAGGAGCGGGAGAGGCCGGTTGTTGAGGAGCCAAATGTGCGTGGGAGAGAGGTGGTTTGGAGGGTGAGTTTCGGTCGCGCGCTGATGGTTGGAGGGTCACCAGCTGGAGATGGTATGCAGGACATTGTTGACGAGCATGAGAGTCCCAGATCGGGTGTGGAAGGATAGAGTGTCATGAGTGTCATAAAGAATAGAAAGAAAGAAAGAAAAAGAGGGATTATCGGATTGTAGTAAGAGGCGGGGGTAGACGGATACCAAAGGCTAAGAATAGTTGGCGCTTCTGCAATGTGACGAGAGGTTAAACGTCCCTTAAAACAGAAAATCAAAGGAAAATCGAAGCAAATAAAAGAGATGGAATTTAAGAAATAAGAAAATAAGAATCACAGATCAAATCTATATTCTAAAAAATCCCTTCTTCTTTGAGTCATGAGGATCTGTTGTTTTTTTTTTTTTCTTACTACTTTTATTTATTTTTTCTTAATTAAAAATGCATGAATTTTCTCTGTTTTAGCCGTGGTTTTTTACAGAACTATCGACGCCACCAAACAAGCCCGGTCGGAGATAGGGATCGGCCATGTTCAAAAATAAACAGTGTATGAACTGTTATGGTTGATTTTTTTTTTACTGTAGAGTGTTCCTTACTATCTTTACTATGTTTTAGAATCCGAGTCTTCCTTTTACGTGGCAATTCCTTCGTTCTCTACTATATCCTACAATAGGCAATCATGTAAATCATGTAGGTATCTCTTGTTCTATTTAAAGATCTGGTCCAGAGCCAAGTGGAGCTTTGGTCGAATGGGATCAAAAGTAGCCTTGAGATCATCTGATTGGCCTGGACGTTTAACAGGGATCTTAGTTTGCTTTGTACATAGAAAGCCAACTTTAGAAGGGAAAAAATAATATGTGGCTTGTCTTATTTGCCTCTTGAAAATCTTGAGCTGATCGTATCTCGTACTTAATCGCAGGTTTTTCTAAAAAATGCCTCTAGTCTACAACATTACTACTTAGACCCTGTTTACTTGGTGGCAATTTTCCTGCGCCATACACCTAAGAATAACTCAGGGAGCCTTAGGTTGCTGAGCGGTCAACCCTGGGACTACAACGGCACGGAAAATCCCCTAATTCTCCCGACGTCGGCACCAAACTCCCTCGACGTCGCAATCTTCCCTTAACCATTAATGGTGGCTTGCTGGAGGGGTGAGATCAGCACGCAAACCTTATTGGGGCCCCATCTTCCAGAAGAACCTTGAGTGTACCGCCGTTTACGTCGCGCTACGAGTCAAGCGCCATCTAAAGGTTGAAGTTCTGAACTTTGGCCCCATGGATGTTGCAATGCGGGGTTTGTATCGTGGGATCCAACTTCTCCCTTCCACACAATCAAACTTCACAGTATTCATGTTTGGCCTCGAAGTTCCCGCTCGGCCCCTTCCATCATGCCCGACTTCCAAGCTTGTCCATTCTTTATGTAGCCTATCTTGCAGAATGAGGAGAAACCTCACTCTCTTGGTTAATATCCATTGGCTCGTATTACCTGCTTTTTCCCACCCTAATACTGCATTGTAGCACTTGGAGGCCCTGGCTCGAGGCGATCATTACGTCAATCCAATATAGACCCTTGGTCTTACCCTGCATCTTCACATGGCCACCTCACTTGAGAGCACTCACTGTGATGGTTTCTGCAGGCTATACATACTTTGGAATCATGCATATTCAAATGTTATCACGGCATCTCCGTAAGAAGCAAGGATAAAAGTGGTGCAACGTCGTTCAGCAAGTTTTTTTGGCCCCATCTCGCTTCAGTGCTCTTCGTTCTGACCCACCATGGTCCTATGCTCAGAACAGAATAATAGAAATATCTTATAACACTGAAAGTCGTCGTTTTCGGTATCGGTCCCGGTAATGGACTGCGGGAAATTCCCATACCTACTGAACATTGAAGGTCCTTGTACATATCAATATCTATATTAGTACTATGTACTAGGTATCTATATGTACATTTAGCATGTACATCTATCGATTCCATAAACAACTTGACAAGAGAATACGTTCTACAGGCTTCTCCCGAAGTCATCGTCTACGAGTCTAAGTTTATCAGCTTACGCCATGATAAAGTCTTGAAAAGAAAGAAAATATCCACCAAGTGGATATGCATCCATGGTTGTCATAACAAAATAGCCCCCAACATTCTAAAGGGTTGAATCCTTCAAATGTTGATGACACTCCATTTGGGGGTCAATTTGCGATATACGATATACGATGTGAGACTCTGCATTAGCTTGAGAGCCAAAACTTTGGAATAATCCACTTAAGGTTTTCAGTGATCGTCGGAAACCTTGATCTTCTGATCTTTGAACGTATCTGTTGCTTGAAAGGGATTCTCCCTCAGAGGTTCGCACTTGCCCTAAGCATCCTTTTCTCAAGCCATAGAATAAACTGCATTCGTCCGAATCGGGCAAACCCAGGCAAACCTTTGAACATACGAACTAAGGAAGCATTTGAACCCTATCTTCGCGTATCCTTCGTATAAAAAGTCATCATCTGTTGTGGTCAAACTTTGAGGGTTCAACATTTGAAGCTTCGGTCAACATAGGTGGATATTTTTCTATTATAGGACCATTCAAATGTTGTGACTGATTCAGCCACACATCGGCCTTTGCCTTCCAACATTGAAGCTTGTTCCCGAGGCCTTCTCTTGAATTAAGATAGAGATCTGAAGCCATCAATCGGTTTCAAGGTTGTGAGAGATTCGGCATTTGAACAGGGTTGATACCTGTAGGTAAATGCTTATATGAGAGCTATTTATTCAATGTTCTGACGACACACCTTCAGGCACATACGCGCATGTGTAAGAGTGGGCACCAAACATCCAGCACTTGAGACTGACCAGGTTAGTTAGCACTTGAGATTTGAATGTCTGATGTGCTCCAGGGTAATGTTAGCTCCTGAGGTTCAATCAATCCTTCAGCACACATGCATGTGTAAACATCAATTCATCCATCAATTGATGGATTTGAATAGGTCTTCAATGTTGAGTACTCCATTTAATCCATGGGTCCATCGAGCGGACACATACATCTAAACCTATGCACGCAGAATTTGAAGGTACCTAACACATGTTGAAGTTGTACTTGAAAATTCATGTCGGTGAATACAATATTGAATTTTGAAATGTATATATAACCAAGTAGGTACAGTTCAAGTTGAGGCATAGTTAAGATTTTAAGGTTGCTTGAGATCCCCGTGGGTTTCAAAGTTCCGAGGTACCTCAAAATGTCAAGTGTAAATTTTGAACTTGAGATGATTTAGTCTTCGGATACAATGCAATAAAGCTGATATCTTTGCAGTTCCTGTAATCATATTAATTTTGCCAAACGTGTAATAAAATTGAAGTTGGGCCGTGGCTGTACTTTCCCAGCCTCCCCGTACAACTTTCGTGATTGGCGGAGACGCGCGACCAAAACATTCCGCGCATCCAAAACAAAACCATCAACACCCCCCATCCACCTCCACTTACAAGGTTCCCTCCACATGAACCACCAAATTACTCAGGCTTTTTGAATATGCCTCTTTCTGACACAAGCTTGACGGTGTCTGACTTCGACCCTGAACACGAAGCATTGGCCTCAACCCGAGAAATTGGCAGCCCGCGACTTCCCAAAATGCGTGCCGCAATGCACGACGGCGATGAACTCGACTACCAGATTAGCACCTCGTTTCTTGATGAGGCCTTCCCGGAATTTCCCCCCAGCACACTCGCAAGTGGAAGACGATCTAGAAGAAATGTACGAGGACAACACCGAACCCTCCATCGAGATGGGGCGCGCTCTCGGCAAGTCTGCGCGTATCTTGGAGGACTCGCGAGGAGACTCTATGATGAGCTTCCCAGAAGATAGTGTGCGATCCACTTCTCCTGCCATAAACATCGAACATCACACCCCAAAACAGCCCAAACGCGCTGCCAGCGAGAACCTGCGAAAAGATGCCCAGTTGCGACGGGCCAACCAGGCACAGAAAGAACATATGATGAGCCCCCGGGTTTCAAAACAGCGGGACCCACGTCGAACCCTCTCCGCCCAAGTCAACGACAAGCATGAAGGTTCATTCTTAGGAGATGAACGCCCTGCTCCCGTTAAGACAAACAAGTCCCGATCGACGCGTTTTAGCCACGCCAACCAGTCCCAAGAGATTGCCGAGGCGATTGAACGCGTTGCGCAACAATCGTATGTCAGAGAACTTCGCAAGAACAATTCTGCAGGTACTCGCCAACCGGTTGCCAACGCAACACGCACCAACAACATGGGTGATACCATGACCCGCAACTCCTTCCTCCTTCCCGACCTCCCTAATATCTCCGAGCTGGTTTCCGGTGTTTACGAAGACGGTACCCCAGTTTTCTCACACAGACGCTCAACTCGATTTGTCTCTCCTCCCAATGATAATGCTGATATATCATTTACTCGTGAACATATGCCCATCGACGCTATCCCTATTCCAGAGGACGAAAAGGCTTTATTTGTGTCCCTCCGACTTTTGCAGGACAAGGTTGCAGAACTAGAGATGTTCAAGTCCGATGCAGAGAGAAGGCTCCAGACCTTCCGCGAAGAGAACGCGGCACTCAAGGCGGGTAGATCCCGGCCCTCTGAGAAGTACGCTGTGGATGATGGAGAGGGCAGAAAGGCCTCTAAGCGCGTGGCAAGCGAAAACCAAAGTAAGCACTTGCCTCATTTTGTCTAATATACCCTCGCTAACAACTGTAGAACTGGAAGCCGCGAACATGGCCCTTCAAAATCAACTTGACATCGCGGACCGAAAGACTCAAGTCCAAGAAGCAGCAGTACGACGGCTGAATCAAGAGAGAGAGTCAGCCATCTCCCAGCTTGGTGTCGCCTACCTTGAAACGCGCGAGCTCAAGGCCGATAACGAGGAGTTGAGGCGGGAGAATGCGGAACTCAAGTCCCAGATGAGTCAGTTGCTTAGCAAGAAATCTCGCGAGCAAGAGACCGTGGTCTCAGAAGGAAGTGTTACCGGCTCCGATGTCGACGACAGTCAATTGTACACAGAGCGCAGCGCAGACATGAGCCGCAGTACCAGGGATATTACCTCAAAGAGTGCTCGCTCCAACAAGGCTAGACACCAAGACGATTCTCGTTCCAAGATTTCCTCCCAAGTGGAAAAGGAAATCTCCCGTCTGGAGAAGCAGCGTGCAGAAGAAGCCCTCTTTTCTATCGACATGCCTACTACTACCAAGCGTTCATCCAGACCGAGCAAGCCCGATGCCGCCCGTCAATCGGAATCAAGAAGTATTAGAAAGCAGCCCAACACTAGCAAGCAACGGGTCAAGCGGGTTGTGGTCGAAGATGTGACCGAGGCAGCTGAGCAGAGCAAGGTGTCTTCCCAGGTGGAAGATCTTACCTTGCTCAGTATCATTGATGTGAGTATCCGAAAAAGATCCCTCGTTATTTGAATATGGCTAACATGTGATGTCCTAGGAAAATGAAATTGCTCGTCTGCGTAAGACGCTGGAAGAAGAACGACTTTCGCGCAAGCAACGTCGATCAAGCGCCTCAAATGATAACACTGCCGAGACTATCAACACCACCGTCAACACTACCCGCCAGAGCATCTTGAAGACACCAGCACTTAAATCGTCTCTGCGTGAACCCAAAGCTCAAATTCCCCGACCTGCATCAGCACTTGGTGATGTTACCACCAAATCTGTAGCAACTTCAGAGGGCGAGAACAGCTTCGCTGTCCCTACAGCCGAGCGACCTAGACGCCATTCCGACCATTCTGTCACATCGATTTCCTCGCAGCGCAAGAAGCGTCGAAACATTGAAGATATGACATCCGCTTTTATTCTTCCAGATATCACCTTAAGCCGTGTCGAGCTGGCTGCCAGTAATCCGACTCGCCTCCCAGAAGCTGATCAGCGAGCCTTGAACAACCTTGCGCACCACGAGGGCAAGAATTGCATCATCTGCAAGAATGTCCTCCCTAATGATACTTGCAACCACGAGCCTGTCAAGGTTCCCAAGCCCGTTCCAGTTTCCGAGCGCATGCCAAAGCCATCTCTGTACAATGAGGAGCCTACTATGCGCCCTTCCCAACCCCCGGCCGTTGCTCTTGCCAATGTGCTTAAAAGTCTTGAGGATGAATTGGCCCACTTGAAGATGCAACTTGCTACATACCAAAGCGCATACAACAACTTGGATGCTTCGCTTGGCAAGAGGCAGCGCAAGGCTCTTCTGGAGAAGATTGAGACTGTTTTGAGGGATATTGATATGAAATCTGACCAAATCTATGCGCTCTACGATGTTCTCGAGGGCCAAAAAGGCAGTCATGAGATGATGACGGAGAAAGAAATGGAGATGACTTTAGAATCGATTGGCATTGATTTCGCCGCTGTACCGGATGTTACTGGCACGACGAACAAGTCATCGCGTTTGGCGGAGTCTGATGATGAAGATGAATTGCCCTGGGAAGGCATTGAGAGCACTGCAGAGCTGACCGGACGTACTTGAAAACCGGATGTTGATTAGCATTGAAGGGTGTATTAGCGTTTTACTTTTATTTTTCTTTTCAGGTTGTTGTAATTCTACCGGCTCTTGTTTAAGCCACCAGTCAACATCTGCTCTTTTTTTTTACTTGCCTGCGGGCCTTTGTTTGCACAAATTCATTGAGCTAGAGTCATCCTCCAAATTCATATTATTCTCATAGATTGCAAAGAAAAAATCAATAAATATTATTTATTCTCTCATAAATATCTAAGACAAATGTTTCCAACGCCATCGCTATGTAATGCACCAAAATTAACACCGAAGATATCTCTCTACAATTAAAGCAATCATCTTTTCTCGCCCGCCACCATCGCAGCACTGGTCGTCGCAGCAGGCTTCAATCCAAGCCCCGAGGAAGCAGCATCTCGTTGCGAAACCTCTTCCTCAATAAAACACCCCAATCCCGCAAACGCCTCCACCAGCGTCCGCGAGTAATACTCCTGCAGATCGTAACCGCCAGCCGCAACCCGAGTATCGTTCTTCACACGATCCAGATACGTCGACGGATAAGACGGCTGCAAAGAATAGTAATCCCGCTTCTCCGGCACATACCCCATAAACGGATCATACGGCTTCTCAGGCTCAGGCGTCTTGATCCTCCGCAGACCCTTAATAAGCCCACCATCCGACGGCCCAGCCGCCTCAGCCGTCGAGGGCAACGCACCGCCGCGCTTGAGCTCACTACTACGCAACGCAGCCTGTTTCTGCCGAATCCGGTCCTCCTCGCTGCGCCGCGCAGACGACTTCTTAAGCAGCACCTTGTGGCCTTCGCGCGCGATCGCCGCAGCATCGGCGCTCGAGCCCGCGGCCAGGCGCGAGATCATGTCTTCGCGTCCGGCTTGCATCTCGCGGCGCTCGTTCTCGAGTTGTTCGCGGGCGGCTTGGCGGCGGAGGCGCATTTCTTCTTGCTCGAGGGTCATGCGGGCGGCGAAGGAGGATGCTTCTTGTTCTTCGAGGGCTTGGTTTGCGCGGATGGATTGTATGTTGACCGTGGCGTATTTTGAGAGCTGCGCTTCGGTTTTGGCGACGTCTGTTCGGCAGACTAGGTTGGCGATCATTTCTTCGCGTTGTTCGAGGAAGTCGTCCCAGGCGCGTTTTGTGTCGAATTCTTCTTCGCGGCGGTTGAGACTAGCAGATTCAGTAAATTTTGAGGTTAGTTTGGTTTCTTGTTTTGGGGGTCGTTGCTGGTGCTGTTGGGTGGGTAGGGTGGGTGGCGTACATGTTCATTACTCGTCGCCGGATATCAACCTCCCTTTCTACCCCGATGTCTTCGAAGGTTTGGGCTCGGAATTTGTTTTTGCGTAGCGTCTTTCGGCATCCTGCTACAGGGCAGTTGGAGGGGCCGGATGAGAAGATGCGGTCAACGCAGGACTCGCACATCTTGTGGTAGCATTCTGGGTTGATGAGGAACCGCATGTTCGGGTTCAGGTACCGCGAGGATTTGCAGACGGGGCAGACCTCTGGAAGAGTTGAGCGTTAGTCTTGGGCATTTTTAGAGACATTCTGAATCTTACCATCTTCATCTCGACGATCGATCCCATTTCTGGAGGCCATGGCGAGGATACTGAATGAATGAATGACTGAGAAAGCGGAAGCTTATGAATATAACTATGACCCACGGTGGCGCACGGACCACCCGAACCAGCATCTTTGGTTGTCACTTATCTCCTTCCCTTTCCATCCTTTCTCCATGCTGCATGTGTGGTGAAACTTCCAAGTCTTATTTTTCTTCTCACTAGAAAACAAAATCGGTTTCTAATCATCTACAGCCCAAGCCTTCAAATTATCGAGCAGCGCTATCAGCCTAAAAGATGAATTACTCGGAAACCCCTACCAGTACGAACTGAAGGCGGACGCATCATATGAAAGAAGTCTCCGCAAACAACCCCCCTAAATGGTCGATACCGTGGCAATATGACTTTAATCAAGACCAAATGACTTATCTTTACTACAAACACGAGATGTGTAGTCAAGATCCAACCGATAAGAACGGAATTACGCGACTATTGCTCTAGAGGTGTTTTGTGACGCGCCTTGGTGCCTGGAACTGCCTGAACGCCTGGAAAATCCGGAAGAAGTCTCATATATGAGCTGCATGCACAAAAATTGTGAAACTAACCAAGACCTTAGCTTCGTTGATTATAATGAATGGCCTGTCGAGGCAGCAGCACCCATGGCTCCTAAAGATGAAATGTCACCAAAACTGAAGAAGGCAGCCTCGCTCACGAGGACATTGCTACTCATTCTCTCTGCAGACTCGGAATTAAATGTGCTGGAGCCTTCCAGTGCATTATGAACATACTATCCCCTGGTATGGATCATTCAACAAACTCCAAGACCAAAATTCAAACGAGGGCATCTCTGGCTATATCACCATCAGTCTCCATGCACTATTCTGGACCAGTCTGTACTGTGCTCATCCTCCATTTATGTTCTTTGGAGGGTAGAGTACTTACGGCCTGAGAAGGTTAGGTCGTTGAGATCTGATCAAGTGGAGATATAGTTATTTTTTTCACCCCCGACATTCGTATCATAATACATAGTATAAAGCATCTAATAAATACAATTGTCGAGCTCTAGGAATTCCCTGTATTCTTCACCCATACACGGCGTAAGCAAGAACTTCTCAAATGGGTTCAGGTCCGGGACCAGACCTTTTTCCCAAGCTCCCGTGAAGTCGCCATATAAAACCACATCCAAAGTCCCACCTTTCTGGCATTTAGCAAGCCACGAGGAATCTGTAGTGGCATCCCACAGCTCTCCACCTGCAGTAAAAGGCAGTAAACTCAAAGTAGGCACTGATTCGCAGAATCCCGATTTCAGTACTGAATACAATCCTTCAATGAATAGCGACATGATCACAGTCCGCCGGATGCTCTCGGCGAATATCCACGCCTTCCACGTTGATGATGGCGTTATCTCAGCTGCCCGTGTATGTAACTGGACAGTCATCGACTTTAAAGTCGCAAGGCTCTGCTCTGCGATCGAGCGTTGCCGGATATTACCATCAAATAGTTGCATAATGTGGAACAGCATTAAAGCCTGGACGGCCGCAAGCAAGGTATCCAGAGACCGGGCCGAGTAATCCCTTTCCATAAGAGAACTAGCTTTTGATTCTAGTATTCGAAATACCATATCCTCCGTTTGAGGATTTTTGGTACAGTACGCCGCGGAGACAGAAAACGCATCTTGAATCGCATCAGGAAGATGCGAATCATATAAGCGTGCGTGGATAAAGGGTGTTTTCCCATGTTGCAAGAACAGCCGTGGAAAGCTCTTAATACTCCGCATGACCTGTTGCGTAGCCCATTTATCCACTTTGGAGAGATCGGGATACTTCTGGATCGCCGATAGAGCTGGCTGTGCTAGAAGCGAGGAATGGTCCATAGTGAGCCAGGAGTCATTGTCGATATGGTCGTCGTAGTAAAAAATGGACCCAGTGGCATCCGCGAGGGACAAGAGATCATCAGAATAAGAATATGAATAGTCAGGGAACGTGATCGCTATCGCAGACTCGGATTGTGGATAAGTCTCGGTTTGCCGTGATGATCGGTTGATGTAGGAGCATTGCACGCCTCGAGCGAGACATCGGGAGCATTGCGGAGTTTGACGATTACAACGCCGCTTGCCTTCCGCACATGCTATGCAGGATTTTTGTCGCGAGCGACTACAGGTTGAGCTGCGCGGCATGGCGGTGGGTGATTCTTGGTGATTGCGGCCTTTGGTGGTCATCGAGTCATAGCGAGGCTGAAATCTCACTTGCAACTCCGCAAACTCCGCATCCCCACTGCTGACCAGGGCCACCAACGCAACCACAAGGGTATCAGGTGACCTTTTTGATTTGGTAATTGTCACTGAAATAAACAGGGTATGCGTTCTTTGCAAGTAATTTTAATCATGAAGTCGGTAATAGTCGGATCGTCATATCAAAGTCCGCAGTATGCACCCTAGTATAGTTACTTGGGATCCTGTGTGGGGCTTGCTTGTCCTACGTCCTTGCATTTACACATGTCTTGGGGACTGAGCTCAGTTCCACGTGTGCAACTACACTCCTTGAATGTTACGACAGACACGCTACCGGAAAATTGTATTTAAACCCATCAAGTTTCCCTTGCTAAATGACTTTCCATATTTCAGACCTAAAACAATTCACCAGTGCAATTCACAATGCCTTTCACCGAGCTTATTTTCCCTTCCTTGATCCCGACCAAAGAGGTCATTGAAGAAGTCGAACGAGACTGGCCAATTATCAGCAAATCGCTGATAGAGCCGAACCCAGGTCTCCTCAGTGCGTTCCGAGGATGGGTACTCAGCGAAGATGGCAAAGATGTGCGCGATCAGTATAGGGAAATCGTTATATTCGGTAAGTATCTTGGCTCAATGTACACGAATAACATCGCTAACAGTATACCAAAGAATGGGTAGAGGAGGCTGCATTCCATGCCTTTCTTACTTCCGATCAATTTGCTTCTTTTGGCAAGTCGATTCGACACCTGGTAAATGGACCGACCAAGATGCAGCTCTTCGAGACAAACAGCAGCCCCAAAGAGTCCTCTGTTGCTCCCGTTGTGGAGATTTTCCGACTCGAGCTCACTGGTTCTGAGAGTGTTCAAGTAGCACAGAAGGCTTGGGAGAACCTATCACAGACTCTTTCTATCACGGGGAAATCGGTTCCCGTGACGTGGGGCAATAGCTTGAACCTTGATGGAGATGTGGTGGTTGGAATTTTGGGATGGGCGAGTACTGAGGTAAGATGGTTGTCTTGATTATTAGAAATCACTTACTTATCATCGTTAGGATCATGAGCATGGAACCGATGAGGTGGCTTTCGTGGAGGCGTTGAGGTCTCTGCGCTCGCTTGGGGAATTGTCGCAAATCCTTGTTGACATTGATCCCGTGGAAGTCTCGAGCCTGTAATGGCGCTGGTATGATATGCACCGTGAATATCTCCACTCATCAACGTAGTAAATCTTGAATAACCAATTTGAATATTTGAACATACTGTACGAGTAAAGTTAATGTGAAGTAATTTCATTGCGCAATCAGAAAGGGATATCGTGGAAAACATAGTCATGATAGGTCATCCATGCATTTTCTGCAATCGGTAAGAAACTCAGAGGCCAAGAGTTGACTCTGCAGGCCAGGTACAAAGGACGCCAAGACGCATACCCACACCGACAACCAGCATATGCGCTACGGTAGCTAAAGCTTGTACTCGATGATCGTGTGCACCAAGAGTCAAAGCAGCGAGTAGGAGAAGGGGGTAGAGAATCCAAGGCTTGGGGGAGAGGGGTGAGCACGGGTGGAGGACAGAAGCCACTTTAACGAGAAATATAGAGAACTGTAGCCCTGGCGATGATATATAAGATGTAATGAGATCCAGGGAAGGGAACCTGCTGGGAGGCGGAGGAAGTAGTTGTCGCCGAGGCAATTGTTGCGTTTGATGATTGTGAATGGATTCGTCATGGCTGTGTTGAGTGGGAGAGATGGGTGGTGAGGTAGAATATCTGGGGCGAATGACGATGTTGTGATCGGGACTGAAAGGTGACCGCTCCTCTATGCCTTCTGGTCCAGGAGTCTGACTGGTCGCAAGCTCGGTTGAGTCGAACATTGAGTCCCGGCGGAAAGCTACGGGTTTGTTACGAGGTATTTTCTTAGTGGGCGAAAGAGCCCTATCCATAGAGGGCTGGGGGCTATCGATCCGGCTGATTCTTGCACCGGTTGGCAAGTCGGGACTGGCTGAGCTGTTCCTTTTGAAGCGAAACTCATTGGCATTGACTCCAACTTGGATACCACTCAAGACCTCATCGGCAGTTGGCCGTCTGTCGGGGTCCACAGCAAGAAGTCTTTCCAGGAAGGTGTATAGCTTCTCCGGTAGATCAGGGCGTTTCCTCCTAACTTGATCGAAACCAGCCCAACTGGTGATCTCCTTGCGGAGTTGATCCAAGTCTTCTTTCTCCTCGTTGATGATATCTGCATTTGCATATGGGAGTTCGGCAAAGCAGAGAAAGTAGAGAATCATACCCAGGGAGAAGATGTCGGACTTGAAGGTAAAATTACCGAATGGCCCATCTGGGTATTCCCGCCGGAGAACCTCAGGTGCACAATATGACAATGTCCCTGTTGCACCAGTCGACTTGCGCATCGCATTCTGCGTTTGAACTTCACCAAAATCACTCACCAAGACTCGCATACCATCTGCTGTTTCATGGAGAAGACAATTTTGTGGTTTCAAATCACGATGGATGTATCCATTGGTATGTAAATGGCGCAAGCCAGACGTGATATCTCGGAAGAATGAATAAATCTGATCCAGCTGTAGCATACGAAGCCCTGCAGGATTTGGGTCTGGTTCACCCTTTGATTTTCGTCGGAGGCGCGCTTTCAGCTGCTGGGCGGTGGTTGATGTCTGAACCGAGCCACATATGTAATTATGAAGGTCACCGGAGTTGCAATACTCTTGTAGAATAAAAGCGCATGGCACGCTTGGACCGAAGACATTTATTTTAGCATTCTCCAACCAGACATGGCGATATGAGACCAGATTTTGGTTTGAAAGATGCTGCAGCAGTTGAACTTCACCTAGTACTTTCTCTAACCATTCATGATCATCGCCAACAGGGACGCGCTTGCAGGCATATTGTCCGAGGGACACTCCATCCAGGACATGCTTGACAAGTAGCACGACACCTTTTCCTCCCTTCCCTAACACCTTTTCCTCCACAAAGAACTTCTTGAAATAGTCTTGACTGAATGCAGCGGCTGAGATTCCTTGGGAAGTTGGTGAATGAGACTCGTGAGTGGGAGCGCTCGTAGGTCCGATCCTGGCTGACCCATCTGGAAGAGCAGGTTGAACAAGACGATAATGCGGGGAAGGAGGGGTTGATGAGCTTTGGGAGCTTGGTATGCTATTATCGAGCATGCGGAAGTAATTCGGGTTGATAAATTCGCCTTCGGGCTCTGTAGGCGCATGTTCTCGATTTCTACTGCTATCCCGTATGGGTCGGTGGCACAGAGGGCAGTTTGCAAGCTCGACATCATCTTCACGCGTGTCGGCCGCATTGCGGAGCACTAGCTGTTGAGAATCATGATCATAGACGACCACTGAGTCGTTATGTCGGCTAGTCTTTTGTCAGTAAATGGAGAACATTGAAGGCGCTGCAGTAAGATACTCACAGCACAACGTCAAGATTTCCATTGTAAGGGATTATAGACATGTCGTCCGGCATGGTTGCAGCATGTCGAGAGTGAAGTTACTAGTAATCATGGTATTTGGAGATGACGAGGGTGAAAGCTGAAACCCCACGGCCAAGAGCGGTGAGACCCCACACAAAGAAGTTGAAACCATGGAAATAAGCTACACCGCTATCCACATTTTGCCCGCGATACACTGGCCAGCAGGAGCACACGTACATAGTTGTAGATGGCTACAAGCAGGTGTTATACGGGGCGGAAGAGAGCAAGTCTCAACTGACAACCTCCTTTAAACTTACCGAGTCGTCGAGAAAAGCTAGCAAAGGTCAGGAAAATTCATTTTATCTTGTTTATTAGAGGCTTTCATCGATAGATTCACGGGTGTAAAGGTCATGTCTTAGAGTCGCTGGGCCCTTACGGTTAACGGCTCGCAAATCAGTAACATTCCAAGGCTCTAGGGCTTTATCTGTTGGTCGTAACGAATCACCCCCGGAGGCAGCTTCAAATGTTCCCTTGTGTAATTACTAACTGCCTAGTATACTGCCTTTCTACCTAGCAGACAGGCTGCCTAAATCAAAATCTTACTTGGAAGTGCAATCATGCTCAGGTGCTCAATCGCAATAGTAAAAAGTGGACTCTTATAATTCACATGAGTGTTGGCCTCTTACATATCGGCCTCTTATTGAGGTTATCATCAAATATATTTCATTTGAACATTGAAGATGGTGAAATCTAAAGCTTCGAAGTGACCAGTTGACGGGAGGTCGTAAGTTATATGAGGCCTCAAGGGCTTTCGCTGATGTAGGTGTCAAGGTAAGTTCATGATTTACTGCTTACTTTCAACGTGGAATGAAAAAGAGGGGGGAAAGAACTTGAAAATGTTGAGTACCTACTATATTCCAGTTTCCAGGCCTTTGAATCCAATTTGCCACAATCTTAGGTTTGATGCCGTCTTTGGTTATCTAGTACAAGACTAGCACATGTCCTTTGAGCCCGGTGGTGGGGCTATATGCAGCGAGACGGGTTATAGTGTACTAGGCTGACGCGGAACTTATTCTTTCCAGAATACGAGTTATTATACTTCAGGATACATGCATCAGCTGTATTATTGACCAATGGATTTCATACCAAATTCATTTGACATCCCAAGTTTTAGGATTTGAGGGTAAATCGGATTTCTTTGACCTTTGTTGCTCTCAAGGAGATAACCCGGTAATTTCTCGGTGGACCATACATTGCTCGCCGAGCCCACAACAACGTTGACTGGGTTTGCCCCACGGTAAAAAGATTCACGCAAGCCTCATTGGACCTTGAAATGACGATGATCCGGTGAGAGGAATTCAACATTACAGTACGGGGTATTTTATTCTGTTTCCCGCATGCACTGCCATGTCAAGGGCTAGTTGTGTCCGAGGCTGCAGGAAAGGGGGGCTGTTGAGGCGCGAAGTGGGATGTGTGGAGTTTATTGTATTTTTCCTTTTGCCCTTTGAGATCAAGTCTGCAGAATAAAAGCTGAGGTAAAAACAGCTTGTATTCCCGCTGATTTTTGTTAGGCCAAACCAAAAAGGAAAAAAAAAGGGTGGAATGATGATCTGGTAAGAAATGCTACATCAGCAAACTGCGGGTGCAACAGTAGTAAAGAAGAATCATTCACAGCTAAATAGGCGCGGTTGCGTAGTCGCCAGAGAGCCCCATTATCAATGCAACCGATGATCTCGGACGATAATCTTGGAAAAATAAAATGAATAATATATTAGCAATAATACCACATTTATTTAAGAACAGGGGATAGATAGGTTTGCCCAGCCGCTACTGCCCGTCCCACGGTGTTCTCCCACCCCCACAATCCCACAATCCCACTTACCAGGGGCAATCTTAGTTGGTGTGGGAAGCCACAACCCACCTGGGCACCAACAATCTTTGCATGTATGTATAAAATGGTAACGGTCTCTTCACCTTACTGGCCTAATAGGTTCAAGTTCTGTTAGGGACTCCACTGTGGTACTTCAAGCATTGACGGTTCAATCCCTGGATCCATTTACTACGACCTTTTTATGCAATATAAGCACTAAACACAAGAACTATGTGGATAACATGATACTGGATGCTGAAACTCTGTCAAGTTCCACGCGACATTCAGATTATAAATTCTAATGTTCTACATATGAATTTGACATACAATTCCAGTCCAGAAAGCATATGTAAAATATACTTTCGATGCTCTTCATGTGCTCTTCATGCATGTGCTGACTCAGCCCCTCTTGCATGCACCGAACATTTGAAAGTGGCAAGTGGGATGTCCAGGTTTTGGATCTAGACTCATCGGCTTCAATCATAGTGAATTCATGGTTAGTGGTAAATTCCATGTTTTTTTTTTCTGTTTAGGTAGGAACATGATTTGATGACATCGCATGTGGCGAGATCACCCGGATGATAGACCAAGGCCCACGGTTAACACTCGGATTGTCAAAAACATCCGATCTCATCTCTGTAGTGGGCTATTGCTGACCATTATGCGACCTATATCTGACCCGAGTGAAGCGCATGCCAAGCAGAGTCTAGGCAATGTAGCCGGTCGTTTCGGACAAATGGTGTTAAAGGACAAGGGACAGGGGGGAGGGAGGGGACAAAGGGAGGAAAGGGTCCTGATTGTTGACCTTTCCCCGGAGCAACGGAAGAGCTTTGTCCAGTCCCCGCATGGCCGAAGTTTAAAACCACGCTTGAGTGTTTTGCTCATGTACTGATATACAGTGCATTTTTTTTTTGCTCGGATCTTCACTTCATTCGGTTTACGTCCCGATGGTGCCTGGTCGGCTGCAGTATCCAATACCCCGAACAAGTGAAAAGTACAAACCAGTGAACTGCATTCAGTCGAATCCGCATTCCTCACCAAGAAAAGACGCACGGTCCATACCGCATGGGGCAGTTGGGCACGCTAGGCCATATTTAGCTAAGAGCTTGGTATTATCAATACATTTTATTTGAAGTTGATTAGGTATGCATTGAACAATAAGTTAATGGGCTATTCAGCAATGTAAGATGGAAAGCAAATATCAGCCATATCTTGATCAGGTGTTTGATATATAGAAGTAAGAAATTAAAAAGAGAAAAGAGTTTAACCTTGGAAAATGACTTTGTCCTACCTAGTTGCTCATACACTAGATAGTAGAATAGTAGTTTAGTATACTTCTAGTGCTTCACATGTGCAGGTAAAACTTGAAAATACAAAAATGTTGAGCTAGCCCTCGGCTTCTATGTTGAATGCCGAAGTAAAGGATCATCGATCTTCGGCTATTGAATCTGTTGAGGATCATGAACCGATAATAACCCCGGCTACTTCTATATGAGTCCCAATTCAATGTAAAAAAGACCAGGGAAAGTTACGGGTAATTCAAATACACAAGGTATACTAGCTTAGTCCCAAACCAGGTAAGCGGGGAGTGGACTTTCCCCACCGGAAAATAGTGTAGTGACAGCGCGTTACGGGAAGAGGTATTCATGGGAGATTGGGTCCATCTCCACCTGCCCGGTGCGATTTTGTGGGCAATGGTGTGAATGGACTACTAAACCAACGCGGATCCCCCGTGGTTCTTTACTTTGATTCTCCCCCTCCCCTCCCCTCCCTACTCTCTTCGTAAACCATCCCGTCCCAAGTAAGTGTCCCCTGTCCCTGAGCTTATTGATCCCATTGTGCCCCTCCACAACATTCGAATTTGTCCTGACCCTGCATTTCCTCTAGAGGTTTGCGCCCGTTCCTCCTTTACTCCATTGTTTGTGCCTAGAGGCTCACAATTATGTCGGACGCCCCTAAACCCACGGTGGTAAGTTCCGGTGTCTCCTTTCAAATTGTTTTTGGCGGGGAAGATTGTTTTTTTTTTTTGCCTCGCCCCGCTCTCATCTCAGACTTCGGGACATCGTGTCTTATCGGCGGCTAATTCGGTTTCCCCACGCAGGTGCTCGAGGCCCACGAGGTCGACACTTTCCATGTTCCCCAGGCCTTCCACGACAAGCACCCCACAGGCACTCACCTTAAGGATATTGACGAGTACAAAAAACTCTACGAGGAGTCTATCCGTGATCCCGACACCTTCTGGGCTCGCATGGCCCGTGAGCTGCTCACATTCGACAAGGACTTCCAGACCACCCACCATGGTTCCTTTGAGAACGGCGACAATGCATGGTTCGTCGAGGGCACTCTGAATGCCTCATTCAACTGTGTCGACCGTCATGCGCTGAAGAACCCCGATAAGGTGGCCATCATCTACGAGGCCGATGAGCCCAACGAGGGCCGCACCATTACATACGGCGAGTTGCTGCGCGAGGTTTCTCGCGTGGCTTGGACTTTGAAGAAGCGTGGCGTGAAGAAGGGTGACACTGTCGCCATCTACCTCCCTATGATTCCGGAGGCTGTCATTGCTTTCTTGGCCTGCTCGCGAATTGGTGCTGTGCACTCGGTCGTTTTTGCCGGTTTCTCATCTGACTCGCTGCGAGACCGTGTCATTGATGCCGACTCCAGAGTCGTCATCACTAGTGACGAGGGCAAGCGCGGTGGCAAGGTCATTGGTACCAAGCGCATTGTTGACGAGGCGCTCAAGCAGTGCCCCGATGTGACTACTTGCCTCGTGTTCAAGCGCACCGGCGCTGAGGTCCCCTGGACCACCGGTCGTGATATTTGGTGGCACGAGGAGGTCGAGAAGTACCCCAACTACCTTGCCCCGGAACCTGTGAGCTCCGAGGATCCTCTCTTCCTACTTTACACTTCCGGGTCAACCGGAAAGCCCAAGGGTGTCATGCACACCACAGCAGGCTATCTGCTTGGTGCCGCCATGACCGGCAAGTACGTATTTGACATCCACGACGATGACCGCTACTTCTGTGGTGGTGATGTGGGTTGGATTACTGGCCACACATACGTCGTATATGCTCCTCTCCTCCTAGGCTGTGCCACCGTTGTCTTTGAATCTACCCCCGCCTATCCTAACTTCTCCCGCTACTGGGATGTCATTGACAAGTACGATGTCACCCAATTCTATGTCGCTCCTACGGCTCTGCGCTTGCTCAAGCGGGCTGGTGATGAGCACATCCACCATAAGATGAAGTCCCTCCGCATTCTGGGCTCCGTTGGTGAGCCCATTGCCGCAGAGGTGTGGAAGTGGTACTTTGAGGCTGTTGGCAAGGAAGAAGCTCACATTTGCGATGTCGGTAACTCCCTTGAACGGAAACAAATTGCGCACATGCTAATTAAATAAACAGACTTACTGGCAAACCGAGACTGGCTCCAACGTCATCACACCTCTGGGTGGTATTACCCCCACCAAGCCTGGCAGCGCCTCTTTGCCCTTCTTCGGTATTGAGCCTGCTATTATCGACCCCGTCTCTGGCGAGGAAATTACTGGCAATGATGTCGAGGGTGTATTGGCATTCAAGCAACCCTGGCCCAGTATGGCTCGCACCGTCTGGGGAGCACACAAGCGTTATATGGATACCTACTTGAATGTTTACAAGGGATACTACGTAAGGCTCTTTGAAATGTCTCTTTTGAGGATCCATGCTAACCGTTTTTTTAGTTTACCGGAGATGGCGCTGGTCGCGATCACGACGGTTACTACTGGATCCGTGGTCGTGTTGATGATGTTGTTAACGTCTCCGGTCACCGCTTATCCACCGCCGAGATTGAGGCTGCTCTTATTGAGCACCGTGAGTAATCTCTGACTGGGAGAGACTAATGACATAACGCTAATTCCTTTTCTAGCCATGGTTGCCGAAGCTGCTGTCGTTGGTATTTCTGATGAGCTGACCGGCCAGGCCGTGAATGCTTTTGTGGCTCTAAAGGATGGCAATGAGACCAACGATCAGGTACGCAAGGATCTGGTCGCACAGGTCCGCAAATCAATTGGCCCCTTCGCCGCCCCCCAAGGCCGTCTTCGTTGTGGAGGACCTCCCCAAGACTCGCAGTGGTAAGATCATGCGCCGCATTCTACGCAAGATTCTCAGCGGCGAGGAAGATAGCTTGGGTGATATCTCAACAGTAAGTTTATCTGGCCCTTTTTGATCTTCATTATTCTCATTGGAACAATATTAATCTGTTCCATAGCTTTCTGACCCCTCTGTCGTGGAGACGATCATTGCCACCGTCCACGCTGCCCGTCGGAAGTAAGGTACTGGTGCTCAATTAAATTTACGATAATGACGTCTGAAAAGAGTGAATTGCCTTGAATCTCATATTATTTTGAATAATGGCCGTGGTCAAGTCTAGTGAATATGCTTTGCGTAGTTGGCTCGATAACGAACTGTCGAATGGGAGGTTGGGATTTTTCTTATTTAGGTCTGAGTTCCCCCTTGTTGTATATGAGATTCCCTACTAGTATAATCAGGAGCTATTTGAAATTGAACTTATCCTGTGGGTTTGAGCTACTAGTAATATGTTGGTAGGGTAAACTGATGGATTCTATTGGTTCTAGGCTCTCAGTTCTGAACTGAGAGAAGAATAGTGGTTCTGCATAGTTCGGAAGATTCCCTTTACCGTCTTCGGACAGGCTTCTTCATTCAATCTTTCAAGTTCATTTTCACCCATCACTCCATCACTCCGTACATACCCCTGTATGCACTAGTACCTCCGAGTCTTTGCTCATCTATTTCCAACCACTCTGCGATCCTGCATCGCTCCGTTTTTGCATACATCTATTTTCGCGTGTGACAGTAAGTCGAGTCAATCCTGCATCCCAATCAGGCAGCAACCACGTGACGGATCACTGTTCCCCGTGCTGACATAAGCGTACTCCTGCCTTCAGCAAACTTGACTAGATTTCTGTCGCGTCTCTCCTTGTCTCTCTTCCCCCACGCGACATCCTCGTCATCCAACCCATCCTTGACGACGCTCTCGTCACCTTCATACTGCGTGAGCCCGACCTATGCACACATAGCGTCCTCAGCTCCCGACCGACAACATGTCTTTCTTCGGAAGTGGAGGAGGGTTCGGGCAGAACAACCAGGGCACCACTTTCGGGGGCTCTGGGTTCAGCGCCAACAATAACAATGCCGGAGGTAGGTCTCTCACATCATGCGTTTGCAATTCTTTTTCTCGTTGCCCTTTTCGATTCCCCTTGTTATCTTCGCCTGTCACTTCGTCCCGCCCTTCGGTGCTCTGTTCGCAACAACAATCCGGTGCTCCTGATGTCGACCCGCCATGGCCATGACTAGCGCAAGGAATCAATCCCCTATTTCCAATCATCAAATCCTTCGTCAAGCCTCTTCGACATCTCTAGCGGACCTTCTCGATGTTCAGCGACGCCGCGACAACAGAAGGAGTTGCGAGACCCAGCTTGAAACCAGTCTCTCTGACCGCGATCATCCCTTCCATCTAGGCTTTGGATCCACAGGAACCCCAGCATTTGGATCCAGCAATACTGCCACTGGAACCAGTGGTGGTGGCATGTTTGGTAGTAACACAGCCAGTAGCTTTGGCACCGGCGCCGGCGCCGGCGCTAGCGGAGGTACGTGCCTAACAAAACAACAACAACAAAAGCTTGCCATTCGCCCTTCCCACTTTCTCACGGCGCCTTTTCATCATGCTTTGATCGACTCCTACTACCCGTCTCATGGAGTTTATCCTTATGGTTGTGCCTTATAACCACGCTCCATGCGTGGTTTACTCTGCCTGCCCGGGGCAGTCGACATTGGGCGCTAGTCTGGATCGGCAAACCTAAGAATTTGCGTGGAGCATGGGTGGTCCGTACACAAGGATACCCTAGTCCAGCTTGAGCTCCGTCTGCTTTGCTATTTTTCTTTGTTCCATTGTTCTTCTTTTAGCCTAGTAGCTCGAACTTTTTTTTTTAATCGGTTCACTAACATTGAACTTCTTCTAGGATTTGGTGCCAGCAACAACCAATCTGGTTCCCTTTTTGGACAGGCCCAGAATCGTCCTGCCAGCTTCGGAGGTGCCAATACAACAGGCAGTGCAGGTGCCTTCGGAACCAACACAACTACCGGCGGATTCGGCTCTGCTGGCAGTGCATTCGGTGGTGGAGGTAGCGGGTTTGGCAATAACAACAATAACACTCCCAATGCCAACTCCAACAGTGGAAGCCTTTTCGGCAAGCCTGCCAGTACGGGTTTCGGCACCGGCGGCTTCGCGGCTGCTCCTTTCGGCGGCGGAGCAAGCACTAATACGGCTATTGGCACAGGCTCAGGCTTTGGTAGTGTCGGTGGTGGTGTTGGTGCCGAAAGTATGCCTCCGCACTGTGATGGTACCGGTGGAACGCCATTTAGTGCTTTTGTTGAAAAGGACACCAATACCAATGCGACCAACCACTATCAGAGTGTCAGCTTTATGCAACCATACAGCAAGTTCTCGTTCGAAGAGCTAAGACTGGCTGATTATCAACAAGGCCGTCGCTTCGGTAATGCAAGCGGTCAAGCTGGTGCTTTTGGTAACTCTGCCTTTGGTACACCTGCTGCTGGTGGCTTCGGAAGTCAGCAAAACACTGGTTTTGGAGGAAGCACTACTCCCTTCGGTGGGGGTGCCGCAACTACCGGTGCACCCTCTGCATTTGGACAAACACCTACCGCCGGTGGATTTGGCTCCAACAACACCAACCCATTGTTTGGCGGAGCTAAACCTACCGGTTCGTTGTTCGGAAATACAGGAACCACAACAGCGGCCCAGCCCTCTGCCTTCGGCACAGCAGGCGCACCCTCAACAGGATTCGGCAATAGCACTGGAACTGGAGGTTTCGGAAATTCTCCTTCCATGTTCGGCGGTCAAAACCAGCAGCAAAACAAGCCTTCTGGTTTCGGTACTTCGACAGCCCCTAGCACTGGTGGCTTTGGTAGCGGTGGATTCGGCGCCACTCAGCCAACCACGTCTGCCAATCCATTTGGTAGTACCACTGCTACAGCCTCACCCTTCGGCGCTCAGCCTGCGACTGGAACAAACACCTTGGGTGGCTTTGGAGCTCAGAATCCAACACAACAGAACAAGTCACTGTTTGGCAACACCGGCAGCACATTCGGGGCAAACAACACCCAGCAGCAACCTGCGACCGGAGGCTTATTCGGTAACAATGCCGCTGGCGGGAATACTGGAGGTCTGTTCGGTCAACCCAATCAGCAGCAGCAGCCTCAACAGCAGCCTCAGCAAGCTGGCGGGGGGCTTTTTAATCAATCGGCTGGCGCTGGCGGGGGGCTCTTTGGTACCGCTCAGAACGCGCCTCAGCAGAAGCCTGCTGGTGGTCTTTTCGGCACATCTACTAGCACTACTGGCGGTGCGTTTGGCGGTGGTGGATTTGGCGCCAGTCAACCACAGCCTTCCGGTGGCCTTTTGGGCAATACTCAAAACCAGCCCGCAAAGCCCAGCCTCTTTGGTACATCCGGGGGCACTGGTCTGTTCGGCGGTGGTCAAAACACCGGGGCTCAAAACACTGGTGGCAGCCTCTTTGGGACCCAAAGCCAGCAGCAGCAGCAGCCAGCTGGCAATAGTTTGTTCGGCACCTCGCAACCCACGCAGCCTCAGCAGCCTCAGCAACCCGCTCCTGGTAGCTTCACTTCATCCCTGCTTGAGGGCAACCCCTACGGTAGCCAATCTATCTTTTCGGGTCTCCCAACTCCCAGTGCGCCGTCTCCTGGTCCTGTCGCCAGACCACTCTCTTCTACCCAGGAGCAAAGGGCCCGGGGTGTGACTTACAACCTGAATCCCAGCGCCTCATTGCGTAATTTCAAAACCATGCCAAGAAGCCAGGGATATAGGTTTCCCTCTTCTCCCTCCAGCGCATCCAGCACTCCTGGCCTTCGCAGCAGCATGTCGGTTTCGGGATCTGGGCTTACCAGCGGCTCTCTTCATGGAAGCTTCAATGGCAGCTTCAGTGGTAGCTTCAACCGCAACTCCCTCGTCCATAGTGCGTCCACCAACAACATGCGAGGACTTGTCTCTCGGCAGCCAAACAGCGTTTTGGAGCGTGATGCTATGCAAAGTAGTGGTGGTCATCGTGGAAGCAGTCTTAGAAATCGTCTCGTGGTCAATCATGAGCTGCGGAATAGCTTCCAGAAGGATCTCTTTTCTCCTCAATCCAGCTCATCACCCGCTACTATCACAAATGGCGAGGATATTTCCTTGCCCGCTGACAAGCTGAAGAAGAAGGTCAGCTTCGACTCCCCGGGCGCTGGTGGTGAGCTTGTCGTGACTGAGAAGCCTGACCTCGGACCCACTGCCGAAGAACTCGGGTTCCTCCGTTCTACTCGCAAGAGTGGGAACCTTAGCGGTATAGATCCCATTGAACGTCCCGAAATGGAATCTGTAACTCGTGATCTGGCTGTTGTTCCAGAAAATAGCGAGCCTGTCCCCGTCGCTGTCAAGCACCTTACCGTTCCCACGGCTGACCCCAAGCCGGGTGAGTACTGGATGAAACCCTCTGCATCTCAGCTTCAAAAGATGAGCCGCGATCAATTGAAGCGTGTTGTCGACTTTACCGTCGGTCGCCAAAACTGTGGACAAGTCACTTTCAATGGTGCCGTCGATCTGACTACTGTTGACATGGAAAAAATCTTTGGAGACATTGTAGACATCGGTCTGCGCAAGATCACCGTCTACCCTGAAGAGTCAAACAAGCCTGCTATGGGTAAGGGTTTGAACGTGCCTTCAACTCTGCGTATCGAGAACTCCTGGCCGCGCAGCCGTGATAAGAAAAGGCCAACACCTATCATCAACGGCCCATTCTTTGACAAGCACATTGACCGTTTGCAGAAGGTGACCGATACCAAATTCATCGATTATGAACTTGAAACTGGTACCTGGGTGTTCACTGTGCCTCACTTTACTACATACGGACTTGACTATGACGAGGACGAAGAAGGTGAGAGTCTTGACCAGAGCACTATGAGTGCAGGCCCTGATAACCTTACTCCCAAGGCCGACCACCCCATCAGCTTTGAGCAATCTGCCACCTTTTCTATCGACGAGTCGTTCGTTGGATCTATGGCTGGGATGGATGATGATACTTTCGATTTTAAGAAACATAAGCTGGTCCCTGGCTCTTTCGGAAATCAAGCCATGGGTATGGAACATCGAGAGATGGATTCGGAGGGCGAAGACGAGTCTTTTTTAGAGGAAGGCTCCGCGGGTTCGACTACTGAGCATGACGACGACGTCACCGAGAGCCAGCTATCTGGCGACTCGATAGTTGGATCAGATGAGGAAGGGGATATGGACATGGCGGGTTCTTTTCCCAGTCTTCATCGCACCGTGGAGCAGGACGATGACCAGAGCAGTGTTCTGGAAACCACCCAGCCTATCTTTAAGCCCTTTGGCACACCACCCAAGCCTCGTCTGAATCTCAGTGGCGACTGGACGGAACAGCTTCAGCGAACGATCAGCCCCCGCAAGCAAAACCGTGATGCTTTGCGAGAGATCCAAGCAAGTGCGTTCACTGACCGACACCTCTTCAATGAGGAATCATCAACCGAATCAACAGCGTCTCCTAAGAAGGGGTTCACCAACAGCATCGACTTGATGAACTCCCTGTTTCAGCAGCAGCCTAAGAAGCAAAACGCAGCTCCTCAGCTGAAAGCTTCGGCATCGCAGCCTAAGGGCTTTGAGGTTCGCTCCCCCGCTTTGCTTTACACTTGACCTCCCCCACACCATTCCTATTTTCTTACCCCGTTCACATGATCTATTATTTTCTTCCCCTGTCAATTTTTTCACCCACTCTGTTTGATGTACCTAGCACCTGCATTCCCCATGGCAAATAGTTCGTTCACCAACCAATTTGAGATTATATGAGCTAAAATTTCTTCTTCTTTTTTACCGTACAGTGGCCTTACAACAAGCAACCCAAAACATTCGCCGATAACACCAGTCAGATGGATGAAACAGACTCTGCTTTCCATGAGTCTTTCAAACCACGCTGGGGTCCTATGGACAGCATTATTTGTGCTAAAAACGACCTGAATGAGCCTCTTTCTGAGACAAGTAATCAGTGGAGGGAACGATACTCTGTCTTCAGTGAGGCGAGGGATGTCACGGTTCTTGGATACAGTCCACCAGTCGAGGTAAATTTCACCGCGTTATCGTTTCGAGAGAGTATCTATCTAATTGCAGTTTAGTCCACGGATATCCTCAATGTGCAAAAGCAGCAGTCCACCATTCAACGCGTTGACGGCATACCTTTGGTCCGTCTGGCCAAGATTGACCTTCGGCAGTTTGCCTTCCAGCCTGCAGGAGAGGAAGAGCGATTGATCTGGCAGCTGGCCAACATTTTGTTCAATGATGACATTGAGGATGACATTTCAGCAGGTGTCCCCCCACAGTTGCGAATGAAATTCTCCCATCGAATCAAGAAAGATCGATTGACCCGGCTGTGGAAGGGCATTATTCGTGACCGACACGCCCATGATCTGGATCATATTCGCTCACCCGAAGAGCGTGCTGTCCACCTTCTCTGTTCTAACCGAGTCGAAGAGGCTTGCAAAACCTTGATTGATGGCCAAAACTACCACTTGGCCACAGTGGTTGCACAAATTGGCAGGGATGCCACGTCAAGGGCCGACATGGCTGATCAAATTGAGGTCTGGCGCCAAAACAATGTCCTCTCTGAGATGACTGAGCCAGTTCGAGCTCTCTATGAATTGGTTTCCGGCAATTCCCTCCGCAGTGAAGGTAAATCAGGCGGTGCACTGGAAGACCGAGCCTCAAGCTTTGTGTTCACTGAACGCTTCGAGCTGGACTGGTTGCAAGCCTTTGGTCTCCGATTGTGGTATGGCATCACCGAAGATGAGCCCATCGAAGCCGCTGTTTCCAAGTTCCTTGATGATTTGACAAGCGGCCTCGAACCTGCTTTCCCCCATCCCGCGCAGAGTGCCAATGCTCAGACTTCCGTGCAGCCTGGCTCAGACACACTTGGTCGTGAGTCTCCTTTATGGGTTCTCCTCAAGGCATACTCGGCCTCTAGCGGAAACACCAAGGTTTCTGCCACTGAGCTCCCTGCGGCTTTGCTACCCCAGTCTGTTTCTGGCAACCTGTTGGCTAATCGCCTGTCTTTCCAACTGTATCACGTCCTCACCACTGTCATGGGACAAAACAACGCGGTCAAGATCAACCAAGTTCAAGCTGACCATCTAGTTTGGGACTATGCTTCCGAGCTGATTTCCGGCGGACAGCTTTCTCCTGCTCTCTTTGTTCTTCTTCACCTCTCGCGACCAGATGATCGCAAGCGTGCTGTACAAGAAACTCTTGCCCGATTTGGTGCAAACCTCCCCAACCCCACGTCTCAGGATAGCCTAGCTACTGACCCCGTTTGGCTGCATTTCACTGTTGACCTTCAGATTCCCGATGCCTGGATTTGGGTTGCTAAGGCCCTTGATGCCCGTGATCGCGGCGATGCCATTCGTGAAGTTGACTGCCTAATTCACGGGAAGCACTGGAACGATGCCCATGCTACCTTCTGCCGTGTAGTCGGGCCTACTACTATCATTTCGCGCGATTACCAAACTCTCGAGAAGCTCGTCAACGGTTTCGGCGATGGCCCTGAACGCAAGATGCGCGGCTGGGCCTCTGGTGGTGGTATCTATGAGGACTTCCTGCGCCTGGTCACTGCCCCCCGCGGCAGACGTGACCCGACTCGTCTTACTCGCCTTGTCAATGCTCTGGTCGCCGAGGGTGACCGCGTTCGTGATGGTTCCGGTATGAATGGCCTGGAAGAGCGTGTTGCTTTCAAGGAGATGAGCCGTGCCGTGGCCGGATGGATAACCCATGAAGATGTTCGGGTAGGTTTATTTCGCGCCTTTTCTATTACTTTTCATATGTTTTTGGCATTCTTACTAACTCAATTTCTAGTCTGTCGAGTCCTCTGCAGTTCTTGGTCTTCCCCTGACTGGCGATGCTCGCGTCCTGCAGACCGTGGAGATGAGCCGACGTTACTACGGCGTTGTCATGGCTGGTGGTTTCTAAGGTGATTTCTAAAATATTTGCAGAGCCTAGATTCGTCTTTTGACGTGATTTGACTCTCGTTGCTCCTATCTCAATTTTCAGCATGTTTCAGCAATAATTTCTTTTGTACCAACCCCAACGTGAACATGTATTTTACTAGTGACAAATTCAATTGCTAAAATTTTGACACAAGCATTAGGTAGTGAATAAACAAGGTTATTCCAAACAATGAGTACTACCAGAATAGATAATAAGGTCATGACATCAATCCGTATGTAGTATCTGCGTGCAATCTAATCATGGATGTGCAAGCTTAATAATGTGAGGCTTCAATTCACCCTTTTTACGGGGCTTAAGTTCTCTATAAAGATCGACTCTCGCATTCCATGTGTATACTAGCACTTTTCACAAAACATTCCATGTTGAAAGTGTGGGTACCGTCACCGGGCATGCTCTATAGATCAGTCTCAATAGCAGTGGGGTCCACACCGACTGTAATGTATCCCACCATACCCTTGCTCAAATCGTTGCCATCGATGGGAACAACCGAGATGACCGGGTTGTAACCATTATCAGTGTCATCGCCATAAACACTATCCTGGGCATTGGTTGTGCGGTTGATCTCGGTGTGAGAAGCATAAGGTTCCAGAGCCATAATCTTCTCTTCAAGATCCTCGTCAAAGTAGATTTGACCGGTGCTAACAGTGTTACCATAGGCCATTGTGCCATTGCCACGAACAGTCCAGTCAGTGTGGACTTGAACATGAATGTGAATAGCTCTTTCAATGTAGAATCCTGTGTGAAAACATAATGTCAGCATCGGTGCCATGGGCGAATATAGTAAGTAGTAAAAGTGCGCTGTTATAGTAACAGTCCCAGGACTTGAGAGGGGAACCAACCGGGGAAAATAGTCTTCATCTCCATCATGCCATTGCGATCAGTCGGCCACATTCCACGCAGCCAGGTAGTGTCATCGGTATGGAGATCGGTGGTACCAATATCAAAGTCCGTCACATTCAGCTCGTTCAGCAATGTTGGGAAAGCAGTGTTGGGAGAAAGGCCAGTGAAGCTGGAGTAGCTGCCGGTGGCATTGCAGTGCCAGAAGTCAACCAGCACACCTTCCAGCGGTTCGCAGGTGTTCATGTCCAGGACACCGACGTCTAGCCACAGAGGCACGCCAGGCTGGCCTTCGGTCATATCTTGACGCAAGGTCTGGGAGCGAGGCCAGACGTAGGGACCTTCTGTCGCCTCAGGGGTCAAGACGCAAGTGTCATTTTGGATCACGTCGTAGTAGGGTGCTTCGGTTTGGATTTGCACGGTTGTATTGTGGTCGTGCGATCGCTTGTTGAGGTTCCAGCGCTTTTCATTGAAGCGGGCGACATGCTGGGAGCAGCGGTTGGATAGGTCGTGGCGACGAGCAACCTCTCGCTTGGAGATGCCGTGGTGAGGGCCTGGGTGAGCGAAGGCTACGCAGGCGAAACCAGCAAGGGCCGCCAGCTTGGTGTAATGCATGATGAGGATAGTATGAGAGAATAAGACTAGATTTTCTACCAACCTTCTACCAAGTTTCCCCTGGCTACTACTTATATGTCTACAATCTTGGAAGTACGTATTGTTAATACGACACTCCTGGCTCGCTCATGCTTTCTTCAGTGATATCCACTTGCGTAAGCTTCTGGGGCATTAGAGCTTGGCATTTTATGCTAATCTGGTTCTGTCGTACTTCCGTCGTTTTGATGAGAATTATCTTGGAATAATTATGGGGATGTCTGGAAGCTGGGAGCCCAGAAGCCATACTCTCATTAATTTGGGTCCAACACATGTTGTATCCATGTATATAGCAAAGAATGTTTTTACTTACTCGATAGTTGATATGCTCTATACAAATTTTCTCTGATCAATTTACCTAAATGCCTAATCCGAGAGAAAGAGTACCTACATAAGTACGATGAAGCCTATTAGGACTACATAATGTATAGACATTGTGAGTTTTGAGGAGGTTTTGAGGATCAACTCCAGATTCGAATCGTGTGCCATTTTCGATCAGAGCATACATACTCAAATATATTGGAATGACTACGTCCACGGGTGTATAGTCGGTACATGGGTGTCTAACTCATGTACCGGTTAGAATATAATTACGCGGCCCGGCACTTGGCAGCTCCAGGGCTCCATGGGATCATGTCGATCTTTAACAAGATGCCGAATCCACTGTTCGACAACGGCTTCCAACCTTGGAAGGCTGCGTCATGACGCCAAGGAAAATGGCTGATCGATTTCCCTGACTCGCAAGTACAGCTAAGATGAACGATACTGAGTCATTTTAGCTCCACTGTGCGCGTACAGTCAGGCAAGAGAATTTTGTTGAGTAGGAAGACCTCAATTCGTAGGTCTACCTCATCTCATGTTGGCTGCTCGGCCGCCTCGAGGACCAACCAAAAACAATCATTGATTCGCAGCACAGGTTGCCAGTTGAATTAAAGAAGTGTGAAAGTCCAACGAACAAAAAAACGACGGCTGGCGGATTCGAACCGCCGCCTCCGAAGAGAATTGATTTCTAGTCAATCGCCTTAGACCACTCGGCCAAACCGCCTATATGGAGAGCGGGCATTTTTGGCTACATAGTCCAAAGTTAGTATAAAAGATCAAAAAGTCGACGAATCTCAACAATCTGGCCGGTTGCTGGCATATCTGATCACCCTTAGATGGTCCATTTCTTGATAGTAGGAAAGGCGGGTGGAGGCGGTGAGAAATCCAAAACGACAATACTTGAGACGAAGTAACAATTGCTACTTTCCATATACAGTTATATGACCAAGCTACGATACATGTAAATTCTGGAGGATATGCATTATTAAATAGCGAATGATTCATGACCACAAGTCACGGTATTAGCGAAATTTGAACGTGGTTAGTAGGGAAACAATCCGATTTGAGAAGTTCTGCTTAGTCCGGTTTAGTCAGCGGATTGAAGGTTAAGCGGTTTTAGGTGGGGACGCTAGTCCACTTTAGGTCTAGTCCAGATATATCCTTCGTCTCGATCAAATTAGCCCTACCGGAGTAAAAAATCAAACAATTTGAAGCCACTATTGGAGCAAAAATGATCAAAAACAAAAACAATACGACGGCTGGCGGATTTGAACCGCCGCCTCCGAAGAGAATTGATTTCTAGTCAATCGCCTTAGACCACTCGGCCAAACCGCCTATATAAAGAGAGCGCCATTCTTGCCTACATGAGACAGAGCTTAATTTTGCTGCGAAAAATACCAATACTCAACACCTGGGTATAACTAGTAACATAGTACCAATAACTTGATACTATGCAGAATCAATATATATGCTTAGGTGGGTGCTAACAGTCTAGGTGAAGCTCTTTCGTGGATGCTTCCAATTGATGTTTTTTTCACCTCTACCTACCTAACCCTCGAAACCACCGCTAGGCAAAACCCCAACTCTGAATTTGCCATTCAATTGAGATGCTACATACATTCATACAACATATATTTAAGTATATACATGGATGTATTTGAATATTTTTGAATATTTTTGAATTTCATACGGTACTGAGTAGAATGGCGACTTGAACAGGCCAACCTGTTATTCAAAATATTTTGAGAGCCCATATGTCAATTGTTCAGCCTAGTATTTTCTTGTAAAGAGCCAGTCCTGACCAGTTCCGACGAGACTTGCATCCATCGTGCAGGGGAGCTTCCAGTATGTTATTGGTGGCTTTTACGAGAGTGACTCCACTATACCCACTTGAAGTTGTTCTTGGCTTATTTAGCCAGACCTGGCCCTCGAATCATATAGGCGGTTTGGCCGAGTGGTCTAAGGCGATTGACTAGAAATCAATTCTCTTCGGAGGCGGCGGTTCGAATCCGCCAGCCGTCGATTTTTGCTTCATTGGTGTGGAACCAAGTCTTTTTTTTGCACCTCCTTGATCGATCAATTGCTTGATTGAATACTCTTAACTTGGGCCTTGCCATCAATGCCTAGTAAATTCCCGAGGTTTGCTTCTCTCAAATGCTGAAATCGAAGGCAGGTAGTACATATATGAGCTTGTATGTACCTAAGCGGGTATACATTAACGCTACTAGTAGATTGTACGCGGCGCGCTGCTTCCCTATGTTGTTCTTCTCTCTCATTCTTCTCCTTTCTCCTCTCTTATTTCCTGTGCAGCCCTAGGTATCTTGTTATCTGGGATCAATACCCTTTCTTCTTAGGTTTTTGATTGCGTCATCGAACAAGTGGTTGGTGATCAGTTAGCCAACCTGCCGTCGTGACACGGGGCCGGGGCTCGAATGTGTTATCCTCCCTGGATGGGATCCAGCAACCAAAGTCCGTGGAGATTGCATGTGGGATGGTCGCAAGGGCCGTTGCCCTTTCTTGACTGGGAGCGATAGCCCATCTGGGCAGCATCTTGCCAATCTACACAGCTAGCTGACTAGCCTGGTCCAGCCAACGAAAACTCGGCGACATCAAACCATCAGGAGATAGTCCCCCTAACCTAACTGAAGCAAGTGCGCTGCCGGCGAAGAGAGAGCTGGTCCGCCTGGGGGAACAGAAGCAATGGTTCTCAGCGGTTTGGCGATTTATATTAAGAAATATAGGCCCAACTCCCTATGATGCATCTACTCTGACTCAGAAATAGTCTCTGCGATTAAAATTGAAGCCTTTATCTGCTTCCACTGGCCGTATTTATTAACAGGCCGAGCAACCAAGCGAAATATTTGTATTATTCTCTGCCGTACATCTCATTTGCCTGGCAGAATGCCGTGAAACGCCCTTTTCATTTTCATAAAAAGCTGTCTAGCGTAATTTATGATATCTTCATACAACGCAGAATAGCATCTCATAACTGTGAAATACATATAATTATTTGGGTAGTGGTGATAGCAATGCATGTGTATAGATCAGCTCTACATAGGAGACTGCGGAGTTGTTGCGGAGCACGGCAGATCAAATTCTCCAACTCCAATTCCTCAACCTCCCCCAATCAACCTCTACACCCCGAACTTGTCCCCCCCCTGATTCGAATCAGACCAGATAAACCACCAGCAAACTACCAAGCACAGCAAGAACCAACTCATGCTCCGTCAAATCTTCGCAGCCGCCCCGTCGGCGCGCCTCGCGACCCCGATCTCTACCGCAGCCCTCAAGACCCAATTCGCCCACCAACCAACATGGCGCCTTCCTGTGCGATACAACATTTCCATTCCCTTCCTCTACAAACCGAAGCTACCGCATAAAAATACCATCCAAAGAATCCAGGCTAACCCATGCGCTCCTCAGAATCCCTCCGCGATCGCCTGCACCCCGCGCCTCTTCACCACCACATCCCCAGCCCGCTTCACCACCTCCGCAATCCTAAACTACTCTTCCCCCTTCCGCCTCTCCACCGACAAGCACGAATCTCCTTTCGACCACCCAGAAGACGACCCTTACAGCCAATACCCGCCCAAGCGACAATGGCCCCCAGACATGTCGAAGCTCTCCCCGAAACACCAGTTCCGGCTTGAGCGTAAATACCGCCGGCGCGCGGCGCTGAAGTATGCGCGCCCGAAGTTCATTAAGATGGTCACGTTGGCTCAGTGGATTATTATTGGTTGTATGTTGTCCCGACCTTGGAATATTCAGAATTGTTGATTTTGCGTCGGCTGTGGTTACTGACATGCCTTTTCTTCTTTCTAGTTGTTGCGGTCTACGCCATTCTGTTCATGAATTGGGATACCAAGGGCACGCCATTCGATGGGGTAAGTGGTTCTCTCTTTTTTTATTTCTGTCTTTTGCTTCTTCATACTGGTGTTCGACGGACTCGGATTATTCGCCAGATGGAGCTGTTGAACTTGAACTCAAATTAACGATGCCGTTTTCTTAGATCCGAGAGAGCGTCTTCGAGGGAATCGGGGCGATATTCACTAGCCCGCCACCTCGCGGACCGGCGAAGAGTTCCGACGAGAAGAATTGAATGGCCGGTTAAAGTGGCGGAGGACTCTCATATTCGTATATGATGGATGCCTCGTATATTATTGTACAATACCATCTCCTAGTAAAGAGTACCTAGCATCATTGTTGAAATTCTGATCCACAATCACAATCACAACGCAACAGCCTGCTCCTCTTGCTGGCCCCGCAAATCAGCGGTGGAAGCTTGCTGGTGAAATCCTGAACCATTGCCCTCTAGGGCCTGCTGGCTTCGTTCATCCTCCTGTATTTGTTCGGGGCTGGGAAACATCAGATCTCTATTAGGATAAGTACTAGTTGCAGAGTACATGAATGCATACATCTGGTCCTGTTCGTGTTCCTGTAAGCCTTCGCTAGATTTATCCTTCCGAGGCCGTCCAGATCTCGGTCGCGATTGATTATTGACGCGCTTCTTTTGTGATTGACATGTGGATTTGATTGTTGAGAGGGGAATATCTGGGTATGCTTTGTGGATGCGGCCATAGGACCATTGGGCTGTGTTCCGGAGTTCACAGATCCGAGTCCGCATGAAGGGGTCCAGTTCTTTTCGCTTGCGAGAACTCATGGTGTGTATTGGAAAGGCTATCGAGGTTCCAGGTAGTCGTTATCGTGAACGCGTCGAGAGATTATCGGGTATTGCGGGGCGGTGTGGAACTACTATGTAAACCGTACAAGACTACTAACTATTGTAAATGCTACTTCGGACCTTGGGAGTAGATATGTTCACCATATACAGGAAATACATGTAATAGGCAAGAATACCTAGTACCTACTGTAGTAGGTACTGTTAGATTTGGATGGGAAAATTCAATATATTAATCCAATGACGTGTCATTCAATTCTCATTTCTGTCATTGATTGTCATGAGCAAATCCGGTCGAAACTATGCAACTCCAAACACCAAGAATGCCAACGCCTGATAACCAAAAAAAGCATACAAAGAAGCCTCAGAAGGCGAAATTCTCTGAACCAGAACCCAAAGTGCTGGTACAGGGCCTCTGAAAAAATGAACCGTAACTCCAGGTCATGAAACGTCGAAGTGGAAATGGACATGTTGAAAAGGGGAGAGAAAAAAAAACATCGAGAAGGAAAATTAAAAACAAAGTCAGATAAGCAAGGAGGTTCCTCTTTCTTTGTTCAGCTAGAGCCAGCTGCGTAGATCACTGGATGGCGTCAGTGGGCTATGAGCAGCACGGCTATCCGGGAGGTTGAGCGGCAGGTTCAGCACCAATTCCAGTTTGGGTGGCCTTTCGTCAACCAAGCCCTTCTTGGGGCTACCAGGCGCAGCCTTCTTGGGCGACTTGGTAGGGGAGCCAGGCTCGCCAGAGCGAGGAGGTCCCTCACGCACGGATGTATATGGCCAGCCATCTTCTACGGCCGCAGCAACCCAGGTACGTAAGCATTCATGGACAGAAGAGTAGAACTTCTCCTTGCAAGTACGCATGGTTCCGCCCATGACCTTCTCAAATCCGGAGGCCCGAAGCTCAGAGCGGAGCTGATTGCGCTCATCAAGCGTGGGAAGAGAGGCAATCAGACCATTGAGAAGATCAAGGTGAGCGGCCAGGTAGTTCGTAGCGTCCCACTCAACCCCGCCAACATATGGAGCTGCAGGAACAGGCGGGCGAGGTGGAGGGAAGTTACGCTGATAGAACGAGTGGCTATCCGCCACCGGACGTTTCTCAGTAAAGGGATCGTCCGACTTGGGGTCCGACTTGGGAAGTGGGATCACGTTTAGGTGGTGCAGGAAGATCCAGAATACTTCCTTGGTCACGTTGGTGACTTCCTTGCACCACACGCGGTATGGCCGAGACTGGTATATGTTGGCGATGAACGAGACAGGCTGGCTGCCATCGGCTGGCGATGGATCACGCAGGTATCCAAGAAGCCGCTCCGCACGCTTCACGGGCAACTCGCCAGGAGAAAGTGTAGATAGCTGTGTGAAAAGGAGGTTGATAATGATCCCGCGAGTCGTGAACTCGCTAGGTCCTTTCCTCTCCTCATCAAACAGCATCTTCAACAAGGCAGGGAAGAGCTCAGCTTCGATGCTCGTCAGATGCGCAAGAGCAATAGACGTAGTGCAAAGACCCTTGAGGCAGAGTAGAGCTTCATGGAGAAGAGTATCCTCATGATCCTCACTGGAAAAAAAGTTAGCTAAAATTCAGATCTATACGATTGAAAGGGTAAACTGCATACCGCCACTCCATCTTCATAATGCGGTAGATGAGCTGTACTATTTCATCCATTCCGCCTTCAGTAATGAAGCCATTCACCCAGCTTACTGTCTCGTTGCGAAGCAGAAGGCGCAGCTTGTGAAGCTTGCCCACTTCAATAATCTCCGGTTTTTGGATCTCTCTCAGATAATGCACAAAGTCGGAAGGATCTGCGGCAGTGTCCACGACAGCAGCTTCGGAAAGAGTTGCCGTGGAGCCACCAGGGTGTAGAGTTGTGTAAACACCCACAGGCTGCGAAAGATCTACTGATCGTGGGCGAGCAAAAGTTCCACTCTCCGGCCGAGCTTTCTTGCCTGGAGACGATGACCCTCTACCAAAGGAGAACCCACGGCTTCTAGACCGTGATCGGGAGCCCTTGCGGTCTTGGGACTTCTGGTCATCCTTGGACTCCTTTCCACGCCCACGGCGACTATCAGAAGTACCAGCACTGTTGGGGGCTCCGTTCTCAGTCCTGTCCTTCTGAATGAAATCAACTTTGATGTTGGTGTCAAGTGAGCGCATCTTATCTCGCATGTTATGAGGAATATTCCTTGCATCCTGGAAGATGTTAACTGAATGGCTCTCACAAACTAAAATAACGAAAGGTGAATAAACATACCAGTAGCTTCTCAAACTCGCTTTCAACATCCTTGGAGTCGAGATGTCGGTGAATATCGGCGTCTTTATCTTTAGCGTTGAACGCCGAGATTGCGGCCTGCACACGCGATAGTCTCTTGGGGTTTGTTTCTTTCTCGGGAGATTTGGGAGGCTGGTTCTCAGAGGCAGACATCTTTCTGGCTCTGTGTAGACTATGGCTCTTTGAAGTTTTCGAAGAGGCGCTGTCCGCCCGTTCAATTGAATTTGTATCGTTGGTGGAGATGCGCTGCAAGGGCCCCAGCATATCCTTCACTTTCTTGTTGCCCGCGAAGTTCTCTGACTTTGGCCGTGGCTTGCTCTCGCCAGATTTGGTGAGCGAGGGCTGATGGTAATCATGGAAGTTTCGTTGCTGGGCAGGACTGTAGCCTTTGGGTGTATAGAGGGAGAGCTCGTCAGCGACGCTTCGCTGCCGGTCGCTTGTTGAACTCTGTGCTGTCGAGTTCTGGGGTGAATTCTGTCGGGATCTGTTGACCTGTTGCTGGTAGGTTGGAATGGAGTCTTGGGACCAAACTGGCGACGGCATACTGTCAACCAGATCAGTTGGGCTGCGGTTCTCTTTATCGCGACTCTGTTTTGAGCCGTCCTTGCGGCCCCGCTGTGATCGTTTGAGAATCGCCGAGAGACTGTTGTTTGATTTAGCCTTCTTAGGCTTCATTTCGTCGGACACTTCGGCTTCTTCGGACTTTCCATCCTTCCGCTCCATGTAACTTCTCAGTGACTTCAAAGAAACGGCACTCTTCGTCTTCTTGTGTAGTGGTGCTTTGCCCTCCTTGCTGCCATACTTGGCGGTCGGAACGTAGGTATCTCCAGCATCGCGGTTTGGAACTATCTCGCCTAGTGGAAGATGACCGGGAGTGGAGGTAGGCTGCTGCGTCCAGGGGAAGGGGACAGGGTCGGATGATTTGATGGGTGGAAGCTGTGGTGGCATGGCATCGTCCGCGGACTGGTTTCTCTTATGTTTTGATGAAAGCATGGCCCGGAAAACGGACGGTTTGGGAGCTCGGTGGGCATCCTCGAAGATCTGGGGACCGGAAGTAGAAGGAGCCATTGGTATCGCCGTTGACCAGCAACTGTGGCACGTTAGAATATGGACTGGCCACTTCGAGAGAAGGCGGGTAGGAGCAGCGGTCAACTCACGGGATGTTTTTTTTCTTCTCTTTCTTCTTTCCTTTTCTTTTGTTTCAATGCAATAAAAATCCAATCACGCCAAAATGAAACACCAAGCGCAAACGGGATCGTTTCAGATGCCCTTTATTGAAAGGAAGAAGCGCAATGCAAAAGACAAAAGACAAAATGCAATGCGAGAGGGATTCTGTAGAAGAAGTCTGAAAAATAAAGCCGGGCAGCCGGGGAATTTGAGTGTCTGGCTGCCAACGGCAACATCGAGGGATCAGATCTCCACTTTGCTTTGGGTCTGAATTAGCTAGCGTGGTGAGGCGATCCTTGGGGTTGGTTGGACCTGGTGGAGGAGTAAACAACGTGCGGTTCATTGAGTTGCACGGGGCAACGGGCACTTTAGTTGGCGGTGAAGGTGGATTTACTAGTCAATCTTACTATGTTATTACTATGTTTGTACTATTTAGTATCTCTGACTATATCGACAGGTCACCCTGCATCCATCGTGCATAACATTTTAAATGTTTGGATGTTTGGGGAATATTCGCATCAAGGGTTTCTATGGTTTCAATCTCCCCCCTCATTTCCCATTCTAGGGATCTTGCAGTATCCTTGCAGCTGGCTTGTTTATGGCGGGGGGAGGATCTAGATTCTTAGTCTCTATGGATACTCTATATTCATGGGATTTCAAGGATCTACCTATATTTAAAGAATATTTGGATAATTGAAATGAATTGCTAATAAATATTTTAAGATCTATTTTAATACTCACGTTCAAGAATTCTTTGCGTCTCAAGCTAAGTTCGCGGGTAAATAGTTACAGTGGGACCACTATATAAGGGCAGTTGGCAGCTCGCGTGCGTGTTCCCATGTTGACATCATGTCTTTAAGCCCAGCCTGTTTACGAATTCAGTGTTTTTGTTTTTTTTTTTTGTATACCCCTCATTCAAAAATAAATTCCTGTCAGATTGAAAACTTCTTGTCGTCATACAGAATTATCTGCCCGATCCATGATTGTTGACTCCCAGTGCATCATGACCTTTACCGGTCGGGAAATATTGGGATCTTTTTGCCTTGGAATGCTGGTTTCCCCGCGGGTGGAAACGTCGCGATCCACCGCCGTTTGCGAACGCGGGGCAAAGATCCCAGATTGTGTATGTACAAATTCATAATAACAGAACGCTCTCGGATCTTGGCCTTTTGGAACAGATTCGAAAAATAGACCCAGTAAGAACCTGGGCACAATGATCATTTTACATAACATTTTTTTATCTTCAACTCTTTTGGGTCCACATGTGCAGGAAATGAGGTAGCCTAACAAGTCACCAGTTGGCGACCTGGTCAAATTTAGGCTCACTTGCCGTCGGAACCACACGATATCGTTAAGAAAAAGTCGGGCACTTTCGGACTCCCCAAGGTACTTGCCCGGTTGCTCTGGATTCATATACGTCCAACTCCCCCACAGTTTAGGTTTCGGATTCTGTAAGGACTTGTGAATTCTACTCGCCCACAAAAGTCGGTCAAGATCTTTTCATCATGAATTGCCCCTCGCGTAACGACGACACGCTGCAACATCCAGGCTGGAGCCAAAATCCGCCACCCTTCAGTCCAGACATCACTACCCGCAATGACTTCAATGGCATCGTCAATTCTCGTGTGCGCCGCAAGAATACGACAGGTACGGGCACAGGAACTGCAATAGATGACGATACTATATCCATCGATACTCGATCACTCAGTCGGCAAGATTCTGATCCCGGGACTGAGAAAACCCCCGGCGAGGTGGCCGCTACCTCGGGGTGCAAGACACCCACGAGAGCTAGCGGACCACCTCGCCGTCCTTTCAAAGATTTTATTTCTTCCAATGCCTTGCATTGTGCCCGCAGTGTGGCCAAGTTTGGCCGTTTTATCGGGCCAGGCTTCCTCATTGCTGTCGCCTATATCGATCCGGGCAATTACTCTACTGATGTTGCCGCCGGTGCATCTTACAAGTATGCCTTGCTTTTCATTGTGCTTCTTTCCAACCTTTTTGCCATTCTGTTGCAGTCACTCTGTATTAAGCTTGGCTCTGTCACTGGTCTTAATCTTGCGGAGAATTGTCGCGCACATCTCCCCAGGTGGTTGGTCTACTTTCTTTACTTTCTTGCCGAAGCAGCTATTATTGCCACCGATATTGCAGAGGTATGTTTACATATGCGTCTAGATCGAAAGCCAAAACTCTACTAACGACTGAAATAGGTGGTTGGATCAGCAATTGCGTTGAATCTACTCTTAAAAATCCCACTTGTAGCCGGCTGCGCCATTACTCTGGTGGATGTTTTCTTCCTTCTTCTTTTCTGGCGCCCCAATGGATCCATGATGGGACTACGCTTGTTTGAATTCTTCGTCATGGGGCTGGTGCTAGCTGTCGTCGTTTGCTTCTGCATCCAGCTCTCTCTCATCAAGGGCCAATCTGTTGGGGAGGTCTTTCGAGGCTATCTTCCATCATCTGCTATTGTTCAATCAGAAGGGTATGCCTCGATCATTTATTTAAGCATCAGAGAACCACCCACTGACATTATATTTCTAGCCTGTACCAGAGCTGTGGTATTCTCGGTGCCACTGTTATGCCGCACTCCCTCTTTCTGGGAAGTGGAGTAGTACAGTCTCGTCTCAAAGACTTCGACGTCAGTGCTGGATATGTGGAGACTACAGTGCCAGTGGGAAGTACAGGTGGTGAAGTAGAGTATCGACCAACCATTCACGCGATTCGCAGCTGCATGAAGTACTCGATCATTGAGTTATCGCTGGCTCTGTTCACCTTCGCTCTCTTTGTGAACAGCGCCATTCTTATCGTAGCCGGCGCATCTCTGTCTGATGTACCAGACAGTTCCTCCGCCAATCTTTTCGGCATCCACAAACTTTTGTCTTCGTCCATCTCCCCGGCCGCTGGTCTTGTCTTTGCTTTGGCGCTACTGCTGTCTGGTATCTCTGCTGGAATTGTGTGCACCATGGCTGGCCAGATGGTGAGTGAGGGAATGCTCAACTGGAGTATTCAGCCATGGCTCCGCAGAGTAATCACTCGCTCCATTAGTATCATCCCCAGTATCATTGTTGCAGCCGCGGTTGGTAAGGAGGGGCTTGACAAAACGCTAAATGCCAGCCAAGTTGTCCTTAGCGTGATCTTACCATTTGTATCCGCGCCACTCATCTGGTTCACATGTTTCAATCGCTACATGAGTGTTCCCATTGAGCAATCTGGCGACGGTGATAGCGAGGAAGTTCAGGTTGTTCCAATGCGCAACAGTTTGATCACTTCCATCATTGCCGTGTTGGTGTGGCTGCTGATTGTGATCATGAACGTGGCCCTAATTGTTTTGACCGCCATGGGAAAAGCTTGATCGACACTTTTGGCATGACTTGCATGTTTTCGCCGTCAACTGGTTATTTATTGAACCTCATTCACTCTGATTCGAGTGGGGAAAAGCATGCACAATTGATCTACATATTGCATCGCAAGCATTTTGACATTATGGTCCAATCCGGGCATACTTTTGCTGTGCCAAATTTTATTACTGTATTGAAGAAACAATCAATTGATATCTGATAAACAAACGCTACAAATGATCATACTGGTAGTTATCGCATAACGTCAGTCAGAGCCCCGAAGCCAACAAGCCAACCGTAGCTACCTATCATGTATAATCAGCTCCACGCCCAGGACCCCAAACTCATTGACCAGATGGCCATAAAGTACGACTTGAGTGTAAAGGCACGACAAAAGATTATCCAAGACCGCCAGCAGCCTCTTTAAGCTTCGCTTGCTCCACAGGCTCATCAATAAACTGCGGCGGCGCAACCTCATCCTGTAAGAAACTGGGCATCGCATCCTCTCCCATCCCAGTCTCAAACATCGATTCCTCCCCAAGCGCCTCCAGCTCAGCATCCAAATCCGCCTCATCGATCTCTTCTGGCAAATCATAGGCCCGAGAAATACTATCTTGAATCTCATTGCCCACCTCCATCAAATCCGCCATCTCATCCTGCATACGCTCGATCTGGTCGATATCCACCTTGCCATATTGCTTCTTTAATTCCTTGGTTGTTGTCTTCATGGCATCCACGGTGGTCATGACGTTCTTGAGGTTATCTTGCATCATGCCTGCTTGCTCCATGTTCCATGATTGCTGGGAGAGTTGGTCACGTTGGCCCTCGTATTGCTTGCGGCGCTGTAGGACTTTCAGGGCTTTTTGACGGAGCGCGTTTTTACCGGGGCCGTCTCGCATTTTGGAAAGTTTGGCTTGGTATGTGGAGAGTTCGGAGTTAAGGGCGGAGAGCTTCACATCGATACTGGCGACACGGTCGTCAACCTGGTTGTAGGCGGGGTTAGTTGGCCAATAGACCTGGTAAGACGTTGGGACTGGTATATACCTTGCTGATTGCCCCATCGAGGGTAGGCTTAGGAGCCGCGCTCTTGGTTCCGAAGAGGCGATTCATTATGCCAGACTGAGAGATTAAGATGAAGCTTAAGAGAGGGGCAAGAGAGGGGTTCGTGTTGGTTGAATGTTTGGACGATTGAAGAGGCTTTTTGACCTTTCTAGCCCCCTGATCGAGAGAATAGAGAGGTTGGGCCTTTAAGCAAGATAAACGGAACTTGTTTGGTTGAGGCCTACCGAATCAACAGGTAACACTCCAAAAGCGATCGACTACACCGCACAGGCTCCGATAATGATAATGCGGAGGCCGACGTCAGATCATTGCCTTATTGCCTTAACACCTCAGGCATGAAAGACACGTGATTCTCAGCCTTATAAAAGTTAGATGAATTAGTTTGCAGATGAAACGAGCTATATTTACTGATGATATAGATTCTGATCACGTATCTGGTATACATGGTACAGGCACCTGGTCTCTACACATGTGACTTATCAGATGAAAGCCATCAGGTGTACAACTTGGGCTGGAGTCGATTGGGCACTTGGGCGGGACGTACCCAGTACCTCGCGCCCCACGCCAGATCTAGCGAGGACGGGAGGTACGTGGTACCCACGCCTGGGCCATGTCTCATGTTCCAGATGACTCGAGATTGATAAAACCCATAAATCTTAAAAAAGGCCAACACATCAACTTTGATCATTCAGGTGAAGTAATGGTATTCTATACGTGAATGGAATTTCTAGAAATTCTCCGGGTTTGGATTAAGCGCACGAGGTGACGCCTCCGACTCTGCAGGGCCCGGATGTGGATTTAGATTTCTAACACAATCCGATGCCGAGGGGGGGATTCAACAAAATTCCATTCCTTGAGATTGGAATTCATGCATCTTTATTCTTTGTAGTTCTTCACAAAGTCCAGTGAACGGTATTGGAAATTGAATCTATAAATTAAAAAATTCCGTAAATTTTTCAAAATGTCCTCAGGGTCTTTCTGTAGATATAAATGACTTGGAAGTGAAGGAGCTGCTTATCTGCCGCTGGTCGGGGCTACGATCCCCGCGCAGATGATTACATGTGTGTGGTGTTAAGTCCGCCCCTGCACTCGTGCGAATCCCTCTAACCAGCTTCATCTCTCACCCTTGTGTCCTTTCCTCTCCGTTGCTTCCTGCTGGATGGACTGCGCCAAGAGAAAACACTCTACATTTCCAACTTGTGAAGTCTCTCTCCCCTCATCCTTATTTCTTCCCTTCTCCATTTCTTCTTCCCCTTCCCGCCCTCCCAAAAACTCACACCGGAGGGCAACTGATTTCCTCTTTTCGTCTTTCTCATTACCAAGGTGGGTGTTTCTCAAAATTGCCCCTTCTCACTTCCTGGGCATTCTCTGCTGCTTTTCTGCATCTCTCAACCCGATTCCACTGCATTTCATGGAATTCTGTCCCCGTGAGATCTAGCCGCAGCTCGGGTACACACCATCGGCTTCGTCATTGATGCAACCAATCCGAACACCGCGCTAACCCCTTAGATCAACAGCGCAAGCTCCGCCCACGCCTATACTCTCTCGCACTCCCCCCCTCGCTCTACATAAGAGCCAAGTGTCAACCTCCCCCGCTTGCCGCGACAACCCTGTCTGTGTGTGTGTGAACAACATCGGTGGTTCACCTTGCAGAAAAATCCATTCCCTTCCGAATCCTCCAGACAACACCCCGTGTACCATAGACCGCTCCGTTACGATATCTCGGAGACTTTACGACTTGAAACGTCCCATGAATCGTTCTTTCCGGCTATACCATACTCCATCATGTTCTGGCGTTTTGGGGGATATGCGAGTATCTCTAGCATCGATACCCTTCTCGACAAACCCGAGGTCACGGTAGAGGACCTCCTGGATGAGCCAGAGATCATTCAAGAATTGAAACAGCATAATACAAAACTCATAGAATATCTACGCGAGGACCATGTCTTGAAACGGCTTATGGACTACGTGACCGCACCGAGCCTGGTGAACGATGACGACGACGACGATGAAGACGAAGACGATGCCAATGAGAAAGATACTGCCAAAGATGCAGGCTCAGGAGAGCAAACCGACAAAACCGACGTGAATGAGAACGAAAAGGAATTGGATCCCTTGAAGGGCGTGCTGAATGCAGACGACCTGGAGAAGGTCGAAAAGTCGCGCCTGAAGCACGCATACGTGGCCTGTGAGATTCTGTCTTCGGAAACATGGACGATTCTTGAAACCATTATGGAGAACCCGGCCTCCCTGCGCGACTTCTGGGGATTCCTTCGACGCCCCGCGCCTCTCGATTCCTTGCAGGCTAGTTATTTCACCAAAGTGAACGAAACCTTGCTAGACAAGAAAACAGAGGAGATGTTAGATCTACTAAAATCCTTGGATGGAATTGTACCGGCTCTGCTGCAGCATATTGACAATCCCATGGTTATGGACCTCCTGCTCAAGATTATCAGCCTGGAAAAGGCGGAAGGTGGCCAAGGAACCGTTGACTGGCTCCGGTCCCAGAACTTGATTCCGACCCTTCTTTCGTTCCTGTCTCCGGATCAGCCTGCATCAGTCCAGACATCTGCTGGCGATTTCCTAAAAGCGATCATTACAATCTCCGCAAATGCCACTCCCAATGATCAATCATGCATTGGTCCGAACAGCCTCACCCGCCAGCTAGTGTCGGCAGAGTGTGTGCAACAACTCGTGCAAGCTATGCTCAAAGGTGGCAATCCACTGACAGTTGGCGTGGGTATTGTGATTGAGGTCATTCGCAAGAACAATTCAGACTATGATCCCGAACACTTAGGAAGTCCCGAGTCGATGCCAACCCCTTACGACCCAATCTACCTCGGCAATCTTCTTCGTTCGTTTGCCCAACACATTCCGGAATTCATGGCTTTGATTACCAGTTCAAAGCACGCTGTGTACGATGGGAAAACTTTCAAGACCGTCGATCGAGGCCGCTTGAACTCTGCATGGGGAGGACAAATTGAGCCGCTCGGTTTCGATCGATTCAAGACTTGCGAATTGATGGCCGAATTGCTGCATTGTAGCAACATGGGTCTTCTTAACGAGCCTGGTAGCGACGAGTACGTCCAGCATCGGGATGCCGAGCGTGAGAGGTTGATTAAAGAGGGATACTTCAACCCGCTTCGAGATGAGCAATCCGGCATGGAGTACAATGAAACCACGGCAGACTTTACGAATGGATCAGCCCTGGATTCAGGATCTCTTGCAGATATCAAGGGTACACACATGCCTCGCGCGGGTGAAGAAGAAGGATTTGAGGATGTCAGCGCCTCTGGCGTGCTTGTTGGCGAGAGGGAAGTAGACCGGCACATTGAGCAAATTGATATACCCTCAGAGCAAACCACGGTGTCACAAGAGAGCTCGGCTGCCGACTTGCCATCTACCCCATCTGCCGAAAATGTTCCCGAGTCCTCGGAAGCCCTATCACCTGCTACCGGTCTTGCGGGCGAGATCAGTGACATTCATCTCGAAACCGTACAACAAATGTCCCCACAGACTGAGCAGGAGCAAGGCACCGTATCTGCTCAACCAGAAGATGTTCCACCCCCGCTCTTTGCGTCGAAGGAACAGCCCCTAGAGTCGACTTCTGAACCTGCCGACCAAACAGAGGCCTCGTCTTCCATTGTTGAGCCTGTCCAAGAAAGGACCCACAACGATGGTGGTGCTGAAGATCCTGCCGAGCAGTACATTCAGTATGACACAGACGGGCGTCCGGTGGTTGGAGATTACTTGAAAATCAAGTTTGTTGAGAACAAGGTCGTCCCAACGATCTTAGTAAGTCATCCGTGTCAATATTTCATGAAACTTATTCTGACTGGGTTTTTAGGGCTTCTTCTTCCGTTTCCCTTGGAACAACTTCCTCCACAATGTTGTGTACGATGTGATCCAGCAGGTATTCAACGGACCTATGGAGCGTGGCTACAACCGTGCTCTCGCAGTCAACGTTTTCGAAACCGGCCAGATCACATCTGCAATCATCGAGGGCCAGAAGCGCAGCGACGAGGCCCAGAAGACCAAGCAGATCCGTCTCGGCTACATGGGTCATCTGACCCTTGTCGCTGAGGAGGTTGTCAAGTTCAGCGAACGTCACCCGCCGGAGCTGCTTTCGCGCTCTGTCATGGACTCAGTATTAAATCCTGATTGGATTGACTACGTTGAGCAGACGCTTTCCGAAACTCGAGAGCGAGACAATGCCATCCTCGGAGGAGTTCGCCCAGACATGTCAGTTGGGTCTCGCCAAGCGGCTATCAGCTCCAACCAGGGATTCAGCAGCTCGAATGCGCTTGCTGAAGCAGGCCTAAATGGTGGAATTGGTGGTTCCACCTTCCAGGGATTTGACTTGAACCAGGGCAGTGTTTCCGGTGGAGCGTTTGGCGCTGGCGGTCATTCTCTCTTGAGTGGGTTTGCCAGCTCAAGTGACGATGACGAGGAAGAAGATTTGGAGGATCATGATGACAGAGATGCTGCCAATATTGACCACGGCGATTCCGAGAATGTGAGTAACCTACTTTCGACCAGACTATGAAAAGAAATTTCAGGGTTTGTTTATTTTGTTCTCGTTCTGAGCTAACATGGGGGTTTTTCCAGGTACAAACTACTTCCACAAGTCAACCAATCCCAATTCTCCCCCTCCTCCAGCTCCACTGAGCACGGGTCCCTCCCGAGCTCGGCGGCAACTGGCAGCACGCCTAGCAGCCCAAAAGCAACAGGCGGCTGAAAATGAAGATGTAGATGCAGCGAGCGACCGAGTTCATGAGGCTGACAGCCGAGACTCTCAGTGGACGAGCAACCCATTCGTGATCGCTGGCATTGACGACGACGCCGAGGGAGGCAACACCGCTTTCCCTAACACTGACTTTGGATCAAATGATGACCGGACCTTTGCGTCGGGGTTCCATGAAGGTGGATTCAGTCCACCAGACTCACTGTCAAACTCCTCTGATGAAGATGGAGACGGTCACGCAGAGATGCGGCGACGTGTCCGCGTTCCTCTGGAAGTGGATGAAGATGATGATGACATGGGCGAAATGGTCGGACCCAGCGCCACCGGTATGCTTGATTCAGACGACGAAGAGGATGCTATCATCAACGAATCCCTGGGTTACTCGAACCTTCCGCATCCCAATCGATACACTGGATTTCGCCGGCCGCGGGCTGTAAGCTCCCACTATGACGACGAACAAAATGACAGCAGCGATGGTGAGGATGACGGGCTGGTAGAGATTCTCGTCCCAGGCCGCAAATCCTCAACTTCAAATTAATGTCGGAATGACCTGCCTGTCTTAATGTTACCCCCATCTGCTTTCACGTCTGCATTTTCGCGCTTTGTTATCTCGCTGTGTGCATACACAATGATCTTCTTCAATTATTAGGGAGAGCTGCATGGATACTAAGGTATCCATCTATTTTTTCAAATATTTTCTTCTTATCTCTTCACACTTCAATTGGCTGGTTTGGGATGTTTACGTGCTGTTTTTATGGCACGGCCTTTGTACATATTTTCCATATCTGGTTAATCTCTGGGAGGACTACATCTGATGACCGTCGAGTTCGTCTACACGGATTTATTTATGTGTTCGGTTTTTTTTTTTCTTTCTCGATGCCAAGTTGTTGTGTGCATCATGGGGTGATGTTTCATGGGTTTATGGCTCTGATGCTCTAGGTGGGGTGATGTCCTGTACGATATGTTTGAATTAGAAAGGTGAATTCATGCTTTTAGTTCATAAATATCTTCTGTAAAACAAACCGAGCTCCGAGCTCCATGGCTCATGATGATTAGTAGCTACCTGATTCGGAGACTTGTATTGACAAATTGGACGTTGTAATTTTGATATTGAATTCTTCATGTACTACTTACTACTTCATACTTCTCTCAAGTTGGTGCTTCTCTGCGGGCAGAAAAAGTGGGTCTGGATCACCCACATCGGTGACATCCCGCCGAATCTTTCACCATTTGATGATACCACTTTTCTATCACTTGTGCTTGCCAGTTTACTGAGAACGGAATTTTCGAAATTCAATTGGTGACAAGGACATCTTTTTGAACCGAAAAAAGCCTCAATAAGCAGTCTCGCACTCTTTAGAGCAATGGCCCCACCATCCGAGTGAGTATCAAGAAGTCGTCCTATCACATGTCATTCGATACCTTGAAGTTCAACAAATATTAAAAAAATATTGCAACAGAGACACAGCAACCCATTCCCTGGCAGACCACAAATCCCTGCTGGAATGGGTTTGCAGCAACGGTGGACACCTAGATGACAGCGTATGCATAGCCCAAGACGCCCAGCGCGGCGTCCATGTCCAAGTGAAAGCGGATTGGCCCACAGCGGTCCCAAAGGACACACGGGTAATCAATGCGCCTCTAGGCGTGACAATGTCCTACTTTAACGCGGTAGATTATAGCTCCGCCAAGTGGTCGTTCTCTTCGCATGGTGTGAAATTACCGCAGGCATTCATTGATGCCGTGGGACTGGCGGAGACCATGACTTTCTTCCTGATGGCCAATTTTCTGCGTGGAGAGCAGAGCTTTTGGTGGCCATATCTGCGGACTTTGCCACAGCCCGGCCAATTGACCACTCCGATGTTATTTGGGGAGGAGGATGTAGATTGGCTGCAGGGGACTGGAATCCCGGATGCTACGGTGCAGAGGTATCAGGACTGGGACAAGCAGTATGATTTCTCTGTCGACCAGTTGGAACAGGCTGGGTATGAGGGGGCTGAGGCATTTACTTGGTAAGTTTTTGTTTTGAACTGTACTTGTATCATGTGAAGTTCTATCTACTATCGAATGCCCATGTCTTGTACTTTGCTGACTTTCTAGGGACTTGTATCTCTGGGCCTGGACGATCTTAACCTCTCGCGCCTTCTCGGCAAAGGTTTTGTCGAGTGCCGTGGATGATCTCCCGGAGGAGGGAATCTCGGTGTTGTTGCCGCTCATTGATCTCCCCAATCATCGGCCCTTGGCGAAGGTTGAGTGGAGGGCGGGCGAAGAGGATGTTGGCATGATCATCTTAGAGGATACTTCTCCAGGCGAAGAGATCGCAAATAATTACGGTCCTCGGAACAATGAACAATGTGCGTACTCAACGCTTCTTGAAATGACATCGCAGTGACAGCTAACGAAGACAGTGCTCATGAACTATGGATTCTGCATTACCAACAATCCAACTGACTATCGTATTGTGAAATTGGGCGTGGCAGCAGACAGCCCCCTCGGTCAAGCAAAAGCCCGCCAGATCGAGATGTTCCCCGAAGTGGCCCAGAACACTGATGACCATTATTACATCTTTAATGTGTCCTATCCGCTTCTTGCCCCCCAAGGTCCAATGGAGCATGCGATTATCTCGCCGGCTCTATTCAACGCTCTTAAAATCATGGAAGCCAACGACCGAGAGCGTAAGGGTATTCAGATCGAACAATCAAACATCTCAATCCCAAAGGCGTACGGCAACAGCCGCAGCTCTTTGGCAGCACTTTCCCAGACCTGCCTCGAGCTTATTGCGCACATTCTCCAGTTGCAAGCTAGCGCTCAAGACTTGCCGTCAGAACCGGCGAATCTTAAGCAAATATTTGCAAAAGTCTACCGCGACGGCCAAATCACGCTAGACAAGACTGCACTGATAATTGCATCCTACACTATTGCTCGAGCCCGGGAACACGAGCGTGATGAAAGCTGGGAGGGTATCAAGAGCCTGCTGAACGAGCACATGTCGAAAATACCAGCTGGGTCTTTGTCTCATGAGATTCTATCTCGGACAAAGGTCCGCATTCTCGAGCGACAATCTCTAATCACTAAGAATGGTGAACTATTCCGACTTGCGGAGCTTTTCCGTCTCTTGCCAAAAGATCTGCAGGCAACAAGTCAAAAGTACTTCATAGGCCGTGTTGCCAATGGGCCTTGGGCCACGGACCCTCAAGTAATGTTTGCGCTTGCAATCAATTTCCTAGTTGCGACAGCCACTTCTGACAACCAAGAGGTGAAGTCGTCACTTTCTCCGCGATTGGTTCGATGGGTAGAATTTTTGATCAACGAATACCCATTAACCGTCGGAAGTACTGATGAGTCGAATTCGGCTGCTCAGCAACTGCTTCAAGCTCTCTCAAAGGACAGAGATGCTTTCCTTCAATTGGCTGAGCAAGATGGAGTTACTTGGTTAACATCGGCTAGCAAATGGTTGGCTCCGGAATGGCTACAGTGGGCGTGCACGGTTGGTGATGCTGAGCGGGTTTTAATTCCCGTTGAGCCACTGCAAGTCCTCGCGACGGATGAGCCTACAATGGCGAAGCAGGCAGTACTATATGTACCACAGCTATAGTTAGGAAGTATTAGTCAGTAAAAGGGAGAAGTCAGAATCGTGAAAGATGATTTAGATCTATGAAACGTCGTCACCTATCCCAAATAGGAAATAACTGACTAATCAACGATCACATGACCACAACCCAATCACAACGCACGTAAAGGCGGATCGTTCAGCAGAGCGCAGGAATTGCTAATTACCGCGAGCTCCCCCTTCCCTCTCTTTCCGACCGCTTGACCCTCCACACCACACAGCAGTCAATCCGCCATCATGATATCCAGAGCGGCGGCTCCCACCACCTCCTCCCTCTCCCACCTCTCATCCCGCTCCCTCCGCGCCCAGGGAGCGGCCGCCCGCTCCTTCGCGTCCGTGCAAGAGGCTCCTCCCGTGAAGCACTATGGCGGACTAAAGGACCAGGACCGCATCTTCACCAACCTTTACGGACACCATGGCGCAGACCTGAAGTCGGCAATGAAGTATGGTGATTGGCACCGCACAAAGGAAATGGTTCTGAAGGGCCATGACTGGGTGGGTAGACTCGTTTCAGTTGGGAATATCGTCCGGATTGGGCGGGTAGGACGAAGAACGGCTTGCTGATGCTTTTCTATTGCAGCTCATCTCCGAGATCAAGGCTTCCGGCCTCCGTGGCCGTGGTGGTGCTGGTTTCCCCTCGGGATTGAAATACGTAAGTTCAAGATTGAAGGGGTCCATTGGGGCAACTCAATTGCATGGGGAATGAGTCTTTATCTAACCGTCGTGGCCTCTCAATTTAGTCATTCATGAACTTCAAGGACTGGGACAAGGACCCCCGACCGCGTTACTTGGTCATCAACGCCGATGAGGGTGAGCCGGGTACCTGCAAGGATCGTGAGATTATGCGCAAGGACCCCCAGAAGTTGATTGAGGGTTGCTTGGTGGTGGGTCGTGCCATGAACGCCAATGCCGCCTACATCTACATCCGTGGTGAGTTCTACCACGAGGCGACCGTCCTTCAGCGTGCCATCAACGAGGCCTACGAGAACGGCCTGATCGGCAAGAACGCCTGCGGTACCGGTTACGATTTCGATGTCTACATTCACCGTGGAATGGGCGCCTACGTTTGTGGTGAGGAGACTTCACTCATCGAGTCCATTGAGGGCAAGGCTGGAAAGCCCCGTCTTAAGCCCCCATTCCCCGCTGCTGTCGGTCTTTTCGGCTGCCCTAGCACTGTCACCAACGTCGAGACTGTCGCCGTCGTCCCCACCATCATGCGCCGTGGTGCTGGTTGGTTCTCGTCTTTCGGTCGTGAGCGTAACGCTGGTACCAAGCTGTTCTGTATCTCTGGTCACGTCAACAACCCCGTCACCGTCGAGGAGGAGATGTCCATCTCTCTGCGTGACTTGATCGAGAAGCACTGTGGAGGTGTCCGTGGCGGTTGGGACAACTTGCTCGCCGTTATTCCCGGTGGTTCTTCGACTCCCGTCATCCCCAAGTCCATCGCCGACGACCAGCTCATGGACTTCGATGCCCTCAAGGACTCGCAGTCTGGTCTTGGTACGGCCGCCGTCATTGTTATGGACAAGTCCACTGATATCGTCCGCGCCATCTCCCGTCTGTCCACTTTCTACAAGCACGAGTCCTGCGGACAGTGCACCCCCTGCCGTGAGGGCAGCACATGGACTATGAAGATGATGCAGCGTCTGGAGACCGGTAACGCCCGTGAGCGTGAGATCGACATGCTCCAGGAGCTTACCAAGCAGGTTGAGGGCCACACCATCTGTGCTCTGGGTGAGGCTTTCGCCTGGCCTATCCAGGGTCTGATCCGTCACTTCCGTCCTGAGTTGGAGGCTCGCATCCGTTCCTACGAGAAGGAGCTCGGCGCTGCGCCCTTCGCTGGTGGCTGGAAGCCTGAGAGCCGTGCCGAGGGCAAGTTGATCTCCCCCGGCATGTAAATGCAGAAAAAAAAGCTCTCTCTCAACCTCTTGTCTCCACCCTCTCTCTACAACTCTCCCTCTGTTCTCCCTCCACCTTTGTCTCCCAAAAACGATGCAGGAACCGATCAGTTTTCTTCTCTACACCAACTAGATCTCTCCTAGATCTCCCTTTCCTAGGCTGGTAATATGTACGTCCTGCCAGCGAGGGAGGTTGTCTCCATATTTTCCCGATTTCCTTATACCTGTTCGATCCCCTTCCTGTCGCGTCTAGGTTATTTCCTTTCATGTACAGTCGGTAGCAATTGATGCATTTTATGTCTTCTATTAATTGTCATAGCTTTCCAATGTCGTAGAGTGCAAGTAAAATAATATTTTCTCAGACGTGATCTTAATAACTGAAATCAAGTTCTAGAATTGCATCATGCATCATCCTACTCCATACTACATCCCATATACCGGGGTAGACCAGCTCGGCGCACATGCTTAAAGTGGGCCCGTCCGCTTGGGTTCACATGCGATCATCCCTCTCCACGTGACTTTATGACACAAGCACAGATCGGAACAATAATGATCCGATGGACCTCGGCACTTTTGCTGCGTGAGCAGCATCGGCGAGCTTGCAACAAGGGCAGTACCACCGAATGTCACGGTCTACTGTATAAAAGAGGCCCCATCCGTCATCTTAGAAACCTGATCCTCTTTTCTCCCGCATTTTTAGCCCTCCCCAGGTTCTTCTCATCACCCCAGAACCCCATATTTCAGCTTTCTTCTTACGTCATGTCATCTGGTATGTATTGTCCAACTACCCGAAGTCAGCAACCTGACTTGGAGGAAATGACACTTGACAGAGAAAAAAAAACATGCATGCTAACGGAAGCTTCACAGCCCAACAGCGTCTGTCTCAGGTTTCCTCCCACTTCGGTGGCCGCAAGGGAGCCGCTGCTTTGACCGAAAAGCACCCCGATGATATTGTTGTCACATGTGCCCTCCGCTCCGCCTTGACCAAGGGCGGCAAGGGTGGCTTCAAGGATACCGCTGCTGCTGATCTCTTGGCCGGTGTATTTAAGGCTGTCATTGCCAAGAGTGGCATCGACCCTAGTGCCGTGCAGGACATTGCCGTGGGCTCCGTCCTTCCTCCCGGCGGTGGTGCTACCGAGTTCCGCGCTGCTGCTCTCGTGGCTGGTTTCCCCGAGACCGCTGCCGTCAAGGCCTTGAACCGCCAGTGCTCCAGTGGTCTGCAGGCTGTTATTGATATCGCAAATGCTTTGCAGTCAGGCATGATCGATGTTGGTATTGGTGCCGGTGTCGAGAGCATGTCCTCGCAGTATGGGTAAGTACCATGATCGTCCTAGTCTCATCACTCCAACCTCGATTTTCTGACGTTTATCTCCCTTCTTAGTCCGGGTGCTGTCACCGAATTCTCTGAGCTCCTCGAGAGCCACCCCGAGTCCGCCAACTGCAAGGTCCCCATGGGTGTCCTGTCCGAGGACATGGCCAAGGACCGCAACATCAGCCGTGCGTCCCAAGATGCTTTCGCTGCTTCCTCATACCAGAAGGCCGAGAAGGCTCAGGCCGCTGGCTTGTTCAAGGAGGAGATCGCTCCTCTTGAGGTCAAGTGGACTGACCCTAAGACTGGTGAGGAGAAGACCATCACCGTCAAGGAGGATGACGGCATTCGCAAGGGTATGACCGCCGAGTCATTGGCCAAGATCCGCCCTGCCTTCGCCAAGGATGGCTCCATCCACGCTGGTAATGCCTCTCAGATCTCCGACGGTGCCGCGGCCGTTCTGCTGATGAAGCGTTCCACCGCTGAGCGCCTCGGCCAGAAGATCATTGGCAAGTACGTCTCCGCCAGCATTGTTGGTGTCAAGCCCCTGCTCATGGGAATTGGTCCCTGGAAGGCCATCCCCGTTGCTCTGGAGAAGGCTGGAATTACCAAGGATGATGTGGATATCTTTGAGATCAATGAGGCCTTTGCTTCTCAATGTGTCTGGTGTGCGAACGAGCTCGGTCTGCCCATGGAGAAGATCAACCCCAAGGGCGGTGCCATTGCTTTTGGCCACCCTCTCGGCTGCACCGGTGCTCGTCAAGTGAGCACATTGCTCACTGAGCTCAAGCGCACAAACAAGAAGGTCGGTGTCACTAGTATGTGTGTTGGCACTGGTATGGGAATGGCGGCTGTCTGGGTTGCCGAATAAACGAAAAACCGTATCATCATAACACCTTGCACAGCGGTCGGACTTTTTTCTTTTTCGTCCATATCTTCTTCCGATGTATTAAATAGCTAGATACCACGACAGAATGACATTTTTTCTTATTTCACCTTGCAATGACTCCAGGGCTGCTACTCCAGATCTTCCAACATTGAAGGTTAACGTTTCACACAATGCTATACATATCGCTAGATTCAGCTGAACTTTGTTAGAACATACAAGTTGACTTATTGTGCATACTATCTTCATCCCTGATGTCCTTTATGCTCGGAACTTCTTGAAAGCATCTGTCACACTCATTCCCTGTGCCACGGCCCCCTTTGCCTGATCATCCATACTAATCAATTTAGGCATGACCTCAAGGACGGCGCTTAGTAAATCGCGTGGAATGGCCACCACACCCTCCATCGGGTCGCAGAAGATGATATCGCCCTGTATAATGAAGTCAGTATAGAACATCTAACTGAGTCATAGTAGCAGTATTTGTGCCTTACCGGTGACACAGAAACTCCCCCAATTGTGATGGGCACATTGCGCACTGCAGCTTTAGCTTCAGCCCCCGTACCAACAGTCGAAGTGGCACGCGCCCAGATCTGGAGAGCGGTTTATTAGCCATGACTCTTGAGTTCCTAAAGTAGAGCGAATAGAGAGGATCGTATAAACCAAGGAATAGTTACTAGGTAACTCACCGGAAGCCCTGTTTCTTGAAGCTCCCTCAAATCTCGCACTCGCCCACCCACAACGGCAGCTTTAATACCCAAAAACTTCATTCTCGTCGCCATGATACCGCCCGTCACGGCACAGTACTGTTCATCCGGCTGCTCGATCACAATAATGGACCCCGCATTACTTGGGTCCCTATTCTGAAACTCACCTACATAGTCTACCCAGTGCTTTCCCGGCGGGAATCCATGCTTCTCGGGATTCTCAACGGCAATCGCTGGTGGGCTGTCGCCTTTATTGATGAACTTGAAGGTAGTTGCTGGAGCGGCAATTTTCTGCGCAGTGTCGTTTCTTCCGGCTATCGGGGAGAAGGGATCTATCGGTTGTTGTTTGCAATGAGCTAAGAGTCCCTATATTGAAGGACAAGGCTGGCTCCATATTTTCGAGGAATCCATAGGATCTCAACTTACTGAGATCGGCTAGATATCCTGCTCGTGGTGCGTTCCCTTCTGGTACTTTCTGCAGCTTGAGAAGGGCATCTGACACCTGCGAACCGTCCAGTGTTAGAACATGCTAGTTCGAGGCAATACAACGTAGAGCATTTACCACTCTTGAGAAGAAGGACGTACATCACAGGCTGTGTAATTTCCGATCAATGTCGTGAGCTGTTCATTCAGAGAAGCCATTGCGATTGCGGGGTGCGGGGGGAAGCCGAGGGAAGTTATTAAACGAGAATCGAACGATGTATACTAGTAGCTGTCTAGGTGTACACCGGAGGTTTTGTTTTTAAGTAGAAAATTGAAGAAAAGTTTTCTTAGACGTTCAAGTTGAAGACGGACAATTCATGCCTTTGCCGATCAACTTGGGGCACATGCATCTTCCGGATATCGGACTACGACATCATCGGCCCACCCGAGGATATCCTCTGTTGCTTCAAGTCCGAGATTTTCCGGTGTTGCGATGGGCTGTAAGTGACATAAACGTTTTGAAGTGCGATTATTCGCATCAAATGTGCGAATTATCTATTATCTTGGATTCTGAAGCTACTCGTCTAAATGGGTTTTGACGGAGGCACCTAGGCACTATGTACTAGTATGCATTAGCCTTGGAAGTATGGAAGTTTCGACTTTATTTCACGACATTTTTGCAAATTACCACGATTTTATTGAGATAAACTCAACAATGAATCAGAAAAGACAATGAGTGACGAAAATAGGAATCCGTCAACGATAATAAGAATTTAGCAACAATGACTTAGCGAATCCGTTCTAGCGAGAAACAATGATGGCTTACCGACGACAACAACAACCATGGAATGACATGTATTGATAGAAGGCTAATACATTTCAGGTGTATTTCAATTTTCAAATGTTTGCTTTTGACCTTGGAAGCTCTGGTTAGAAAGGCCCACATAGGTTCAAAGTTAGTAACTCTCGCTTTCACAGTCCTGAATCTGGATAGGTCAACTGTTAGTAGCCCGGTTCTACGGATGTTTCCATTCAAACAAATGTTCATGTAAATTTTGGCATCTGGCCTGGGGCATCGCATGCACATGTGTGCTAAACTACCTAGTAGGTAATCTTAGTTGACGGCATCTGTCATTTGAATATCTATAGGTATACATACGCTGTCTCGGATTCTGATATTTGAAGGTTTCAATGTTGGAGGTTGTAAATTGATTTTTATACTACCTAGTAGCTACATCATGTGCATGCATGTGTGGTAATGTCTATATACATATGTATTTAAATACAAGCAACAAATAAATCTCGGCAGGCTTCGATTCAACATTTGTTGAATATTGGCTGAACGATATTTTCAATTTTTGGACGAGGTGAGGCCCCCGATATAAAAGTACATCCATGGACCTCGGGATGATGCATGTGTACAAACTTTGGTACATTTGAAGCCTTGTGAAGCAGATGATGTGTACATAAGAAGCCGGCTTCGGGGGTACGATAAAAAATGTTAGTAGTAATTTGAAATGTGCGAGTATGTAGTAGTAACAAGGTAGTACGCAACTGCCTACGTACTCGTAGTCAATAAGAATACCATCAATGAATAACCCGTACATTTGCTTCTAGCTATCCGAGTTCCGAATCCTGATTTGAAGCAATCAAAGTACAAGTCTTGGCTCCGCTTCAATCTGTAATCATTTGTTCGTGAATCGTGCGACGGAAGTGCTTCGACATCCATCCATAGAGCCACTAGCGCTAACTGAGATTGCTCTGAGCAGCGAGGATCGGATATTTGGACATCAGTTGAAAGGATGCTTGCCAGTCAGGCGCATTTTCCTCAAGGGGCAAGAGCAATCTGATTTTCTCGGAGATTTCTCGCAGCTATCTTCGGTACAAACGAATCAGAGGCAGAGTTGATATCCTGTGACCTTCCCTATGGACGGGCCATGTTTGCCACGCCACTCCGTAGTCAGGTCATGTGTTTTACTATTATTTTTCTTTGTCTTTTAGCTTTGCAATTGTCGGTTTCAAAGATGATATTGATAGTCCTGCGGGTATTCAATAGCGTTGTTGATAGCTTTGACCTCAAAGTGCATATCATGGACCGGTATAGCATTACATCGGCTATTCAGCGCCAGTCCGTAGGCCATCCGTCTCTTACTCGGTTGTGTTGTAGCGCCTGGTGAAAGTTTCGGAGCCGAGTAATAGCGGATAATGATTCAGGTATTTTGGGACGTTCGAAAACCTAGCAAGGTTAGCGCGATTATTCTCTCGAGAGGGGAAACCTTCGAATATTAGAAATTCGAAAAGGCCAGGGGGCCGAAACTGATCCTCGGTCGGACATCTAGGACTATATGTTAAATTTGGCTTTCATTATGCCTAGAAAATTCGAAAGGTATCTGGAGTGGTTGGCTTTGGTCATAGAAAGACATCCATGGATGACTTCGCAAAGCATTAGAAGCTTAGCTCTTTCCAGTTGACGGCAAAGAAACGGCCATTTGTTCGAAGATGAAATCGATTTGATCTCATCATTGAGTCAAGGATGTTCCAGTCAAAAGCGCCTAAGAGATCAGTGTTGGTGATGAGAATTCAAGAGTGCATACTTTGAATATTTAGCTTACCCGTGAGAGTTCTGTTGGAAAAACCCGAATTCACATAGTTTTTCGCCCGAAAACCAACAGCGGGAAATTGATCACATATGGGGATCAACAAGATTGGGGGTTTGGGCTATCACACCAACGGTTGCCAGGGGGTCATGAGTGTTGGTGGGGCTGGAACATGGGTATAGTATCTGCAGTTAAAGACCAGGGTTTCTGCTGGTCTGGAATTCTTACCCCTCACTTACTCCTCGATATTTCCATATCCTTTGATGTTGTATGTTTGACGTGACATGCATAAAGCCTCGTCGTGGCGTTTTGGTTAAAATCAGCGACAGAATGCAGGCCAATCACTTATGCTCCGTTGTCTCCTATCCCTGTCCCTTAGCGCCTGCCCATCGATGATTTTCGTTCAACTCATTGAAAGTCTCAAAATGATGCAATATTCTATTTCAGCCAAGGGGTTTTGCCTCTGAAGAACCCTGCACAAAGCATCGGGCATATTGATCCCTATGGTCCACGACTGCCAATCAATCATCAAGAGTCACCGTGCACGCGCTAAACACAATCGCTTCACTCCAAGACCCATGTCCCGTGTGGACGGACCGAGCCGCATGGGGGTATCAAAGAGAAGAGTTTCGAGATACAAATGTCTCGGTCCAATCCCTCTTTGTCCTCGGAATGAAATGACATGTAGCAACAATGACCGCAGATTGGACAATCCACACTGAAACCGGACGATTTTTTCGTCTGATTTATAATCTCTCAGGTAAAGAACACTTACTCTACCCGATAGGACTGGGCATGAGCATATCATTGATACACCTACAGGAGAGTCATGTTTTGAATGGGATTATCCGGGAGGCTTGGTAACATTGACTGGGTGGGAGAAGATCAATTCATCAGGGTATGCAATCTTCCTCAGTACATGTCGCAGCCTTGACTCATATTGAGGATACCTCTGACCAAGTTCAAACTAGTAATACGGCGAGACAAAGGAGTTCTTCTGGATCTGGATCTGGGTCTGGATCCATATATCCACAGCTAGGAGAATCGTCATATGCGCAGCCGATCGCAATAGGGCACGGCACTATTCATGCAGGACGTTATAATCGACGTTGGAAGCCCACTCCGCATGATTATAGTCAACCTAAATCCGAGAGATGTGATTTTCAGACAAGCTTTAATTACGGCTCTCCAGAGACAACTCATAGCCAGCGCCCCATTCAGCATGCAGAAGGGAGCCTTCACGCAAGCAGTTCTGTTGTGCCTACTACCCGAGGAAGCACTTCCCCAAACTTCAGTTCAAGGATACTCAATAGTCCTACACGGAAGATCTATGGACCTAACAGCCGCAGATACAATCGTGCCAGTCTATCCGATCACAGCGATACCACTGATTCCTCCCACAGCGATGCATCAAGCCCAAGATCCATGTCGGATGACTTACAAGGAATTACCTTGGGAGAGCATATATTATCACAGCAACTTCCTACCCCCGGAGCCAGCCCCCGAAGCTACCGCAGAGATCCTATTCTGGGGGAGCTTCAGCGGGATATTGAAACACTAGTAGTAAGTCATACATACCCCTCCAGAAGAAAGATTTGCCTAACCTTACCAGCGACAGTCTTCGGAATCCGCATTTGCAACTACTGGAAATGGCGGCGAGAACGAGACCCTGGATCCTCGTAAGCATTTGAGTGGCATTCAAACAGAGCTAGATGGTTTGCTAATACATAAAGCAGGCTATAAAAGACAGAGCGATCCTCGCAAATTCTTTCGTGTGGGAAGGGTAAGTATATTCCCTCAAGCCTCGGTCTATGCAACACTGCTCATAAAGTGTATAGGTCTTCGCGATGCTTTGGCATGAAAATGCAGGGCTGCATGGAACTATTATGAGCCAGAGAGGCTCAAATCTCGGCCGGGACTATACCAAAGGCAAATACCAAGAACCAATATATAGCAGTATTCGGCGAATGGTGGTTATCAAAGAGCAAAAAGGATGCTCTTGGTGTCTGTAAGTCATCAATTTTCTGCTAGAGCAGTGTTTTTGCTGATTGTTATTTAGTCCTATCACCACTTATAGTGGTCAGGGTGTAGCTAAATCAGGTGTTGATCGCAACAAGCACACGGTCGTCTACATGCGCGGCTGTCATCCAGTAACCAAGGTGAATGAACCTAAGATGACTAAGGAGCCATTGGAGGTTGAACCGGCGAAGCCTGATCAGAAACTTGACCCGATGTCCCGGCTGAACTTTGGGAAGGTTTACACTGTGGAGCATAATGTGAAGGTCTTGCCAGTGGGCCGAATTACCGAGGGTTCTCTTGCCAAGTTCCTGGAGTACACCAAGGCCGAGTTCAATAAATGAACCAAGAGGCCATGCATTTCCAAACTGTTACGGTCGAATGAATAAATGTTAAATTAGCACTCGTTGGGAGGAAATTTGATATACGTTCATTGCGTGGATTGATCGTCCTATTCCCGAATTCTGCTAGAGGTCAATTTCCAGCATTCAGAACAGAGGAAAAATTAAGAATCGCATTGATACTGAAGTCAAAGAAGTGACCACACATAGAAAAGACTAAAAGTATCCTATTGTTAAATTGAAAAGTGTTTCTCTTAATAAAATGGGGGGGAAAAATAGAGATCTAAAACCTCATTTCCAAGAGAAATTGTTTCCGTGTTGCGATTTTTCCGCATTGGGACAACGGCTTGTTGAGTCAGCATTTAAATGATAAAATCTTTGACCGCCTGGAAAAAAAGCCTGGAAAATCTCACCGCCCGCCGAAATTTCCCAATTGAAGCAAATTAAGGTCTTTCTTTCTGGCGTTCAAACAGCATATCAAACAAAATGAAGCGCAAACTTGATGCCAACGACGTTCCCTCTCCTGAGCCTACGGGTAAAGATGAGCAGGAATTTGATTTCGAAGCCCTTGGTCTGGACCCGCGACTGCGCCAGGCCCTGATCAAAGAAAAGTTCTCCAAGCCTACTCTCGTGCAGGCCAAGGCCATTCCGCTGGCCCTCGAAGGAAAGGATATTCTTGGTGAGTGGTTCTGGACTTCTAATATGGCCTTGGAAACTTTTACTAACAGACATCAGCCCGCGCAAAGACTGGTTCCGGCAAAACCGCTGCCTATGTTCTTCCTGTCCTCCAAGCCATCCTCCAACAAAAATCTGTTAGTCGAATCAGATCCCCGCGGCGATTGAGTCAAGTGACTGATTATTTGAAAACAGATTGACCCCACATTGAAAGCGACCACTGGTCTTATTCTTGTTCCCACCCGCGAGTTGGCCGAGCAGGTCCAAAAAGTTATTACCTCCTTCACCGTTTTCTGCGGAAAGGATGTCCGGTCCATCAACTTGACCCAGAAAGTCTCCGATGCCGTGCAGCGGACTATGCTCGCCGATTTCCCCGATATTATCATCTCTACACCAACCCGAGTTCTCGCCAATGTCAACAACTCGGCCCTGTCGCTTGAGAAGCTTACACATCTGGTGATCGATGAAGCCGATTTGGTTCTGTCATACGGATACGACGAGGACATCAACGCTCTTTCGAAGGCCATTCCCCGTGGAGTGCAGACTTCCCTGATGAGTGCTACACTTACCTCCGAAGTCGATGCCTTGAAGAGTTTGTTCTGCCGTAGCCCAGTGATCCTGAAGCTCGAAGATAAGGAAGAGAAGGGCGCCGAAGTGAGCCAGTTTGTTGTCAAGTAAGCTTTCCGCTCAGAATGTTTCTTGTTTATTATTTGACATACTAACGAAAATGCGACAGGTGTGCCGAAGACGAGAAGTTCCTTCTCACATACGTTATCTTTAAGCTGCAGCTGGTTAAGGGCAAGGTCATCATTTTCGTGCACGATGTGGACCGATGCTACCGTGTAAAGCTTTTCCTTGAGCAGTTCGGTATCAAGAGCTGTGTACTTAACTCAGAGCTTCCCATCAACTCCCGAGTACACGTCGTCGAAGAGTTCAACAAGGGCGTTTACGATATTATCATCGCCGCCGACGACCAAGAAATTATGGGAGCCGCCAAATCAAAGAAGATCCCCGAAATTATTGAGGACGACGAGGCAGAGGAGAAGGAGGAGAAGGAAGAGAAGGAGGAAATCGGTTCCAGTGAAGATGAGGAGGAGGAAGCATCCACCAACAAAAAGGCTCGACCCGAGAAGCGCCGCAAGATGACCGGCAAGGAAAAGGACTACGGCATCTCTCGTGGTATCGACTTCCAGAATGTCGCCTGTGTCCTCAACTTCGATCTCCCCTCCACCGCAAAATCTTATACCCACCGCATTGGACGTACAGGCCGTGCTGGAAAGGCCGGCATGGCCCTCTCTTTCGTTATCCCACTGGAGCAGTATGGCAAGCATAAGCCTACTTCAATCAGCAGTGCCAGGAAGGATGAGCCCGTCCTCGCCAAGATTGTTAAGCGCCAAGGCAAGATGGGCCACGAGGTCCGACCTTATCACTTTGAAATGCAGCAGGTTGATGCCTTCCGCTACCGTATGACCGACGCCCTGCGCGCTATTACTCGACTTGCCGTGCAGGAAGCCCGTGCGCGCGAGATTCGTCAAGAGCTTATCAAGAGTGAGAAGTTGAAGCGTCATTTCGAAGAGAACCCAGACGAACTCCGCCAGCTACGTCACGATGGCGAACTGCGGGCGGCTCGTGTACAGGCTCATTTGAAGCACGTGCCAGAGTATTTGATGCCTGCCAAGGGACGCAAGGGCATTTCGAAAGAGGAAGTTGGATATGTTGGATTCAGAAAGACAACTGTGAACCGTATTCGCAAGGCTAGAGATCACAACCGGAAAGCCGGTAAGGGCAAGGGAGGCAGGAAGCCTTCAGGTGGAAGAGTTGATCCTTTGAAGACATTTAATCGGGGCAAGAAATAGTCGATGTTGATAAAATATGGTTGCGAGAAGAAGGTTTTATGCTATGATACCATTGTACAGTTATATGGAACAAAAAAATAAGAATGAGCACAGAAATTTATTTTATTCATACATTACTATATTGATACATTCGCTTTTTCTGTTGATACAAAAGCTGTCAATTGTCTCGCGCTATGTCTGTAAACTACTAGATATTGTCATGAGGCATCGCCATCCATTTATGGATGGCTCAATAAGTATGGGCTGAGGGCCATACGTCACCGATATCTTGGGGGAGGTAGACGTATGCTCCTCAGAATGGCCTGCAGCCTATACAGCTCCTTTCCCCCAGTTTCAACATGCACTGCACTCCCACGATGCTTCACTCGGTATCTGCGAACGGACTGTTGCACAGACACAGCCCTGGTTACGGCATAGTGGTATTTGCTGACAGCCCACTGGAATTCGCGGAAGATTGGCTCGAGCGAAATCGGGATTACAGCTCCCGAAACGTACTTGGCCAAAGCATTTGGAGTTTCAGGTTTGCAGCCAGGCGTGAGGTTGAGCGAGACCACGTTTCGCCAGGAAGTGTTCCACTCAGGGCCATAGACCACATCGTCGCCAAGGCCCGGATGGTGTTCCGTCCAAGTACTTAGTAGACGGAGCCAGTCAGTGCATCCTTGCAGATCAAGCCATTTCAGACGAAGGGTACTGCGAGAGAGTCGGCGGATGATCGCTGCGGCCTCGTATGTTGCAGCGTCGGAGCGTTTGATTTCATCTGGCATCATTTTGACGGGATGCCAAGTTGGAAAGGGCCAATATGCCAAAGACAGATGAGTAATCTTTGGTAGGTTTGGGAGTAGGTCCACAAGGTCGGTCCAATTAGCCGCGGCTTTTATTGGATGCGCAAAGGAGATGTATTTGAGGTTGTTGAAGCGGTGTGGTTGGGGCATGAATTGAGGAATCGAACTTTCTTCGGCTTCGGTTTCAGTTTCGTCCCAGGAATCTGGTACGTAATCCGGGGCTGCACTCTCAGACGAAGTGGAAGTAGGAGCAATTGCATAGATTTGCAATATTTTCCGAAGCTTCTTAAAGGTCAACCCATTACCTATGGCAAGACCCAGGTCTAGTCGTTCGATCCCATCGTGACAATGGGAGTTAATGGAGTCGTTGACAGACTGAGCTGCTTCAAATGCCGCATATTCTGTCTCTGTTGGGAAGAGTAGAGTGAGTCCTTTCGTGGAACCAAGCGACTCTTCAGAGCCGAATTTAGCCACATAACTGAGCATGGCCACTTTGATATGGTTGGGCAGCTGGGATAAAAACATTCCATCATATTCGACTTGTGAATGCCAATGTTTGGCCATTTGGACCATGACGGTATGCTGGAGACTGGGTTGTTTGGGGAAAATAGCCCCGGGCAGCCTATCCAGGTGGTGAGTTTGTTTATGGGCGGGTGTCTCCATATCGGGCTCGTCGTTGATCGAACCGTCCTGAGATCCACTCGTACTCCTAGTTGTCCAACTTCTCGGTGGCGGGGGACCAGGGACTCTGCGAACTGGGCGTACTCCAATCGGAGTCTGAGATCTGTTAGGTCGAGGGTCCGGTTGGGACGGATCGGGGAGCTCGAGAATGTCGCGCAAAGCTGGTGGCACAGAGCTTTGAGGGGCGGAAGAACGATGGAAGGCAGAGGAAAGATTCTCCGAGGAGGGTTGAACTTGGGTGCGACGTAAATGATCAATTAAGGCGTTAACAGATGTCTCCGCAGAAGCTTGCGGAACCCTCGTCCCGATACTTTGAAACCGACCATTGTTATTGGCCCTTGACGATGCGAGCGTGTGATGCGGTGAATTTTCCGGTTTTGGGTACTTCAGTGAGGTTCTGTGCTTTTTGGGCATGAGGGCAAGGTTCTGAAGGTTCCAAGGTTGGAGTTGTTTGAGTTGTTTCTTGGAAAGTGAATGCGGAGGTGAAAGTGAATTGGCGACTTTATACTAAGAAACTCCTTATCGGCTTATCGTTATCGTATTATCATTATCGACTTATCGCCCTATCGTTCTCGCCCCACCCTTCAACTAGATGTAAAATGACTCTCAATGACTCATAAGAGAGCTCGCTTCTTGCACACAAGAGCATATAGGCATTCAATAGGCATTGATGTTTCAGCTCCAGTGAAGGCCTCGGGAAACTGGGGTCTTAGTGGGAGTTACCTACCTGTCGTGGATGCATGTGTACAATGTTCTTGGAATATATTGACAACAAATGAACATCAATTCAAAAATCACCATTGGAAATTTTGATATGTACATATTGATATACTACTAGTAGTATACATAGTAGATTCCATCAATTGCTCAACTTGTGTTGAACCAGTCGTCAACTGGGAAGAATGTTGCATTTGTGGTAGGTATCGGGCGAGTTCAGTTGGGAGTTGGAAATTTCCAATAATTAAACCCAAGAATGCAGTTCTAAATTTCCCATTTATTGAATCTTGTACACTATTTACATATTGATACACAGTTTTGGATCAGATATCTCGGACCCACGAATCATCTTTCATATGCCCTTCACGCTTCGGGCCTTCCTCAAGCCATGTCTCCACAAGTCCCTCTTTGGGATCTTCGTCTGGCAAACCGCGAGACCTTCGCACGTCAAGCACAAGGTTGCGGATCTTCAATGTAACTTCCTTGCGCAACTCCACAGCTTCCTTGTTGTTCAGTAGCGCGTCACTCAGGACACCCACGGGAAGGTTTTGAGACTGGGCATCTGAGGCTTCCACCTTCGATTTTAATTTCTGCCAGCGCGATCTCATATCTCCAAACACAGCTTCAGAGTCAACTTTGGAGCCAAAAGTCACATCCACTTTCTTGCCCGGCCTCGGCAGAAATCGGGGAAACTCTCGACTTTCATGCATGATATCATCGATTCCCTCAATCCACATTGGGACCACATCCGGGCACTCGTTTGCCTCCAGAATAAGTCGTGCCACGCCCCATTTAAAGTAACGCATGGTCTTGCGCGGAGCTTGGTGGATCTTGCCTTCGGGGAAAATATGAACCCAGGAATGGGCATTGCAAGAGTATGCGGAAGGCGCTAGGTGTGCATCTTCACCGTTGGTGGTATAAGCGACGGAAAGTTCCGAGAAAGGGTCGACACAGACGTTCTGGAGGCTGAACTGCTGGAGTTCCGGGGTAGCGCGGTGATGATCGACAGCAAAGGGTCCCTTGGACAGCAATCTAATCGCCTGCGTGATTGCCGGTTGGCCAAGTCCACCGAATTGCGAATGGGCAGATCGGTGTGTTGGTAAGACTTGTCCCATGGTAAAGAATAACGATAGCGGCCTGAAGAGTTTGTTCGGTCAGCAACGAATGACCAGCTGGGCAATATTCCGCTATCCTAACGCACCTGGTTTGGAAACAGATATCATGACTACCAAAAGACCACCGTTTATTCCAGAATCGAGCTGGGAGTAATCCCCACAACAACGGATCATCCATCCTGTTAAGTCCGACGCTGTGTCAGCTATCTTCGTGCGCCGAAATTGTATAGGGATGAACTTCGTCGCCGAGGTTATTGAATCGTTACGTACACACTAATATGATTTGATACTAAAGCGAGGAAAAAGATAATTAGCAACTGCGCGCATTTCAAACCAAATAGAATGATGGGGAAAGTACCGGTGATTAATCCTTTTGTCCGTTGCGATGGATCTCGCCTCGAATCTAACAACTCCGTGAAAGCCTCAGCGCCATGCACATCAGCATTACACAAGCCCGACAAGAATGCGCGACATAATCCGGCCACACCCCACATAGTCATGTTTGAACATATCCGCCAAGGGAGGGACGGAGAATCGCCCGTCGCGCCGGAGTCCATGATTTCGAATGGAAGGACGCGACTTTATAGAAAATCCATAAACTGGACGCAGACAGGCGAGGAACCACGCGAGTTGTAGATCAAACAAACGTCTTGTTTGGCCAACTCGAACAGGATTAAACAGGGAGAGGAAAACATGTTTCGGCAAAATACGTTTATCCATCAGGATCACATGACTGAAGCCGGGGTAAACTATGAAACTTTTGGCTCAACAGCTACGCACCTACGATCTTTGATATGTGAGAAAAAGCACTGGGGATATTACTAGCTAGATCAAGTATGTCCTCCCTCAATTAATTACTAGATATAAAGAGTAATCCGCTCTCAATTGTTGAAAGTCGATGTTGTCGCTACAAGTATACTCCCGACCGCACGGACCAATTGCAACTCCGACTTCGAGCACGATTTTCGCCGATTCTCATATTTCTCAGCATCATCACCTCAACATGTTCAAGCCCACCCAATCCCTATTTGGAGGTCTTCTCTGGTATGATACACATCCGATTCAATCCGTGATATCATAGAAACTAATATCGCCCTCTTTCGAATTACAGGAAGACCCCGTGGCGCCTCTCCTCGCCCCAGAAGGCCCGACAGCGCAAGCGCTTGCGCGCCGTGGACCGCGTCGTCGATACTGTCAGTGCTGCTCTTGCCCGCAATGGCGAGAACATGAAGGCTGTTGAGCGGTGGTACAAGGAGATGCCCCGTGAGGAAGAGATGTTGCCCAAAGACAAGTACACTCTTTTCGACAAGAAGGAGAAGAGCTACCGGAAGAGCATTCACAGTATGTCAACTTCTGAACTGAGAGTTCGGGTTTTTCTTATGGGGGTTTTATGGGAAGTACTAATACTTATGCCTCAATTCAGAGCTGCCCAAGTGGACTCGTGTCAGCCAGCGTGTGAACCCTCCTGGATTCTAAGTTATCGTCGATGCGATCTCCCTACTTTTTACAACGGACACACCCTCTACGGCTCGCCAATACGGGAACCTGCATCAGATCTGTATTATACACCGACGCTCTGCCGCTATTATTGCATTCGATGGCTGGCCCGGGCTCACAACATTGGGAGGATTTCCGGAGTTTTTGGCAATTGCGAAAACGCGGCCGCTCTGACAGAGGATGCCGTCATTTACATATGTTCTATTACCCAGCGCTTAGATCTTTTTTTCTTCACAATTTCAATCATCATTCAAAAAGGTGTCACTTCAGCATCAATTCAGTCCATCGGGGCATTTCTATGGATAGGAAAATCGGTCGTGGTAGGTAACGATATCAAACAAGAAGAGTTCTCATGCCATATCTTATATACAAGAGACGAACGCACAAGGCATGGTTTTTTAGGTCAGGCTTGGTTTTTTCTCAACTTCCCGGACGATCACTTTCAGCGATGCACGGCGACAATATTTGTTGATATTTGAGGCGACCTCTTTCACTCGATTCCGGTTGACCCGGCCTTCAAATATGGCTTTACGAAGACGATATCCACGACGAACCCTCTGCCACTCATCAAGCTGTTCCTGCCATCCTGCCCCTCCTTCGTACCATGCGTTCTTTTGCTTGGTTGACATCTCGAATCCCTGTGGGGGCTTTGGCAAGATCCAGCAAGCGGGGTCAATATGCCCATCTGGTGGCTCTTCGGCAGAGTCCTCATATAAATCCACTGGGCGTATCACATCCCGAATTCCCGAAACCCTTCTTTGTCGATTGATCTCAGCACGCCAGTAATCAATTCGAGGTAATTGTGCCCTCTTTCGCACAACATCAGGGTACTTCGGCTTTGGCTTTAGGTCTGGCTCCAGGTAAGGAACGTTAAATCGCGGGTCACCGTGGATTCTTCGTGCATCAGTCGAGACTCTTGAGACGGGGTCGACCACTACCCAAGTCTCACGGTTCAACCAATGATTTGCAAGCAAAGTAAAATGGTACGGCTTTTGACCAGGTATGGTTTCGTTGAAGACCCACGTAAGTTTTCGATTCAGCTTATCTATGAGCCTCAGCTCCCAGTCACTCAGGTCGTCGAGAGCTATGCTGCTATCTGCCAAACCTCGGTACTGCGACATTCGATGTTCTGGGTGTTTTGAATGGGGGCTGTCTTGATCTTCCCAAACGTCAAAAATGTTGTGTCTGGTAGAGGCAGTCTGCAAGTCACGCACAGAGTGCCACCCATTCCCTGGATCCTGCGGTATCTCGAGTATTGGGTTTAGCCGTGAAGGTACGGTATGGTAGACAGGCTTCATTCCATTGACAGGGTTGTCATCAGAAAACGAAAATCTCTTTTTCGCAATATTCGGTCGAAAAGCCATCGAAAGCCTACCAATTGATTTTTTTAGGCGCTGACTTCCTTTCATTGCCTGGTCCTCTGATGCGTTGTCCGAGAAACCATCCTCTGAGATCAGACTAGCCAATAGCTCGGTTATGGGTGTTCCGGGAGGACCAGAAGAGTCTCGCAAATCTCGCAATAAAGATTTCGCAGCCTTGACTTGCATCTTTGCAGCCCATATCTGATGTCTCCGGTGATGCATTCGACGGATTGTAGGTCCTGTCTGGCGTGGACGGTCTCTTGGGGCCTCATCTACTTTGTGTGAAGCTGAAGGAGATTTGGCTGTGCTATGCCCACCGGGACCATCAAATTGTACTAAGTGCCAGGCGCCTTCATTGCGACTCGAACCTCTCCGTTGAGACTTCTGTCGCCTTGCAATAAATTCTTCCTTCAAGTTGGAGCAACGTTCGCCGTCAATTGACGTGGTCGATGAGTGAATATTTGTCCTTGCGTCACACCAAACAATGCCTTCCATTATTTCCTCTGATGTGCCAGCGCTGAATCTTGAGTGGCTTTTCCTGTGTGCTTCCGCTGGTATTGACAAAACCATGCTCTCTTTTTTATCGTGCATCCTTTGGGGCTTCTGTGGAAACGGATTGATATTCTCCTCCACTGAAACCCTCGCTAGTTCTGCCAACGAGACCTGATCGGGCGCGGAGGCTTCGAGTAACGCACCGTGACACTCTGCTGGCGGACCCGGGTTCCAGATGGCATCTGCGGGGGGTGATTCATAGCTCATCAAGAACTTTGGCAGCCATCTCGTCCGTCGAGCCTTGCGTCGAGCCTGAAGTATCTCCTGGCCTGGGTCCCACCATATCCACTGATAATTCGTTCTTGGTGACTCCCAGGCTGTCCATTCTCGCACCCTGGAAAATAATTTGCGGAAGAACAGTTTGTTTCTTTCGTGGGTTTCGAGGGTCACCCAGCCATACCATGTCTTGGCGAATCGAGTCAGTGGTGATTTCCCTTCTGCCAACACTTTGTGTTCAGTAAACGAGCGAATAAAATTCCCAGCCTTCCAAATTAGGACAGAAAGAATGAATATTCCGACAGTGCCCACAAACAGCTCCACGAAGATGATGGGGTCAATACGGGCGCTTGTCTCAATTGGTTTGGTCGGTGGTCCTTTGTGGGGGCGAGGAGGAGCAAAGGAGTGATTTTGTCGAATCGAGATAGGCGCCATCAGCTGCACCTGGTTCTCTCAAAGACAGGGAAAGATATCAGACATCGACACGAAAAAGAGCCAAGCGTGATCTCGCATCTCGAGTTGGACGAGCCATATCTGCAATTGCGGGAGGGAAGGTGCCTTCTGCTATGACAGCATCTTCCACAGCGCCTTCCTACTAGACATAAAAGTAGGATTGCACCGCGCTGAATTTAAGTTCAGAAAGCAAATCTAATGATGGGATTCAAGAAAAGTCTATAATTGTCTAATCTAACCAACTCTTCTAGATCCTGTCTCTTCTCTATAGAACTTCGCCCTTTTCTTGTTTGGCCTGCTTCCGTTCATGCTCAGCAACCGCCTCCACCATCTGCTGCTTAGGCGCCTCGCGGCCAGTCCAAAGCTGGAACTGGTCGTATCCCTGAGAAAGAAGTACCTCAACACCCGTGACAGTTTGCCAGTTCTCGTGTCTCTGTGCCACATTCAGAAGTGGCGTCTGTCTGGGCTTGTAGGCCATGTCAATGCAAAGGCCCTGCGATCCGAAAATTGCGCCAAATTGATCCTCAGTTGTGACGTACGCAGGAATTGTTCCAATGATGACGTCTGGCATGCGAGGTAGTTCTTCCAAGCCTGGCAGTATGGTAATGTCGAAGACAGGCTGGAAATCTTTCTTCACTTGTTCTGCTACTGACGCAGTCCGATTGACAACATAGATATGCTGGATTCCTGCTCTGTACATTGCGTACAGGGCAGCTCTGGAAGCACCTCCAGCTCCGATGACTAGTCCCACATTTGGCTGTTTCTTCGTCTTTGTCGAATAATCCGAGATAATAGTGTGCAGACCAGACCAATCGGTGTTGTCACCAGTGACAGTACGACTATCGCCGCTGCCTTTGATCACGAGTGTATTGATTGCTCCAATCAGTCGGGCTGTGTCGGTTTGATCAGTGCAATATTTGTGGACATGCAGCTTGTGTGGCATGGTCACACTTCCACCGCCAAATTGTTTGTCCAAAATCAATCCTGCAACTTCGTCGATGCTTGGTGACTCGCGGATATCGTAGGTGAAAGGGAGGTCATAATGCTTAAAGCCAGCATTGTGGATGGCTGGCGAAATGCTGAATGAGATTCCACAACCAAAGATATGAAAGTTCGGGGGCGACTCGATTCCAATGGGAGTACTCTGTTGGGCCATTTTGCTGGTGGAAATTGCAACAGTTGAAGTGAGTAATTAAGTGCTGTCAATGGTCACAGCAAGGAGGTCAAAGGTTTATATGAATAGTAGTAAATTGCGATACAATATTGATTTGGGCACGATCTAAATGATGTGTGCTATGTCGGATATGGCTTTAGCCTTGATTCAATCTTCATTTCGCCGCTCAACAAGACAAGTGGAAATCGACCCAAAATATTCTAGGTACGTCGGATATGATCAACTCCGTCCTCGATTTAAATCTCCCTTGCATTAAAGAGTCGCCTTTTTCTGCAGTTTGAACTTTGGAAGACAGAAGGCCTAGAAATATCAATAGTCTCGGCCGACACAACACCTCCAAAGCTACTGGCATTGCAATCATGTCGCAACAACAAGAGATGACTCTCCACCTTGTTGGAGTTGGTGTTACCCATTCAATTGCACCAAATATGCACAACTACATCGCAAAGTCACTTGGTCTTCCATGGAAATTCTATGCGACCGAATGCCCGACCGAAGAAGAGCTGGTCAATCTGGCCAAAAACCCCACTACGGCTGGTTTAGTCGTTACGATGCCCTACAAGAACACCATAATGGGACACCTCTCTGAGCTAGATGAGTTAGCAACCATTATCGGTGCATGCAACAATGTTTACTACAAGAATGGCAATCCGAGACGACTCTGCGGAACCAACACCGACTGGAGGGGAGTCAAAGGCTGTCTCTTGGAGAAAGGCTCAGAGGAAGAAAGACCATCTGCAGCATCTCCCGCATCAGCCTTGATTATCGGTGCTGGTGGCGCGAGTCGTGCTGCTGTCTACGCACTTACAGAACACCTGCACTGCCCGACAATCTATGTGTTGAACCGCGACGATGAAGAGGTGGTGAATCTCATCCGAGACTCTCAGAAGCTTCCGGCTATCCCGAACATCATTCATGTCAAGACAATGGACCAAGCGGAAAAGCTTCCGAGTCCCTACTACATTGTCGGCACTGTGCCGGATCTTGAGCCCAAGGCGCCATCTGAACTTGCGGTCGCTTCTATTATGAAGCACTTCCTTTCGCGGCCAAAGAAGGGTGTGTTGCTTGATATGTGCTTTAAGCCGAGAAGAACTCGGATGATTAAGTTAGCAGAACAGCTTGGATGGCCTTGTGTTGAAGGAACGCATGTTATTGGATATCAGATTGAGGAGCAATGGCGCTTATGGGCTGGAGAGGATGTCTGTCAAAAATTGGATCGGGATGGCGCGTGGAATGTTCTTTTGAAAGCGGCGGAGGAAAGCAAGGGAATCAACTTCTAAACTTGAGGGAACATCCATTTCGAATAATAGGTACTAGCAAGCGCAAAATCAAATATCTCCGGATTGTCATTTAAATTCTGTATTACTACTTCTTCCAAGGCTGCGCATATGCGAGTGCTACTAAAATTCAAATTGACATCATACAACCTTGCAACTCAGACGACTGCACTTCGCAGACTCTAATTTACCGGTCGGTGGGCTCAATCAGCACTAGTCAAAGGACTCAACTTTCGAGTAACCAACCTTGGAAGGCTATCCCCGGATCCACTCCCACCTCTGGATGCGGGGTGGCGATGCGTCCTTTTAATGTTCGGTAGTGACCTTTGCCGATGCCGGATAATCCGGTCCTCGGACAAAGTCCCCCACATCTGGGCCTTGCGATTGGAATCCATATATAGACCAACTTCCTCTCACTCAGAACATTTAAAGCCATTCAACACAAACACGATGGTCGACTTACATTCTCTTCCTGCGGGTACTTGGCCTGAAAACGCTATCCGCAACAATGGCCCGGACAACCTCGTTCTCGAGCGGGTCAAGCTCCGTGAACTAGCCGAAGGGTGGCCTTGCTACCGGTACGTAATGCAGTTCCTCTTCTGGATCTCGTTCAATGTTTCTGACACAGTAAATCCAGTGACGCCTGTGAATGGGAAAACTTCGAATCAATTTTCCATGAGGACGCCCATGTTTATACTACCTGGTCTGGCCGCGTCCACTACAAGGATTTCATGACCGCTTCAAAGGCCGGCATGGACAAGGGCGCTTTCATCATGCACCGTTGTCACGGAGTGACGACCGATATCACACCAGACGGCAGTCGTGCAATCACCAAGATGAAGGCGACTATCACTCAGCGGTTCACCATCGACGGCTGCGAAGTCGATGCCGAAGCGGACTGCAGGTTCTGGTTCTGCTTTGAGAAGGTCAATGGACACTGGGGTGCTCGATTTGTTCGGCACTGGTATGAGAAGGATAAGTTGCTTCCTGTCAACCCGAACAAGATTCCGCGAGTGGATGAAGAGAAGCTGAACTCGTACCCTGAAGGGTATAAGTGTCTGGCGTACTGCCAGGAGCTCACTATGGGCGTCAGTGTATTTAAGGATATGCCTGGGCATAGACGTCATGTTGGAACTGCATCTGGAGAGAAGCATGATCTTTTGTATAGGTTATCGAAGGATTGGCTGGATGGCAAGGATATCGATGTATAGATGGAAATTCTCTAGGTGTACCTATTAAGTATACAAACTTTAAATTGAAGATTTAATGAAGGTGGTAAAAACTTGACTTCTGCCACACTACTTGTTAATAATTCCACACCATTTTTGAAAATTTGGAGAGCTACGCGCGCTCTATGATGCCGAGATCAATCGCAATTGGCCAATTTTCACTCCCTCTAAAGAAACCTGCGTGGAACTAACTGATCATAAACACTATGTACGTACATAGTGACTTCTTGTAAACACCCTATTACTACTGTCTCCTCATTTTTTCCACTTTATTTTCTAGTTACCAAGGTTGACTTAACTTAGTAGATACAAACCCAACGGGAATGTTCTTTTGTCATTTTTTGTCTGCGCGGTCCGTTGCAAATTTTTGAAATTGGCAGTTGTGTTCAGATCTAGTAAACACATTCGATTTCCATATTGCTATTTAAGTCAAGTTCAGTCTCTCTTGCAGCTTCTTCCATGATGCAATGCCTCTCATTGCATGCTCATCAGGGACATGTTTTCCTTCTTCCGCCATGGTTCGAGAAAACAACTCCATAGATACAAACCCTTTATATCCCAGCCCAAATATAAGTGCCTTAGTCACATCTTCCACTGGCATATACGCTCCCCGATCCTCCTCATACATAAATGTTCTGGCATTTCGGGACCAGTTCATCCGCGCCGGTTGACCCTCCACATGGAACGGATGACCAGCGACAAGAGGGGATTCCAAACGTTCCGCATCAACAACCTGGATATAGAAAACTTTCGCAACATCAACCTCCTTCACTAATCTTTCAATCGACGCCTTCAAATCGGCATCTGCATTGGGCGTCTTGCCAGTCGGTGAAGCCGGATCCGCCCATACCCGGCCGGCGATGTTAAAAGTGTCAAGACACATGCCAAAGTTGGGTCGATCAACGCGCTTGACCACGTCCCACAATTTCTCCCAGGTATCGACATGTGTGCTCCAGCAGAGATTCTCATATGCGTAGCGCACGGGGGGATCAGCCGCTGCTCCCATGTCCGCCACTTGGCGCAGGTCAGCAGCGATCATATCGAAATCATCGGTCAACTGCTCTGCCGGGAGGAAATTGGCAGGGATTTGAATTGTAGTTGTGCCGAGAGCCTTTGCGATCTTCAGCCAGAGCTTCATCTTCTCGATTAACTTCGCATGTTGTTCCCGGTCCTTGAGACCTTCATAGAACAGAAATGGCTGAAGGCCGATGATTTCCAGGCCTCTGCTTTGACAAGCGGAGTTGACATGCTCGGATACTTGCAAGATATGCTCATTGGTGAAGGTCTTGCTTCCAGAGATCTTACGGGCGGCGTATTCCAAGTCCTCGTAGAAGACTTCGATGCCTTTGAACCCCGCTTTGGCAGCTTGGTCGAGCTTGTAGTCGAGATCGTGCAACCAGCCGCGTCCGAGGGACACGGTCATTATTGCGGGCTGATAAGTCATCTTATATAGTAGATTGAAGTAGTGTTAATCAATTCGGTTTGTGCTCAACTTTGGAACTGTTTCTCGTGTTTGACTGCTTTTTAAAGAGGTCGTTGTACCTCATTACCTCGGGTAGGGTAAAGTCTTAGCCTCACTCTCGGCCATAATCATATCCGAATGCTGACATCTCAATGACGCTTTTGAAGTCTAATTTCCAAATGATTGGATTGTTCGAACGGAAATTAACTACTAGCCGGCAGTGAATCGAAATGGCTTCGGTATCTTATTGGTACCTAGGTGTCGCCTGGCTATGTTTCTGCCCAGGTGATGGATGTAGTGCCCAGGTGGCCCATATCATCAGGTCATGAAGAGGAAGTTCAATAGTAGGTGAACGATGATACTTGAATTATGTCAATCAAAATTTATTACTTGCTGCTGATCATTACAGCAGATTGGTTATCGTTTTTTTTCGGTTTTCTTAATACCACACTATCTGTAAATAATATCACAACATTTTTGGAAATTTGGCATGTTATGCGCGCTCATGATTATCCTTCTGGAAATTAGATACTGACGTGGCACTTTCTCTGTTTTGCTTTTTCTCCTTTTATAGCTATCACTCTTCCAGGAGTTTGATTAAAGTAGGACCTACGAGAGTTTCAAGCAAACAACCAAAAAACCTGTCTTGAAAACGATCATTGTCTTTCAATTTGAATCATTGGTGAACAAATCCGTACTTAATGGATTGTTCCTGAATGACACGCCGCATTATATGAACAGGAGCAGGTCTCTTCGTAAATATCTCATACTGGGCGACACCTTGTTCAATCAGAACCAACAGTCCACTTACAACAACCCAGCCTCTCGCTGCACGTGGAATCATCTGCTCCATCAATTGTGTTTTGAAAGGACCATATGCAACCTAGACCGCATCAGTCTCCAGTTCAAATTATAGATATCAAAAAAAAAAACTTACCTCGACAAATACGCCACCAGTCCGACTCTCAAGCCAATGCTCCGGAATTTTGAACACCACCGGATGTTCACTGCCAATTTGAAAAGGCGGAATGCATGGCACAACAATAGTTGGTAGACGAAGATCTGATGGCCAGGGTTCCTCTGACCTGATAATACCAACTTGCAAGTTGACCCCAGGCTTAGATTGAGCCCACCCGTTCCAATAGTCGGCCAGCTTTTGTGCATTTTCGGGGGTGCGGTTATAAATGAAGATCCGTTGAACGCCGAGCTCATAGCAAGCATAGATTGCAGCACGGGCCATTCCGCCCGCACCCACAATCAGAGCCGTGGTTCCATCACGCACTGCGTTGGCCGGCGAGAGATGTTTGTCGATACAATCTCTAATTCCGATATGGTCTGTGTTGTAACCCTTTCGGACGGTAATATGTGACCCGTCTGAATTTTGCTTTGGCTCTATGACAACTGTATTGACAGCTTGCATATCATCAGCATCTTCAGTGATCTCGTCGATGTAGGGCAAAATTGCGGATTTAAAGGGAAGGGATATGGTAACACCACCACGCTCTTCGTCATTCAAAAGCCCATGAACAGCGGAGATTTCATTAGCCTGCAGGGTATCGTATGTATGTGGGAGTCCGCAATGTTCATATGCTGCCTGGTGCATTTCAGGCGAGAGACTGTACTTGACAGTCTGCCCAAAGATAGTAAACTTTTTCTTGGGCAATAGAAAGAATGATGTCATTGCCTTCTGTGCTTGTTGCACGGTAAGCCCACTTGATGGCGTAGATGGCAGTACTACCGGTGACAATATAGGATTCAAGCAAATCGAAGTTCGACCTGGCAGTTCTTTGTTGTACGCAATCACAGGAACATCCATAACGGCAGTTGCCTCCTTGAGAAATGAGATACATTCAAGGTTGTCTTCTGGGAGTTTGGATTCGCCTGTGATGCGGATCGCACCAAGTCGCAAAGATCGAGTCTGTTCATGGAGAATCAAAGGCGTGAGACGGTTCTGTTTTGATCCCACTGGTGATAATTCATGGAAATCGGCTATGATTTTCGTGAATCCTCTTGAGGAGCTCAAGCTTTTGACAAGCCCCTCATGGCAATTAATTGATATGATTAAGGCATCAGGGGCAAGGCGAAGAGTCATTTTCAACATCTTCTCCTGTGCCATAAGATCCAGCGACTTGGAAGGTATTGAAGAGATGTCTATGATTATTGCAACTCGAGAGTGCTTCCGCAGAGTCGCTATGTGCCGCGAAAGCCTATCGGGCAGTCTAGTTGACTGCACGTCCTGGGGCGATAGTACTAGAGCGATAGCATCGGCGCCGCATTCCAGAAAGTTCAAGTCTGGACGTGTCTCTTCCAGCCATGATAGAGGTACTTGCAAGGAAAATGTATGAGCTGCAGAAAACGGTTCTGCCGAGAAGATCTGGGGGATAGAATTTCCAAATATGCGACGTAAGAATGCCACGACCAGACGTTCCGTTTCCTTGAGTTTGAGGTAGGTGGGTAATGCTTGGTCTGGTTGGCCCTGGGTGAGATTGAAGAAGTCGAAGTTGGAGCACGACTCAAAAAACTCATTACCCAATTCAAATATTCGATCGAATTTTTCGGGGCTCGTGGTCACAAATTGCCGTAGGTCTTGTTCGTCCCGTCTCACATATACAACAGGATGCTGCTGAGCAAACTCGGCTAGCAACACCTGCTGAGGGCGACTAGCAAATCCTCCTAGTCCAACGATAACACAATATTTATCATATTTTGTAAGAAGCTCGCGCGATATCTTGAGCTCGATCTCTCGATATTGGGCCAGTCCATTGCGAGCAATGAACTCTTGCGGGGAGGACTGAACTTCTTGCTTGAAGTACAAGTCGAAATCAATGAAACGCCGTCTCAAGGCAACTGAAGCTATGATTCCCAGTGTTTTCTTGCCTGCACCAAAGAATCCCACAAGCAAAAGTGTGGCATTTGGATGATAGTGTGGGTGGTCGCTTAGCGCCTCATCTGCGGGTCCCAAGAGGGGGGTTTCAGGCTTCCCAGGAGTATTGGAGCGAGAGATAGAGCTCATTTCAATACCTAATCTTCATAGAGCATGGAATGCTTCTCAAAAAAGAGTTCAAAGGCAAGGTTTGAAGAATCTGCATTCACCTGCCAAAAAAAGGGAGGTTGAAGTTGGGGTGTGGTAAATGATAAATCCCAAGGGGCAATATTTGTAAAATCCAGACGGCTGTTATTCAAGAAAAAGTCATCTTATTAGCCCCTGCAAATGGGACAGATTTCTGCGTGTAAATTACATCGGATTCTTGCCATCGCGTTCGTCGTTGAATGTCGCATGCCACAACGCGGTTAAAGTCAGCGCCGATCACATGACTGTGTCGGCGTCGCCACGCTCGATCCCGCGGGATCAACGGCCATCAAATTAACCAGTTTATATGGTGAAAATTATCATTGACATGCGTCGGAATGTCGAATCCGCGTTCATTGAAGCGGCAGCGCATTTATCGCGCCTGTGATCAGTGCCGTCGGCGCAAGTCCAAATGTGATGGAGAGCAGCCTGTATGCTCTATCTGCAGCCATGCCAACCGGACCTGCACCTACGAGACGGGTGGGGGTCGACGGGGGCTTCCATCTGGCTATGTACGCAGCTTGGAGATATTCATGGGCTTAATGCTGAGACATGTTCCAAGTAGCGAGACTACAATGCATGGTCTGCTCCGGGATTTGCGGGTCAACGGCAACTTTCTGACGAGCAAGCTTGGAAACCAATCGGTTTCAGTTTGGCGAAAATCGAAGCTTCACCGCGAAATATCCCAGTTACTTAACTCTGGAACCGAAGATGGTGGTTTTGATGATCCGGAGTGGGAGCCGGTGGAGCCACCGGACCATGATGAGACGCCGGATGATCATGATACAGCGCCTTTGATTGCGGAACCCAACATACCTGAGACCATTCAGGAGCAACCCAGTCCAATAAGAAGATCACACAGCTTGAGCGAACTGCAAATACCACACAACACGTCTGACCTGGTAGAATTTTACTTCACTTACACCCATTGCTGGTTTCCTATACTTGAACGCCGCTCGGTGCTACGCGCTATGCACCAGAGTAACGGCCATACCTCTGGAGACTCCTCATCTCGGATGGTTCTTTGGTCTTTGATCACGTATACATCTGCCATGAAAGGAACTACCAATATTGGAGCCCCGCACCTGTTCTCTCTCCAGCTCGCCGTTGAACAGCAGGCATTGACACAGTGGGAAAGCTTGGATCTAGGTCACATCCAGGCTTTATTGATTCTTGTCCTGGTCCACATTGCCATGGGAAACATCAGTCAAGCATGGACACTTGTTGGACAAGCCACGAGAATGCTGGTCACATTGCCTTCAGAGTCAAGAAAGGCTCGCTTTAATCATACCTTCAACGGGTGTATTCTTCTTGATAATATTTTATCGGCCCTTCTAGATCGAACACCATGTCTTTCCCCAGAAGAGCAGTCAGCATGTTCTCCGGTGGAGGAAGATGATTTGGAGGAGTGGGACGTTTGGTCTCCATCTCGTCCAGGTGAGGACGCCTCGGGACGGAGGATACCGTCCACACCTCTGCGAGCATTGAGCATATTCAACCTTGTGCAGAAGCTCATGCAAAGTTTGTGTCCAATATTATATCATCCCTTGGATGCCTCTCGCGTTGGAGATCTCCTAGACGACTTACGACAAAAACAAAGTATCATCTCAGGCAGCCATTCCTACGACAGACGAAATCATGCCAGTCCTCCTCTTCTGATACTCCACCTTACATCAGCTTTTACGACACTTTCTCTATGTCGCCGGTTTATTTCAGTCTCCTCAATGATCACAGACCTGTATGCCAGCACCATTCAGTATATACTCAACATTCTTGATCATTATCGTGAAACAACTGGCGCAGTTGGCTCCTCGCCACTCACCCTCTGCTTTGCACTTCAATGCCAAAAATGTCTTGACTCTTCAAACTTCCCGGCAAAGGCAGAGCTTCAATTACGCGCGTCTAGTTTTCTCTGCCCTCTAAAAACAAATGGCTATGATTGGAGTAATAACTTGCAGACCATAACCCTCTTGCCCTTCATGGAACCAAGAAGTCAGCCACCTGGGAGGTTGGACGGCCCAGGGCATGCACCAGGTATTGGGAATTTACCCAATTCGAGTAGCTTGACTACTTTCCGGCCCCAAGAACCATCATCGGTTATGGGTCTACCAACCATCCCAGCATCCACAGACTTTCCAACATCGCACGCTCTCGCCAGAACAGGGGATACTGAAATATACGATGCCTTGTTTGAGGAAATGGTCATCTCGTTTCCTGCCAGCAGGTATTTACAATTCGATCTCTCCGACATTATCTCCCTGCTAACCATTCTCAAGACAAGAGCCATCATTTGCTCAAAATCTAGGTTTCTACGATGGAGATCTAGACACGGACTTCCTGGCGCAACTGCAACAGCTACCCACAGGCTGAAGCTCTCTCACGAAATAGTCTCTATCTGGTTTCAAAGCGCTACAATACCCTACCTGGTGCTGTATGGCTCAACCCAATAAGGACAGGTATTAGCCGTCAGCTAATAATATAGCCGAAGGGCAACCATACTAACATTGAATAAATAAATCTTCTAAGCCCAAACCAACAACCATAATGACGATAATGAACACAAAATGTTTTTGAGATCACTTCTCAATATGACTCTGAATTTCGATGAGCCAGAATGAACATATACTTCTAATAAACAGCTTCAAGGTTGATCCTCCTCGGCATCCATGTAGCTATCCATGCATGATTAGGACTTGCTCACAACCTCGAATGACGAACAAGTTCACTAGAAAAGTTTATCATAGAAAAGAAGTTTCAAATGACTTGCAAGGATATGCACATGTGGGCGATTTTTCGAAATTTGGAGGATTGAAGGTGATGAAAATAGAGAGAAAAAAATGACAGGAAAGGCTTCACATGAGGCTGGGAATAGGCTGTATGACCCGAATGGTAGTCAGTATTAGCTGCATTTTTGTACTTCCAGCTTAATCCTCTAACATTGAATATTCCACGGTTCAAAAAACCCCGAAGAGTCAACCCCGATACGCCGACTCCGAGTGCCAAGCTTCAGATCGAGGCTCCGCGGTTCCACAAACAATTCAAACTCGGGGATTTCGGAGCGGCTTATTCGCTCAAGTATCAAGTCCGATTCGTGCTATGCATTCAAATGTTTCCAAGCTTGCGCGGCCTAATTTATAGTCAGCCTTGGGGGCTTTCCGGGACATTTGTGTTCCCGAGGTCCCATTGACAGCCCGCAATGGGCAGTTTAAAAGCATTACCGACCCCATGGGCCATGATAAATAGTATCACACGATTCACACCTTTGTTTACGATTCCTCGGACAGCCAAATAACCCCTCTGCTGTTTATCATGCCTCCAATCCAGGTTGCAATTATAGGTGCTGGACCTGCCGGATTAACCCTCGCCCGACTGCTTCTCAACAAATCCAATCTAAAAGTCATCGTCTTTGAATCAGACGAGTCCCGCAATTCTCGCAACCAAGGCGGAACACTCGATCTGCACCCCGACACAGGTCTCAATGCCCTCAAAAAAGCAGATCTGTGGGATGAATTCATGAAAAATGTTCGGTATGACGGAGAAGCAATTACTCTGTGCGACAAAAAGCTTCTAAAGTATGTCAATCTTTCCGGTGGGGACGAAGGTTCCTCTCGTGACCGTCCTGAAATCGACCGGAAAGCCCTCCGCACCATTCTCCTGGACTCTATACCTTCAGATATGATCCGATGGGGATGCCGCTTACGCTCCATTGACGAGAACCACAACTTGATCTTTGACCATGGCATTGAATCTGGATTTGACTTGGTAGTCGGCGCTGATGGTGCCTGGAGCAAAGTTCGTAAATTTGTGTCAGATCAAGTTCCAAACTATGCAGGAATTGGTGGGTATATGTTCAATATCCCCAATGCAAAGGAGGCGGCGCCAAAATGTTATGAACATACCAATCGAGGGTCGCTTTTTTCTCTGTCTGATCGCCGAGGAATTTTCAGTCAGCAGATTGGAGATGGGAGCTTATATGTCTCTTGTTGGAGTGAACGACCTGAAAATTGGATGGAGAACTGCTCCTATGACGTTGAAAGCTCTGAAGCTATCAAAAATGCCATCAGGGAGGAGTTTCACGACTGGCATCCGGAATTGCTTGAGTTTGTTGACAAGGGAGAGGATACTGTGGCTCGTTCACTCTACATGCTCCCGGTTGGTTGGAGATGGGAAAATCACCCGGGTGTTACATTGATTGGTGATGCCGCTCATCTTATGACCCCCTTTGCCGGCGAAGGGGTCAATCTGGGCATGCAGGATGCATTGATGCTCTCTCAGGCGATACTCAACGCAAGCTGCTCACTATCACCGAGTAATCAACTTGAGGCCGAGATTAAAAGCTTTGAGGAGGACATGTTTGCAAGAGCAGAGCGGACAGCTGCACATACGAAGGACATGTTGAATTGGATGATGCTCACCGATGGAACACCGCAAAGCACGATTGGCAAGTTTCTACTACGCATGTTGACTTTCCATGATAAGACGATGCTCGAGCATCTGAGGTATCCATTCCTGGCTGCTTTGCTCAAAGGCTACTTTTTCTTGCACAAACTGTGGTATTGATTCTGCAGTGGACAATACCTAATCGATAAACTGTCATCGAGGTATTTCTTGTTCGGATTTGGGCTTCTATGCATTGAGATCATGGATTGATGACGCCTAAATTGAGTTTGTCCAAGCGCCAAATTTCCAATGAAGACTCGGAGATATCAAAATGCGATATGTTCCATAATCCCATGACGAATTCATCCTTTAGACTTTCAGCGGGATTCTGTCCTTGTAGATCCGAGGTGATATCCAATTGATATATCAGATTAACTGTTGCCGAGGTCGGGGTATATCTCCAGATCCATCTGAGACACGCAACAAGAATCAAAACGGTGAAGGTGACGTCCTGCACAGTCTGCACTCCGCTAAGTTCGCTCCGTTGAATCAAGGATAATCCATGCTGGGGGTTCAATAGAGGGGTAAGGGCAAGCGGGTCTTGGGGGAAAATCAAAGACAAAAAGTGAACATTTGAAGATCACGACACGTTTCGGGGGCCACGGGAACCTAGATGGGGTTGACTATGTTGGATGACGATAGTGCCTTCCGCATTGGGTAACTCGGGCCTACACCGCCACAATTCCCACCAGCCACTCCTTGCTTGTTAGCCACAGTTTATGCGGCTGGTGTCTGTGGCGGTGCGACTATTGAGACTAGAACAGTATATCTGGATCGACACTGCAGGTCCCAAAAATAAATGATTGCAAGGAAAAAAGGAAAAAAGAAAACCAAGAATTGTTCTCGCTTTCGCTCTTTTTCATTCCCCTATCTTTTTTTTTTGGTTGGGACATCTGAATTAGGTAAATAGCCGTCGGGGAATTACTCAAGTGCTTGAAAATTCTTCTGTTTTGGTTGACAATCTGACTGTTTACTACACTACTGTAGTACTATCTATCTCCACTCACTTTCCCCATCTTTGGGGTTAACCACGTTGTAACCATAACAAGACTCAGGGCCATAACAAGACTCAGGGAGTCGGGGTTAAGGACTTTGTGATTTGTGATTGCATCACACGCTGTGGGGACAATTCCGGAAACTAGTTCCTGGTCCGTGCTTGATCGGCAAGTTGATCGTCCCAGTTCATCTCGATTCTCATTTATCCCAGAGGGCAGATCAGCGCCAAGAACACCACAGACACGTATCTGGGTGCAAGCTTCTTCTTTCGTGGAACTGCAAAGTCTTCTGTGACTTTAGTCCCGTTCCCTAGCGTGCACATGGTTGGTGCATGATTGTCATTCTGGTTGGGTCCAGTGTTTTCTCAAGCGGAGCCATCGGAGAGGTCTCGACTCTTGATCTTCCAGACACGGGCCACACGGCCCAAAAGTGAGGCTGACGATTCCTGAACAAACTGTGGCTAATGTGGCTAGTGATGCTAGTGTGGCTAGTGTCGATAGGTCCGTCATCTGTGACCGTGATCTCCTTATTTCCCCTCCATTCTTAGGCAACGCTTTTGATTCCTGGAATGTTTGATGCAATCATGTCTCAAGAGGGCAAAAAGTTGCCGGTCAATAATATGGGAAACTCAGTGAAAACAAAAACAAGCCCTCGGGGAGCCCGACATGATGGATACTGCTTACTCATTCAAAAGGTCACTTGCCACACCCGTTAGCTGTGGCTTGCACCCCCCTACAGGGGTCTGACTCCCTGCAATGGATTTTGCGGTCTGCCCTATCTCGTTCATCTAGTCTATTTTCCCCCTTGATCCGAGTCTGTCAGCCCTACTCCGTTCATCCATTGCTATTGGCGGGAATTTTTATCAAACTCAAAATTACGATATGTTCCAGCCTCCAGCCATACTTTTCAACTAAGTTACTCAACCAAGGTGACATTTTTCAAAGTGAGGCAAGAGTTCATGCTAGTTTCACGCCACTGATTCTTGATACTTTTTTTTCAAGGATTCCTTTGACAGCTGCGACGGGCCGGACGGGTTTACTGAGAAACAGACAAGCGGGGTTCCATGTCGAGCATCTAGTGGATCTGTGCTCCCCGAAGCCCGAACTATTGAAAAATTAACAAAGAAATTACGATCTAGTGACCCGGGGCCACCACTAACACGACCCGTGCCCCTCTTTTCCCCTGCACCTTGGAACGTCAATCGTGCATGCCAAGGCGTGTGTCAATCTGCATAAGACTGTTCCTGGGTGAAGATTCGGTCAGATTGCATGAAAGGATGAAATATGATATCCCGTGTGGAGAACCGGTTACATGCTCCAGAACAGATCCACTCACTAGCATCAGATCCTCCTGCAACGCAACCATGGACTTTCCCAGATCTAGTTTTCTCCCCTGCACTTGTCGATCAAACACCAGATCATACATAGTTAGGTGCCCCACTGTTCGTGCTTCCTTTGCCGGAACGTGCTGCAGCAAGGATTCTTGCAGCTGCCAAGCGTGAACTTGGTTTCGGCCGGATGATCACTACCAATTTTTCATTAATTTTTGTTTTTCAATTGGCCATTTGGATATTTCTGAATTCATATTTATGATTTTGGTTGGGTACCATGGCTGCCTTGACCTTTGTCTGAGCTCATCCCAGGTACCTGGTCATCCACCGATCGTTAATGCGTTAATGCGCTCACATCGCGTGGTACTTTTGACGGGTGGCAACTAGTAGTTTGCATGGTGACCCAATGCCTAATCTGAGATGCGATTTCCCAAGGATCTACAATATCGAAAAAAAATCTCGGTTGCTGCCGGAAACTAGTATATGAAGCCGCACAAAACCTTCTTTTCTCATGCTGGATCTCAAGTCAATTCCTCTCATAGATCATCGGCTTTACTCCTTCTGGATCTTCTACCTCAATTTCAAGATACGCACTCGATTCACTTTGCTTACTATCTACTTCTTTGAAAACCCCGTTTCGGGAATATCTACTATTTACCTATATTTCAACCTCAATCCTCCCTCTATCCATCCGGCATTCCATTTATTTCACTGCAAACTTCGTGAGGCTCGCTCGAATATCCAAACCGTTTTATTCATCGCCTATAAGCTCCCTATATCAAAACAACCTTTCCACCAAACTTGGAAAATGGCTGCCCGCGAATTTAGCCTGTCATTCGAAGCCGCCCCTCCTGCCTCCGTGCGCCCCAGCCAACCAATCAACCTGGCCGTATCAGTGCGCCCAGTCGGCACTCCTTCTCCAAGCGTACATGCCCTCGTACTCAATGCGTCCCTGCGCAACGAAGCCAGTACCGGCGCCGCGGCAGGGTTAACCGGCAACCTGACAACAAGCATAGCAACAAGCGGCTCTGCAAGGTTCACCAGCTTAGCAATTTCGACACCGGGAAAGTACCGACTGCGCGTGATGCTCGCTACAGCCTCGCCCAATGGCATCGTCACCAAAGAATTTGTTGACTCCGGGATTATTACTGTTGCGCCATAGTTAACCAAATTTTGGAAGTGGGTCCTTTCTTCTTCTTTTTCTCCTATTCTTTCCGCTTTGAGGATCTTCGTCCGGTTTTTCCTATCTATCCCATGATCATGGATCCGAGACATCTACCCCTCTCTCACTACCTTTCCTGGCCGCTTGCTGACCCTGACGAGCTTTAGGCATTGCCCGGGTGCTTACTCTGCTGCAGCTTACGGCTCAAAAATTGGATATCACAATGATGGATATCGGGGACTCGGGAGTGACGAGCGGCGTGATCGGGTTGGTACAGATGAAAGGTCGTTATTGGATCTTCGCTCTGGAGTTTACGGTGTTCAGCCTTGTTTTTATTTGTTTTTATTTGTTTTATCTGTTTTTTGCAATCCATTCGACGGTCTTTGGGAGGTCTTCTTTGTCTAAAAGAAAGAACAGACAAAGAAGGACCGGGTCTTGGGTTCTCTTGCATTCAAACGTTGGTTGAACCTCGAAGATCAATTGATGATGGACGATTTCGTTATACTTGTGGCATGCATGTTTGCTTTAACAAGACAAAGTTAAGATCATTGATTATTTTTAATTTGACTTTCTAGTTCAATGAAATAAATTTACTGTGAATGCGATCAGCCCTGAGTACCTATGCATGGGAGTGTACTTCATTCCCAGGTTTCACTCAATTATAGGGCATCAAGTCAGAACAAAGACTTCAGAAAAAGAAAGCATACTTCACGTACTTTTTTACCCCAGATCCCTGAATCTTTATTTGTTATTCAGTTTTGCTTTTGTTTCTCCCGCGCTAATTAAATACCCTGTTTTTCTATTCGCCAAGCGTGGTACTGTACTGTCGAAGATGACCAAGTTCTTGCGCCGACCCAAGCACATAGTGCAGAAAAGTCGAATAATCCCAGTCGATACGCTCAGCCGCAAGACCCATGAGACTCAACTGATCGTCGCGACCAGGACGTCCAGGACCCGTGATATTCTGCAGCAAGCCATCAAGTCAGTACACAGTAATCCCCCTGAATAATCCTCGTATTCTCACATCGAAAGAAGAAAGGGGAAACGGGACATAAGCAGACATACCGGCTTCATATTGATATCAAACAACGCAAACTTCGATCCCGCCTTAAATCGTCGAATATCAATGCGCAGCGGCGCAGTCGTCCCCAGCAACCCCGCCACAACCTCACACTCCTGCATGATATTCGCGTATGCAGGATCCGCCCCCATTTCTGCCGCAGTCACAGCCCGCGAATTAACCGTCACAGCAATCTTACCGCTGTACGGCGCGATCCCATCAACATGATTGAATCGCGTCACGGGTGGCAAAGCCCAATGACCCGCCGAACGCCGCTCTGAACTCTCAAAGCCCGCCTCATGGCATGGCGGCATAATTGTGATTGTTCCTTCTTCCCCAGTCAAGTACTCTTCCAGTAGCACACGGGGCGATTCATCAAAGAGCCGCGCCACATGCTCGCCCAGCTCCAATGCGTCCCGACAAATCTTCACGCCGTGACTACCCCGGCCGCGAACAGGTTTCGCGACAATAGGATAATCCCCTTCCTGGATCAAGGACAGTACCTCGTCGAGTGTTTCCTGGACCTGTTGCTGCTGCGCTTGCGCAAGTCCAGAGACTGGGGCTGAGGCTTCATTGCCGTTCTCTGGCGCCACGCGCGGATCATCCACTGTCCAGGACTTGGGCAGTGTCAGTCCGCCGCGCTGGCGCAGGAGATCGTTTGTGAATGATTTGTCGTCGAATTTGTCTGCGCAAAGCGGCGGTTGGCCGACTACCCTCACGCTGGACTCGAAGGGAGTCAGTTGTGATGAGGTCTGCAGTGGGTGTTCGGCGAAGAGGACTGTGTTCGCCCAGAGGTGCGTGGCGCCTCTCTGGATTGCGGAGAGGATTCCTTCTTCGGTGTCAGGGAAACACCATTGATTCTGGTCTGCCGGGTCTGGAGACTCTACCGGTGTAAGAATGGTAGTTCCGGCGCGTTGCAGTGCATAAGCGATGTCGGCGCCAGAATCCCGGTAGCCTGTTCAATACAGCCATTCTAGTTAGCTTGTCGTTCTTTTTTCTTTCTCCGGGCTCCCAGGTGTGCCGGCCGATATTTTGGATGGGGCGTTGGGTATAGATTGGATTATCGTACCTCCCGGCTTGGGGGGCTTGCTTACGCCCCCGTACATGGGTGGCGGCAGGGCCTGGTAAAAGATAGCTACAACTGGCTTGGTGAGGCCCATGTTGGCTTTTGTTTTGTTTGGCTTCCTTTGGCTTTGGGTATATGTGCTGGTGAAGATGATCTGGGGTACAGCTTGTTGTAATTGAGTGCGTGACTGAGTGTGGGGAACGAACGCGTGGGGGTGTCGGTTGAAATTTGATAAACTGTATGCACGCCGGAGAGTAGATTTCATAGCACTTCTCTCAGAAGGGACTGTTCAAAGTCTGTCACTTAGTAGCTGGGTATAATTGTCAGATGTATAGCAAACTTTTGAATGTCTTGTTTCTAGTTTTTGCTGATTGTTTTTATAGCAGATGGTTATATACTCAAGGTCCAAGGAGATGACTCGGAAAAGTGCCGATATTCGGAGGCGGTGCGGCGCCGTTTTCTCGGCTTACTGCCGTTTCCCTGTTCTCGGCCGTAGACTAACCCCGATATTGAATGTCCGATCAACAACGGATTTAGAATGGTGAGGGATTTGAATGTCAATGTAAGATGAGGTCATGGTTTGAAATGAGTTGTATTCAGCACTGCTGAGAAGAAGTCTTGTCATATATTATATAGATATATCCAAATGGGAAGAAAGAGCAAGCACAGCTGACTCAGTGACAAAAATGAAATGTGAAAAGAAAAAGGCCAGCACGCTTAGGTGAACAAGAAGTGAGAATATAGCCAGTTCATTTCCTTCAAGAAAAAAAACCATCCAATGACAGAGACACGCAAAGTGGCCAACACGATGCATGGGCTCGGCAGGAAATTCCATCACCCAGGACGGATATACATTAACCGATAAAGCGACCGTAGACACGATCAAATCAGTGGATGCAAGGAAACATTTTGGTTTCATGTTGGAGCAACACTTGGTTCAAACCGATATCCGGGGTCCAGATACCAATGTATGAGGGGATTTAGGCAGAGCAGGCCAGCCGGGGAAAGGCGCCGAGAGAGGAAGTTGCCAGAGGTGGCAGAGGAAGGTTCATATAGTTAAGATCGGCATCGACGAAGTCTTCAGCTTTCTTTATCATGATGACGAAGTTTCTCAATACCGTCTCGGACGGTATCTCGCACACTAAAGCCGCCGAAGAGCCAGTCATTTGAGTGACGACCGTAGTGGTTGACTGTACCGCTATAGCGGCGGTAATCATCATTGTTCTTTTGAGTTGGGGTTGTTTCGCCCTTGGAAAAGTCTGGCTTTGGAGATTGAGGTGATGAGGGTCCAGAGGACATTTGTACAGGACTGGTAGAGCCGTCTCGTTGGGCGAAGTAGTCCATGTTTATGTTGCTCTGGGGGGTGAATTGACTATCCAAGGATTGGGTGTGACTGTGTTTGCGTTTGGGGATATCAATCTCAGGTGATTTGGATCCCGATCGGAACAGCTTTGAGGATATCGGGTTGGAGATACGACGGGGCTTCTTTTCGTCGGAATTTTGAGTGTTGAGTGAAGAGATTGTGGTGGAAGAAGTCTGAGATGCAGAGCGCTTTGGGTAGTTGCCGCTCTGGTGGGAGTGAGAGCGCATTACTTAGGAAGGAAGATGGGGTATGGAGAGGAAATGGAGGGAAGGTGACAGGAAGAGGACAAATATAGGGTAGGATTGAGGGGGATTGAGTTCTGACGTGGGAAACGCGGAAAGTTATTTATCAACTGGGAATATTTCCCTTTTGCTTCTCCTCTTCGTCTTTCCGAGAGATCGTCCATGCCCTGTAGGGCAACCAACCAGATCACGGCGGGGTCGCTCCAAACATGACCTCGGGCCCATCGAGAGAATACTCAGAACCAACAGCGCCAATGACAGTTCACCCACTGGGTCCAGTCAGCGGACCGGCCCTCGAGCTCACCAATCGGACGTGCAGAAAGTGAGCCCGCGAGGTCCACTGGTAAGGTTTAGCAGATGACCGTCGGTGAGCAAAGTCCCAACTTACGGGGGAGCCGAGCTTGGGGAGCCAATCCAAGATTGTTTCTGCCTTGGAGCCTCCTCCAGCATTCCTCTGACTCGTTCGACCCCGCAGATTCACCGCTGATTGCATCATCACGGGCCTTGTGTTTTTCTCGTGGAATCACACATTGACAGTTGTCCCACGTAGCGTTGCGTGGCCAGTCCCCATCCCACATTGAATTGCCCTTGTTCATAGGGCTGTAACGTTGCGGGGACTAACCCCCATCAGCTGAAGATTGCGGGTTCTCTGTTTTTCATTTGTCAAGTGGGACTGGACAGCCGAGTTGCCAATCCAATCCCGAGGTTATGAATTCCCTACAAAATGAGTCTGGAGAAGATGGGAAAAACAGCTTATCAGTGAATTTCACCTGCTGTCCAATCAACCCTGGAAAATTCAAGACATTCTGTTTTCTTCCAACAACCTTCCAGAAGAACTTGCAGCCGACGACGCCCGAGTGCCCGGTTGAGTCATGGCCCCCACACGTTAGCCAAGACACGGCTGAGAAAAGGGAAATCGGCACACTAACTCCACGCCTGCAATGAATAATGACGCAAAAGTAAAACAAGATTTACAGAACTCGACTCGATCGTGGAGTTCACTGCTCTAAATACTATCGTCGTGAATTTTTTTCAAGAACATAACAATACTAATGCTTGGCTCTAGGAAGGATTTGGTAAAGACAAAACAGTCTACGACATTTCGGATTTCTTATCTGCAGCCTCATGGAACTAGACGGGTCGGAAATGAGGAATGTGGTCAGCAGTCCCTATGTGCCACTAATCGGAGAGACCATATCCTGCCATGATGTGTCAATTTTAATTGATCTACCCGACCTGGTACATATGTACTTACGGAGTACTCCGTAAACAGGAATTCATCAAGTATTCTTGCCCGACGCTTGATCTTTGATCTATCACCTCGCACTAATGAATAACCCGAGTCCAACTTAGAGCTGTCAACAAGGACAGAAAAGAAAGAAAAAAAATCACTTTTGAACAGTTACTCTGATAAACTCTGTGAACGTAAAGGCGGAACCTCATATCAAAAAGACAACGGCCAACTTAACAAAATGGACAGCTATCCACTCATACAAAGTACTCTCTTTTCATTTCAAGAGTCCCAAATCAATCCAAAATCTATTTAGTCATTCATTGTGATTGATCTTGAAGATCCTTTGTGGCCCCACATGTGGCGTTGCCAATGCCGACCGAGCATACGATAGTTAACTAGTCCAACAACTATCGCAGTCATATCGATCACAAGAAGCTAAAAATGTGGGTTTAATGAAGGGTCTTGGTCAATATCATCCGCGATATTGTGAGGACTCTAATAATCTAGTCAATTCGAGTTGACCCCTGGCATGAACCGCTCCACTCATTCGTCTCCAAGAGATCTATCATTCAGTCAGCCGCAATGCTTGACTGCAGAAACCATCTCCACTGTCTCCTCTGTCTAGCCCAATGAGGAAAAGAATAACTTGTACGCAAATGCACCAATATTAGGGAAATTAGGTATAGGGGCTATGTGTTCATACATTAAGAGAAGAGTTTCATAGGCATTTTCGAGGTTTTCCTCGTTTTCAGTTACCAACTGTTGGTCGTGTACTGCATACAGTACAACGCCTGTTCGATATGAAAGAATTCACTATACCCAAGGCCTGCCAGGTCTTTCTTGCAATACTCTCTTTTGTCGGCTTGGTTTTATCTGAATCATGTGATAATACAGCAACTTCCAGGAGTTGTTGGGGTGAGTATAATATCTCGACCGATTATACAACAGTAATACCCTACACAGGAGTCACACGAGAGGTACTTGAAGCCCTGCACCATTCATGTCTTGTCTCTGCTAACTCATTGGTCTTTCCCACTTAGTACTGGCTTTCCGTACAAAACGTTACGTTGGCTCCTGATGGATATGAACGGCTGGTCCTAGCTGCCAATGGGACCTATCCAGGACCTTTAATCGAAGCAAACTGGGGTGATAATCTTGTCATTCATGTCACCAACGAACTAGAAAACAACGGGTATGCGATCCGAAATTCCACCACAATATTCACAAAGTCTACAGGCTGACCAAACGGTCCAGAACCGCAATCCACTGGCATGGAATCCGACAACTTGACTCGAATGAATACGACGGTATATAATCCATTGTTCCCACCCTGCAATTGATGTCAATAACAACGCAACTAACTCGATCCAAAGGAGTTCCCGGAGTCACACAATGTCCAATTGCCCCAGGTACCACGATGACCTACAAGTTCCGTGCCACCCAGTATGGCACATCCTGGTATCACTCGCACTGGAGCATCCAAATGGCCGACGGTCTCTACGGACCAATCGTCATTCACGGCCCCACAACCGCAGACTACGACGTCGATCTGGGCCCCGTCTTCATCACCGACTGGTACCACGAAACCGCCTTCTCGCTCTGGGAAAGCAAAGCCAAGCACGGCGCGTTCCCAACAAACGTGGACGCAGAAAACGGCCTAATCAACGGCACTAATACATACCCATGTGAGGAATCAGACGGTCCCGCGTGCACTGGCAGTGGACGTCGCTCGCAGGCAGTATTTGAGAAGGGGAAGAAATATCTCTTGCGTGTCATCGATGGCGAGACGGATGGGTTTATGAAGTTTTCTATCGATGGACATAAACTCACTGTGGTTGCGATGGACCTTGTTCCCATCGTGCCGTATGAGACGGAGAGTATCATTCTTACGTCAGGCCAGCGGTATGATGTTATTGTTGAGGCTAATCAAGATGTTGGAAGTTATTGGATGCGTGCCATTTATCAGACGGCGTGCAATAATCTTGGTATTGACAGGAACGATATCAAAGGTGTTATTCGGTATGAAGGATCGACTGATGAAGGATCCCCGACAACAACTCAGTGGAATTCGATTACAAATTCTTGCGGCGATGAGCCATATGAGAGCTTGGTTCCTTACGTGGCTAAGACTGTTGGTGCCGCGGACAAGCAGGAGAATCTTGATGTCGGGTGGTTCTACTCGAGCGATCTAGTCTTTCATTGGACGCTCAACACGAAAGCGTTGACAATCAACTGGGGGCAGCCCACAGATCTTCTGATTACCCAAAACCAATCTGTGTTCCCATCAGACTACAATACCTATGAGATTCCAGCCGAGCAGGATGTATGTTCACTGTGGGCTATATGACCTTTTTTGGCCACGTCTAATCCGTTTTATAGTGGACATATTGGGTCATCGAAGACTTTAGTCTCGTGGATGTTTACCACCCCTTTCACCTGCATGGACACGATTTTTACGTCCTTGCTCAAGGTAGTGGCTCATATTCGTCATCGGTCACATTGAACCGCAATAATCCCCCTCGGCGCGATACTGCCACTATGTCTGGAAATGGTTACCTCGTCATAGCTTTCGAAAATGATAACCCCGGGTATGAAGTCCTACCCTGACTGTTGTTTGTGAATTTTTTGAACTAACTTGCATTAAGCTCTTGGTTAATGCACTGCCATATTGCTTGGCATTCGAGTCAAAATCTTGCACTCCAATTTGTGGAATTATCAAACGAAATTCCAGGCTTGTTTAAACCTGTTCAGGAGCAGTATGAAACGACTTGTGAGAGTTGGAATGAGTACTACAAAGACTCGTTATACAGGCAAGATGACTCTGGTATATAAAATGTCTGTCTCTTCCCGTGGTTCTCATAACCTCTTTCTTTTTCTTTATATACAGTATTCAACATACCAACCTTAGAAGCCAACTTGCATGGCAGTATCTACTCTCTATATAATTTTTAATTCAATGTTTACATAGTGCTGAAACATCATCATTCGTTCCAAGACTTTGATTAGATAGCTGACAGTATAGCACTTTACGATTGAAAGCAGAATTTAAAACACTGGACCAGCCAGACATGACTGAATTCACATAAGATCTAATATAACAGCCGCCAAGCTCCCTTCAAACCTTGGAAATATTCAAGCCCATCCGGATCAAAAACGCCCAAATCCCAGTTAAAAAAAAACAATTCAAAAAATCACACGATCATTCCTCCTTCAAACTAAAAAGACTAGCACTCGGCTCCCTCCACGACCGCGGCTGCGCAGGATGCGATCTTCTATGCCTCCTCTCAGCAACAAACTGCGGCGACTCAGCAACCGACAACGTGCTCCGCCGCTCAGTCACCATAACCGGCCTCGCTGACAACCTAGGAGGCATCCAGCCCGAAATCATGACCTGGTCACCGGCATTCATCATCGTCGGCATAACAAACAACGACCGCGTCTTATCAAGCGGCGGTCGCCGAATCAGCCTTCGCAACACACTCCGGTGAACATGCTTCCGGGCCTCGGCCGCGGACGCAGAGTCCGGAACATCGTCGCATCGCGGCTTCTGTGTGGGGCGGGACCAGAGACGGTGCACGCTTCGCGATGGCGTGCGCACTATGCCTGCCATTTCGGCGTCGTCGGTATCGGGGACTTCCTCTGCAATGAGAGGGACAACTGTGGACTGCTGTTGAAGCGCCCATTGTTGGTTATTGGCTTCTGTGATGGTTATTGAGCGGAGGTTGCGGATTTCTAGGCTGGATGGAGCCCGCATGCATAGCTCGGAGCCGCAGTGGGGCCAGGAATGGTGTCTGCGGTGGTGCCGGTGGTTCGGCATTTTGGGGGAGGTTTGTGAGGGAGGTGAGTGCAGCATCGGGTGTGCATATGAGTGAATATCCAGGTGTAGTTGAATGGAATAGAGCGTGTCTCAAGGTTCAAATGTTTTCTTTGGAGATTTGTCAACCTTTTCTTCCGGGTCTTTCCAAGTCTCTGGATATAGGTAAGTGAGTTCCAAAGTTTAGTTCTGCCTGGCAGGTTACGACATTATAAATCGACGAGCTTTGGCTGACATCCACCAACTTTCTACACGTGCCGGGCGTTGTATGATTGAACGCCCGGGTGATGTATCATTTTCTGGTTGGGGTGATCATCAAATTCCAGGTTTTCCCAAAGTTGGGGTTAGGGTGGGTTTAAATGAGTAACTTTGGAATGGGGCGTAGGTACCTTGAGGGTGTGGGGTTGCCATCCAGATGTCCTTTTCAGGTCCATCTATGCAATGAACTTTGGAAGGTCAGCACAAGATATATAACGCAATAGCCAGACAAATTGGATAGCGAATAGTAACAGTGCGGAGCTAGAATCGCTTCCTACTTATCATTAAAGCCACCTGAAGATCGAAAATCCAGGGGGCAAGTACGTGGCTCCAGTGAAATGGGTCTTGTATACAAATGTCGGGATTTGAGTAGCGGGAGGTAGATGACCGGGTCAAGCGGGATGTTACAAGGGATCCCATGACATCCGCACACTGGGCCTAGCCACCACCTGGCGAGGGCTGTGTGTGTCTATTTTAAGTTATTGAGACAAGATGATGTCCCCCGATATGGGTAAAATAGTAGCCGATCCGCGATCGAGATCAGCCAGGGAAGATCATTGGAGGTGAAAAGAATTAAGAGGGAATTTGTGCTGTGGTGAACAAGAGCAGGACTATGTAGCCAAAACTGGAAAATCAGTCATCAACCATCCAAGTGGCTGAGCGGAAACTCAGCTATCTCATCTTCCTTGGTCTAGTGGTCATGATTTCCGCTTGTCATTAACACCGATAAGCGCGGGAGACCGGGGTTCGATTCCCCGAGGGAGAGTTTCTTTTTTGTCACTTTTTTTTTTTTTTGTTCTTTTCGATTTCATATTGGCCTTAATTAATTAAAGGCCGGATTTTTACCCCTTTTTACTCGTCCAGAATGAATTAATTAATGATGGAACCTAACATTCAAATGTTCTTTATCTCCACCTCTGTGCAGCAATGTAGATCAACCTGAGAGGGGACTTGAGAAGGGATTATATGGCTAGGATTTCTGCCTGGTTTCTTTTACTAAGGATATGTACTTGTATATTATTTTAGTGCTAATTTTTGATATTGTAGCCTGAAGATCTACTAGTAGGTATTAAGGTTTTATTACCTGGGGAGGTAGGCTTAGCGCCTCACGTCAAGGCATGTGTTATCATGAGAGCGAGTTGTGTTTCTATCAAACTCCTTTATATTACACAGCGCCTGCACCGCCTATCCCTGCCAGTCGATCCTGGCCAGTTGTTTCATCGTCTTAGGCTCATCTTCCACTTCAGAGTGTTGGAATTGGCCCAGAAGGCCTGTTTGGAGCATGAATTTGGCGACGTGTCGCGCGCAGGTGAGACACAAGGGCCTCGTAATTTGACAGTTCCCCACGTTGATTGAGATCCGTTTTTGCGCAGATCTTATCCATCATCTCCTTGCGCTGTGACTCCCATGTGATCCGCACCTTGGGAGCCCACATCTCCTGATAATAATTCCCAAGAATCCCAAGAATCCTAAGAATCCTGGCTGGCCGAGCTGCTTCAAGCCAGTGCAAAGGACTCTGTTCCAGAATTTGACAAGCTATGTGGACGTATCGTGTGGGTGATCTGTTCTGTCGCTATGGCTCACTGTGTGGTCAATCTTATTGACAGCATTATCCAGCATGAGTGGTTCAGGTAAGCACTTAATCAATAGGATCCTTGGAGACTTATACTAACACATTATAAAGATGGCATCCAATACGCAATGAAAACCCTGATGCTCTCCAGAATCGCGAATGATTCTACCCAGATGGATCACGCAGTCCTGTGACTCCTCTGAATACGAAAAGAACGGATACTAAGGTACAACCAGGATGGAAGATTGTATTTATTTGTTGGGTGCGGGTTCTATTGGAATATGACATTGATAGCGAACTTTTGGATTCTTTGAAAAGCAATTTTTCTGTTCTTTTTGAAACTCCTCGATCGTGTTGGAAAGTTAGTACTGGTAGATTCTCAGTTGGCCATACCCATTTAGGCAGGCAGTTTGGCTAAGCTGTTTGGATTTGGTCTCGTCCACGGGTGCACTTTTCCAAGTTTCCCAACCGAGTAGTCATATTGACTGCGGGCATACATTGTGAACTTTGACAAATAGTAAAGGTATTTCGTATTCATTCGGTATATTTTAAATTCATTCCAATCGTGATCATGATCATAAATTCATGGAAGGCACATAACAGCAAACAGTAAAGATCAGGGGGGGCACTCTCAATCACGCAAAAATGGAGGTCAGGAAATCTCTCCCACAGGAGTGACCCGGGACCCAGGAAACAGCCCCGTGCGACCAGCATAGCACCCCCAAAACCAGTCATCGTTAATGTTCTCAACTTCAGTGATATCAGCACCACGAGGGAAGATAAGCTCATCCTGCACCCCTTCCTCGGGGTAATAAGACCACAGTGCATAGACTATGAGACCAACACCCCCATCGGGTGGAAAGCGGCGGAGAATAGGTGTGTGCTGAGCGGTAGGAGTGCCCATGTTTTGAGACGCAGAGTCCACGTCCGACGTATGTGTCTTACTGATGGGGGAGGTGAGGGAGCCCCTCGTGCGAGAGGCTTTTTTGCGACGGTCTTGACCCTCCTTCCAGCTCCAGTCGCCAACACCCAGCTCGGGAGAGGCGATGGCAGTAGTGGTAGCAGGTGATGAAGAGGGTGATCGGTTCACATGCTCATCTTTCAGAGCATGGCCGCCAACTAGGCTTTTCTTGATGACACGCCTCTGACCATCCTGATGGTCTTCAAAGCCAACGACGATCATTCGGTGACCTGCCACACATCGGCGCCAGCCATTGTGGCCGTTCTCCTTACTGATCTTCGAGTTTGCCACAAGTTTTAGATAGCAGTTCGTGCAAACATCGTAGTCACCGGAATTGCATTTCAAACAATGAAACCGGGTAACCGAGGCTGGAATTGGATAGGTGCAGATGTCACAGTTAGTGGAGAATGAGAGAATTTTGTAGCTCTCCAGCGCCAGGGTCGGCGGTGGGCCGTTCGCCGCGGCTGCCGGGGTGGATGGAGAAGATGAAGCCGGGCTGCCAGCGAGGCGACGGACTGGCAGTAAGGGGTGAGTGCAACATCTTCCTTGATTAACGCAACGATTGCAAAATCCCCAATCTCCCTGATTACATATGCTGCACTTCCAATAGCACTCATTTGTTGAAGACATACAAATGTCGCAGAAGAGCCCGGATTCCAAGCGGCGGGCCGGGTTTTCGTTCGTCATTTGTACGCCTCCATTCGTGGCAATTTGAGCAATTTCAGAAGGCCGCTGGTACTTGAAGGAGATGAGTAAGTGACCATCCGCATGATTTGGCATTGGTTGGCTATTTGAAGACGCCAACATCCGTTCGAATGTCAATTGCGCGGTAGAAATAAAGCCAGACCATTGAAGACAACCCCGGCCAGAGCGATAACATGGCAAACAAAGGTGATATTTTCCATCCTTGCATTTGAGACATCTCTTGTGTAAGTCGTATTGGAGGTTGTCTTTGCCACATCGATCACACGAGATCGAAGGTTCAGTGTACTGGAGATTAGAAGACGGCGGAGCGTTTAATCGCGCAGGAGCTGGCCTCGGTCGCCTATCAGACCTATTAGGAACGGTTGGTGCAGAGGCATGGTTTCCAATTAATGGCGCGGCAGAGGTAGGAGAACTGGTGATTGATTGACTACTAGTAGGCACTTGTCGGGCGGAAGCTCGCTCTCTTCCCTCTGCTGCCCATCCATCAGCGATGGGTTGTACTGATTCTGTGGCTCGCCGTGGTCGGTGAGATGAGGATTCTGCTCTAGGTCTTCCGCTGTGAGAGCTACGTGGGCGCTCATTAGTCATATCACTCGAGGACCGAGCCGCAGGTCGCAAAGTGTCGTCTGAGGTCGATGCTTGATTTACTCGGACGGGTGAGGTTCTGCGGCTGCTACTACCCTGTTCCGAATTTCGTCGGTGGTGACTTGAAAGGGGCTGAGGTGCAGCTGAGCCAAGTAGATGCGGTCTGGATATGGGGGTCGCCTGTCAATGGAGTCTCGAGGTATTGTAGTTACGTCTTCGGTTCGGTTGGCTGAATTCGACTGCCCATGCGAACGGTGGTTGCCTTCGGGAGATTGCCTGCGCCTTTGCGCTGGAGGGGAGCTCGGTTGTTGCATGTGTCTCCTGCGGTAGGCAGCTGCAATACGCTCACTAAGCTCCTCCTCTTGAGCAGGGCCAATATTCTCAAGGTCGATATCATTCAGCAGCCCTTCCTCAACAATCTGCCGTAAGATCTCTTCTTCTATCGTCTCCGTCTCGGAAGAAAGGCTGAGTAAGGATCGCAAACTTGACTGGTGCTCCACACGCCTGGTATGTAGATGCTCAGAGTCATACTGCACTCGTGCAATACGCCGTTGCCGTTCTGCATCCTCCTCTCGCCTCCGTCGGGACCTGGCATCATCCGTATGCCTGCTCTCGGGGTTGCTGCTTCTGGTTCGGCTATTCTCAGGCTGCGTTCTGCGCCTTTCTTCTCGGCGCTCTTCGCGACGTGTGTGTATCCGATTCTCACGAAGACTCACGTCTCGAACCTCCTCCAAAAGTCGCTGGTCGTCCTCATCGTCTGTGCTTTCTGCTTCTGTGCGCTGTTGAGGGAAGACTGAGTCCCCGGGCTTATATCGTTCCGCGATCTCCTTCTTCTCGTCTTCCGACCTGCTACGATCTGGCTGGGCCGTCAAGACCATATCCAAGAGCGTTGTCACGGTGGCATTTGGGCGTGTGCCGCGCACATCAGCACGGCATGAAGGGCAGGTAAATTTGGGGGAGGTACCACGGGGTCGTTGGCGCGAACCCTGTGCGGCAAACCATTCTTTCACACAAGAGCCGCAGTAGGTATGTAAACAGTCGAGGAGAGTGAGGGGCTGATAGAGAAGCTCTGTGCAGATCTGAAAGAGGCGTTAGTCCCACGTAAGGGGCGTAGGAATGACAAGTTGGGAGATTTCACATACCGAGCACCCCAGCTCTTTCTCCAGATCTGCTAACCCAGGCGCCTGCACTTGAGACATGAGCAGAGATATAATTTCACAAATAGTTGTAGAGAAGACCACCCGGATCCAAGGAACGGGGGATGTGCGAAACCACGGATCAGGCGGTGGAAACTTGAAAGTGGGAAAAAGAAAGGTACCATCTCCACAATCTTATCTTCTGGTCCCGCACTTATTTCATCATTGCTTTCTCTTCACTCTCCCACTATTTTAAACATATCAACCATCAAATTTCGACTTTGTTGTTTTTCACTATTGTCTCTACTGTCTCTACTGCCTCTTCTGGATTCACTCTTTATTTTATGTCTTCTACGGTACTTTCTTGCTGGTCAATCTGACGTGCGGCTCCCGTCGGTAAGAATTGGGTTACAACTTCATCGTCCTACGCTACATCACGGTTTAATTGGTCCCTTGAAACCATCAGTCATGGCTGCAACATCGCGATCAAAGTCCTAGCGACACGTGAAAGTTATCCAGAAGCTTTCCAGATCTGACCAAGCGAAACCAACGAATCTTACCGGGGCCCAATAGGTACGCCTAACTATGTCTCAGAATGAGACTCAACAAGTCCCAGAAGCTGGCCCGCGACCTATTACGCGACCAATTGAAACTCAAAGATTCTGGGAGCGGTCTTGACCAAGTCAAGAAAATGGAGAATTGGCGCAATGAATGAAGCCTTTGCCGACCAGACAAGCAAAGAGCGTGGTGTTTGAACAGGTCTAAGCTTGATTCAAGCTCAAATGCAATTCACAGGACAAAGAACTTGGGAATCTCAAAGTGCTCCCCGTTTCTGACCTGTTATGCAAGAGCCCAGAATCATGGAGAAACAAGGGAACGCATATTAACCTGATCTAGTTGAGAAATTGACGTTATTCAACGATGTGTTGAACCTGAAACCCTTCCGAGTCTACAAATGAAGCTAGTTCCCGAACAATCATCGATACACTGCTTTGCCATGACTACAGAATGGCTATGAAAAACACCCCGTGTATCATACCAGCCGTCATCACTCAATTACAGCTAATATTTATTGCTCCGGACATAGTCTCCTACTTGCATTCTGCACCTACCCCAGTACTTACCCTCTCCCCCAATATGTCTCTTACAATGGACCTCAGTCAATCCATACCGCGATAATATCACCAAAATTACAGCAGCAAGGGCCTTATTACTGACTTGGAGATCCTACATGAACGTCTTCCTACTAAGAAAAGAACCTTGGGGGGAAGTGATACCTCTTAGTACTACTAGTAGGTAACATGTTAAGACATGCCAGCGTCGCAACCCTTGATATGGCCTATACGCAGAGCATACCTGTTGATGACATTAATTATCATTCGAAAAACCGTATGATGCTTATCCTACAGATACCTACTTGTATCTAGGCAGGTACTGCTGGCATAGGTAGTATACCTATTGAAATATTCAAAGGATGTTCAAATGTTTACATACTACTTTCACGCTTCGGATCATGATCACCCATATACATGTGGACCTTGAATCTTCCAAGGTTGAAAACAAAAATGACAATAAAAAAAACTAAAGATAAAAAGATAAATCACTGGCTTGTAGTAACCCTTCCATTCTGCCAGTGATAGTTGATTAAGTCAAGGTATGGCCATTGCTTACCTTGTGGGCCGCCGTACCACTCCATCTAGTACTTGTCAGGCCGGGTGATGTTGGGCACCAACCTGGTCATCATGGTCTCACCGCAGTGATCTGTGAGCCCGTTCATTTTTCTTCCTCCTCCCAGAACTTACTAGTACTTTAATATGGCATCTTGTGAGCTACTACCCGACTAGGCCAGGAACACAACAAATCGAATGAACCGTTTCTCAATTGCGCCGCCCTTGCCCAAGCCCAAATTCAGCGACATACTATCCTACCTCCATCTGAGTGATCATTTCTTCCAACCAGGATAAACCCGGGCTCGCCTGAGTAGCTCCTGAGACATCAGTCGATATCCTTGTCACACAAATGGATCCTTGGTTTCAAGGTTAGAAAGAGACATCTCGATAACCGACTACTGTTACGTGCAGAACCTAGGCGAGAATTTGCGGACCGGTTGGGTACTTGACCCTTCGAGAGCACATGTACACCTGAGAATACCTAGAGTATTAACATATACACCCGGGCATACATATTCGAATGCATATGCATGGCTCAACGTGTTCCAGTAAAGGGCGAAAACTTTCTCGAGCTCATCAGATCATAAATCGAGGAACATACGAGCTTATAACCAGCACCTTTGGACCCCTTAGTCACGATGAAGCTGATTTAGCTCTTTGACAAGCTGACATAGGATTGGAAAAATCCAAAGCTCATTCCACATCCAATTAGGTTCAGATTATCCTGGATGTATCACAGAGATGTCTCTTGACGCTTCGTCTTCACCCAATGGTATAGAGGTTTTCTAACTGAGAGCTCACTTGATATGTTAGTCAGATCATGACATTCGACTTATGAAGGCAACAATTAGCCGCAACAGACCAGACTCGGTACCTGAATTGAGACTCATGAAATGAAATTGTCATATATCAGACTCCCCAGAGGACACAATGATACAGGATAGTAAAGGTGAGCGAAACCCCCGACAAAGTGTCATAGTCTGAGATCAATCAATTGACCAGAGAAGAAATCGAATTCACTTCAGGGCTGGCTAGGCTCACCCGAGGGGGCGCATTGGTCAATGCTCCCAACGCTGAACTCTTTCGCACTTCTCTCTCTTTCTCTCTCAGTCTTTCCCTTCAGCATCGATTTACTCACCGAGCAATTCAATCGTACAGGAGTGGCAAGTGGCACCGAAAGTCAAAGAGAGCAACAAAAAAACTCTTCTCAAATTCTCAACAAACATTAGTACCTTTTGATATTACTCACGGGCCCGCACGCTACGCTAAAAAAAAACATCCGTCTGGCTCTCTTGCCGCAGATCAGTGGTGGCGGCAATGCAAGACACGTCCCTCAACGCCTAGGTCGCACGACGAGGGTCCGACCATGTCAAAGACTACACAATACCTTGCGGTGACAAAGAAAATACTTCAAGCTTCGACCCCTGTGCATACTGGCCGGAGCTCTGCAGACCGCTTGCCACTGGGGCGAGATAGCCGATAAAGTTTCCACCCAAAACATTGTATGTTGCAAGTGGCGGCCGTGGCTTTGGCCAGCTCAGTCCTTTAGCAAGAAGATTCAAGCCACAAATACATCTCTGGAAAAGAAGTGGGGGAAGAAAGGGTTATGTTATGGTAGGAAGAGGAAGGAGGTAAGGGGAAGTAAAAGTGAATGCATATGCAATGTGCATATGTACTAGTAGACTGCATCCATGGCGTCTATGTACGGATGATCCGTATTTGCAAGTGTTGTGGGGGAAAAAAGGACCCGGATATGCACACTTTTACACTCGACTTCTATTTGTCCCCCGCAAGACTCGGTCTTCGAGTCGAGTCACATTTCCAAACTGTAAATCGGGCGGACTGGTAGAATGATTTCTGTACAACGGAAAAGATTTGGAAAGCATCCACTGAAATCTGCAAGGCGGAGAGCCGTCTACACTGTCTTTCGTCCTGCAGTTCAATTAGAGACTCGATTCTCGAGACTTCGTTCAGACCGGAGCTCCGGAACTATAGCCTGGCAATTGGGACATCATGTGCGTCGCGAGGAGCTTTTCTGTTCTGTCTGTGTTACCGGTGCATCCGGAGCTCTGCTGAATATCTGCAGAGGGTCATTCAGCACGGAATTCCCGGCGCACGATGCAGGTGTGAAACGGGAAGTCCTTATCCGTGTGGGCGGGGAAGGAAGTGGTGAGAGCAATAGACGGGGGGAGCTGATTTGCACAGGGAGATGGGGGAGGGGGGGGGGGAAGAAAAGGAGGGGTGTTTGGGGCCATTTGGGATACATCCGGGGATAAGGGAAAGCCAAGGTCTGATCGTCGGATTCGGGTGTGGCTGACAGGAGGACAAGAAGGGAAATAAAAGAGGAGGCTACGAAGTACAGCATAAAAAGCTGTTGGAAGTGAGGGGCTACGATAGAGACGACAATAGAAACAGAAATAGAAAGAGGCGGGGAAAGAGAAAAGAGACCAGTTGTTACGGTGAGGGATGGTTTAACCATCTGCATGGCGTTCCAGAGCATTCCGCGTGCTCGTGACGCGTACAGAGTGTGCTTGGACGTTGCGGACCTGGCGCGCTGGCACTGGTATCGCGGGGTTCATCGAGTTTTGGGTTGATAAGCAGGTGAACTGGCATTGAGGGGTGATGCACCCCGCAATTCGACCGGGGTGCAGGGCATATGCAACCAGTCTTGTCTCTTGTCTCCGCGGGGCTTTTTTTATTTTACTTCTTTTCGTTTCTCTCTTTCGCTGATGGGACGAGAAGTTGTTGGGTCTAGTTCGAGATACGTGATCGTAGGCAACCAAGGTAGGTCGTGGGGCCGATAGGAATCTCGGCTTCGTCCATGTGGGGGTAAACCGCAAATCATCCCTTTTAGGACGACCCATAGTTAGGCTACGTGTGGATTGAAACACGAAAGTATCAAATTATGTGCTGTGCGCAACCATTGAGGGTCGAGAGTCGAGGGTCGAGCACTGCCCACATCCAGACCCGACCCCAGACCCCACAGGGGGCTGATCCTCTGTACCTTGTTCGGGTAGTAGATCATAGGAAAATGTCCGGGGATTACCTTTACTGTGCAAAGACCCCCAGAAAACCCCCAAACCCCATCTCCCTAGTCGAAACGCGCCCACGGTTTACCTATATAGGTAAGAAGTCATGATAACATGCATGCAGCTAGGGATATAAACCAAAAAGTAGGAACAAAGTGGATACTGATAGATGGGTAGATGGAGTACTAATTGACCCGGGTTGACCCGACAAATGATAAAGCAAACAAGGATTCTATGTGAGTACGGAGTAGATTTCTTATAATAGCAAGGCTTCATTTATCGGAGACATTCATACAGCGCTACCAAAAAGGATGAGAAAAGCCAGCTGTAGCAAGCGCGCCATGGTACTGCCACCAAACAGAAA